AAGCATTTGAGCATGCTTGACGTGCATGATAGGGACATCAAGACTATCCGGCGTTTGAAGATCAATGGCCACCCTGTGGCAATCGATGGCAACGTCCAAGTCAGCAGTATCACCAACGAGATCGAAACGCCGAGATAGTGCTGTGCCCAACTTCAAAAGTTGGTCGCTTCTGCTGCATTGGGAATCAAGGACATCTTCAGTGAGGGCTGCGTGGTAATGACCAATAGCTAGCTGGAGGGCATGTAGATCACCCTGATCTCTAGACAGGGCATACAGTTCGTCTCCAATGACGGTATAATCACGAGCAGACTGATGAAACATTGTTATCAGTTTCAGGCAGTTTAGATCACATCCACTCACTGTAACATCATCTTCGGTGTTCATCATATCAGAGATGGTCGTCAGCTAACGTCGATGAATGATTCATTCACAGCGGCGGGTCCGGCCGGATTGAGCTCAGGGCAAAGTAATAGTAGCACCATGATGATAGTGTCACTCCTGGAGGATCGGACAAGGTGGATGCAGCATCTGAGTATATTACACATGTCACTTGGATGTTGTATTCTCTTTGTCGTCTATGACGGATCAGTCAAACTATCTTGGAGGAGTCAGTGTCTTGTGGCAAGCTGATTGAGTTGGTATGTATTAATATTACCGGCTCCGCTCCCGTCGGCGGTAATTCGGATCAAGACATAAGTATGTCCCTGAAATTCCCACGACTGCTTCCCTTGGACCGTCTGCTTTGTAGTCACTGCCCAAGGCGTCGAGCTTGCCTCATCACTAATTTCTGCTCGCTGTTCTCAACAGCGAGGACGCTATCAAGTTTCTTTTATTCTCCCTTTGCGGTTGATGATTAGCCTTTCAGGCTGTGATGACGCCGCGCCCACTCATTTCTTCTTCGAGGCGTCCTTTATCCGCCATCTTCCTGGGATCGTTACCACCCAAGGAGCAGGTCATTCCTAACTTTTCTGAGCCTCCAGAAAGCCCAAGTGCAGTGTCAAGTTCATCTGGCCTTCCTTCACCACCCGCAACCAATTCAACGGGAAGTGGTTCAACAGGTGATAACAAGAGTACAACCGAGGGCAGTCTACGCCAACGACCTGCCTCGTATGCCGGTAGCATAAACATGTCCCGCCGTAATTATGACACACCCAGCACATCCGAAAAATCTTCCAGAAATCTTGACGACGACGACGATGACGAAAACGACTATTCAAATGAAGAAGATGACACCGCTCGCCTTGACCGCAGTCATGTAATAAAGAGTCCAAACGAAAACCTCATGGCCTTGCAACGAGTTAAAAGCCTTGCTGAGCGCAACCGCATGGTACGTGCTCCTCTAGTTCCTTGACGCTCATTCTAATTGGAGCCTGCCCTTGGTAACTTGCACGTGTCTCGTGTTATTGTGAATTACAACAACTCTAACCTCACTTTTTTGTCCTGGCGATTTCCGCGTTTTATACATGGAAATATACTATCTAACCTTATTACCTTTATTTCATACCACAGGCATTGAACAAGCTCTCTTCCTTTTCCCGCACTCCGTCTCCTGCAAATTCCCGTATATCTCGATCCCCGCTTCCTCCTATCCATGCATCTTCATCCTCATCTTCCTCTTCTGCAGCCTCCCGGATTTCCTCCCACTCGCGTTCTGCCCTTACGACAAGACAGTATGATAGAGCACTGCAATATGATAGCGCACTTTCTGGCTCTGAAACAGAACGCGAGAGTCAGCGCGCTCCAACTCCCTCGTACTCTAATTCGCATTCCAACTCTCGCTCATATGGTTCTTCATCTCCAGAACGGTCATTAACGCCTCCTCCAAGCACTAGTACAAGAGAACGCCGCATATCTGCTCCCGCTTCACCGGTTAGATCTCGACAGCCTTCTCCTGCCCCCTCGCACACTCCTCGGAAGCGAGTATCTATCGCCGGTGCACTATCTGTGTCTAGAGATAACGCATCTTACGATGTGACGAACGCCGCACTAGCTGCTGTAGCATCTTCACGACGAAGTCCAACAGGCACAGGAAGCGTTAATCGACGTTCGCGGCAGCCCCTTCCAAGAGAATTCAGAGACGGTGATCGAGTGCGTACTTTGGATGGCAGGGTAACACAATTTATTCTCGTCTCCTTGACTCCCGCTGACAGACAAACTTCAGACTTCCATCGAGCCTATGACACCACATCACAACTCGCATCAAGATAGCTACACTTCTAATGCCAACACCTCTCACAGAACCTCATACGCAAATGCCAATCCTCAATATTCACCACGCGGCGCTCGTGCTAACCTTCCATCAACCGTTCGCGAACTAACGCGCCGTCACCAAACGCGTTGGCTATCGGAGGATATTTCAAGCCTTCCGGATTCTGGCCGCAGACAAACACAACGCGGCGGCAGTGCCGAAAGCACCCTGGGAGCTGGAGGACGCCTGGCTGGTGAAGGCCTACGTGCTGCTGGCATAGGTATGCGGAACGTGACACAGGCCAATGATGACGTCTTTGTACACAGCAATGGCTCGCACGTGTCTTTGCGTCGCGCACGGACAGCTGGCTCCAGCATCCATCGAACCGTCGAGTGGGAGGACGAAGATAAAGTGGCGGATGACAGGAGTCGGGCAAGCGGCTCCAGTGGCACACGGCTCAGTGAAGGCGCAGGTCCCTCCGCAAGGCCACATCTGTCTTCAGATCCGAGCAGGGCATCATCTACACTTTTAGTTGAACGAGATTCGAGAGGGGGGCGCGTAGCTTCTTCAAGACCAGCAACCTCGATGGCAGAGTTCTATCATGGGGAGGATGGAGGTGCTGGAAGGGGAGCAGCATCTTTACTCCGATCCAGACGGCAATACTCGGGCATTGAGCGACAACCTTCGGGAGCATCGCCTGGTATCCGTCCGCTTCCTCCCCAACAAGTCCCAGCGGCACCAACACCACCAGACAGATCGCGTAGCGGCACACTCACTCGACGTCACACCACAATGACACCTCTTGGGAATGGGTCGGTCTCTACTCACCAACAGAGCGCGGAGCATACCAAGCTCATGCTAGAGTCTTTGAAAATGTTCGAGAACATCTTGTCCCGTCTGCCGGATCAGTCTGCGTCCGTACCAGATTTGTTCCGCAGCGCAGAAACCATCGTTCTTGCTTCCGAGAAGTTAAATGCGTTGTTGAGAACGGGTACAAATCGAGCGCTGGAACAGCAGATTGACGCCGAGATGGATGATGAGAGATCGGGCAAGATACCCACCGGTGAAATCTGGAGGAGAGTGGGAGGGGAGTACCGCGAGAGCCTGCGTGTGAGCGACGAAGTCGTCCGAACGATTACAGGGTTTTTGCTTGGAGTCGGCAAAATTGTGAAGGAGGCATCTGCTGGTGCTTTGAATGATCCCGAACCACTGCACTCAAGAAGCGACCTTGGTGATGACGTTTCCCGCCGAACACCCGAAATAGATAGGAGCAGTAATAGAAGTCGACTGGATGGAAGGAGGAGTGTGGAGTCAAGACGGAGTTGGGAGCCTTCTGCCTCCACTGCTGACTCGTCCAGAAGGCTTACTGGTCGCTGTGAGGGAACTGCCGCACGTCCGCCTTCGTCAAGCGACTTTGATCCAGATCAGGATCAGCCTTCTTCGTCACGCAATCCCCTTCCTCTTCCTCTTCCTCCGCTGCCGCTGTCCGCCACGCGTAGGCTTTTCACACCGCGAGAACAACGTGATCGTCAAATGACGTCAAATGCACTCGCTTCTCATAATATTTCATCAGATATTGTTGATCTTTCCCTTGAGTATGAGCCTTCACCAACACCTGCCGCTCGGGGTGTACCTGCGGGCCGCCAAAAACCACTTCCGTCTCTTGCCATTCCCCCACCTCTTCCTACCTTACCTTCTGAATCGCTTATGGGCAGGTTGACAAGTAATTCGCTGGACAAAAGCAACAATCGCAAACCATCTACGACATCCGCCGCTACCATCCGAGGTATCCCTTTGCCATCCGCCAATCCGACAACCGCTGTAACTACTCATACGGTATCCAACTCTCCTGAAAATTCAACATTCCCTCTATCCCGTGTTGACTCCAAAGACTCCGTTCGTTCATCTGTAACCTTCTCGCGTCCTTCTGAAGTTTCGCTATCTGCGTTACAACAGCAGCACTCACGAGACGAGGCACGCAGGAAGGCCATTACGTCATCTTCTAACACTGAAGAAGACACGAACGTTCCTCCGGCACCGTCGCCTGCTCAAGTCCGTTCTCCACTTTCAGGCTCAGAGACGGAGCGAGATACTCGCCGGCGGACATTTGGTTCACGAGCAGCTCGTATGTCATTGGACAGCATTCGTGACGAAAGGGAAGGTTCTCAGTCACGCACCGTCACTATACCTTCGCAAAGGCGGGAGAGGCGACGGACTGTGACTGAGGTGTTTGCATAGCAATCATAGGGTCGTTCGTGTGCTTCCCTACCTCTTTCCAAAGTAAGTCCAATTGACAATTGTGGGTGACAACGGACTGATGACTGGGAAAGAATTCCGAGTTGTAATTTGCCTTTTTCTTTTCTTTTCCGCCATTTGTGCATTATATCCCCGGCATTCATCTCGACTACATGGACTCTTTCGGCGAGAATCAGCCGATTCCTCCCCTCATTAACTTTATTCTTGGTCCCATACTTGCCCTGGCTGGCTCTCCGATTGTTTTTTTGTCTGCTCTCTTCTCTCTCATCGCTGTTTGTCTATCTTGTCTTGTTATATGATGTGTTTTACATCGCACGTTAGGTATTTATGCCCGAGTATACCATGCACGAATATGATAGGTCCTCCGTCGAAATACTACTGGTATTCTTGAAGATTATCATAGAGCTTTCCTAATTCTATCCTGATTGGCCAACCGCATACTGTGAATGAGCAGTTATTTTGAATGCTACACTTCCAATACTTGGAAAACGATAACGGCGTACTTAGATTATATCCTAAGTTCGGCAGGACTTGTCTTGCATAAGGCAGTCACAATGAAAGTTCAAAGCGTTTACTTAAGTTAAGGCAGCTCGTTATGATTACGTATCGGGGATACCAGAGACTTACTGTGGTACTCGCACGTATGAGGGTGATGCATTGATGACTGACCCGCAGTCATGGGTTCAATAACTGTAGCTAGTTTTCTCGATCAGCCTGTACTTAGACTGACATCATGCCATCCCATCGCATCTTTCCTCTACAAACACCAGATTATCTACTTTCCTTCCAATTTTCATCATGGTATCCGACATTTTCCTCCATTAGCATCAAAAGCACCATCATCCGTCCCTTGAGTCAAGCATTCAAGGAATACCTCGACTCGGACGGCATTTTCGTACCAGAAGGCTCGGAAAACGTGTCAGTTGGCTACAATGACCATCTGTTTCAGTTGTACTCACTTCCCACTGCCAGTCCCGCAGAAAGCTCTCCTTCGGACCAAGAGGATGAAGACGATGCTGCAGTTGGGCAATCCTTCTCCTTCCCCGATCTAGATGAGCGGATAAGACAAATCATCAAAGAATACGGCGCCATTTTCCCCAAGCTCAATTTTTCTTCACCAAAGGTCAGCTCGTTCCATCGAAATTGATCCACGTTCACATCGAACACAGGACGCATCATGGGTGCTGCCACCATACTCGCCTCTCAAATGCACATCTCCGTCAGACGTCTACATCCTACTGAAATCCTCGGACTTCATATCGCACGATCTAAGTATCGACGCGGTCTTCGAGGGATGCCAATGCGATCCCTCGAACCCGCCATCGTACCAACTCGAGCTTGTCTTGAGGAAGTGGTATCCTATAGACCGGAGTCGCGAGTTCAGGTGTTTCGTTCGCGAAGGCCGTCTCATAGGTACGTCCTATTTTCTGATTATTGTTCCAGCAAGCCACGAACGACGCTCGTACAGGGATATCACAACGCGATACGAATTTCTATGACTTCATGAACCAGCCGCAAACACAAAACAAGATCTTAGAAACGCTTCAGCGTTTTTGGGAGGACAAGATCAAGTCCGAATGGCATGGACAACAAGACTGTATGTGTCACATCGTTTTTGTCGTAGTCCGCGCACTCATCACACTTCTGAAGATGTTTTCGACGTGTTGATGACGCGTGATCTGTCTCGGGGACATGTCCTAGACTTCAACCCATACGCACCCCGGACGGATCCCCTGCTATTCACGTACGAAGAGCTCTTGTCGGTCTTCACGCAGGGGTCGAGCGCACCCGAGGTCCGTATCATCGACTCGCCTTTACATCCGCTCGCATCGCGTAACGCACCGGCTTACCAACACAACATGTTGCCAATGGAAGCCCTCGCGCTGAGTAGCGGTCGGGACATCAACGACTTCTCTGATTTGTGGAAGAATGAGATTCAGCAGTCCATGAATGACGACGACTAATAGACATGGTCTTCCTTTGAAAGATCTATTCACGTACGGAGATCTTTTATCAGACCTGAGCTTCGTATCATCCAGTCACCTCTACATTCAGCCACAGCACGCACCACGCTGCCAATTGAAGTCCTCGTGCTAACTAGCGGTCAAGAGTCAAGACATCAACATATGGACCATAATGTAAGGAATAGTCAAGCGGGCGATCTACAGACATCTCTATGATACTTTTAGATCTTGTCAACCTCAATGCCAGAGTCGCTAGCGCTACCATCAGTGAACGCAGGGCGAGTGGCAGCTAGACCTGAGGCATTTTGTGGAAAACAATGTTGCCTTCATCCTCGACGAACTAAACGATGCCTCAGAATATATACCAGACCAAAGTAAAAGTATACTGGTGCATGGTAAACCTTCAAACTCCGCTGTGTTGACTTCAGTCCTCGAGTTACTACACTTACGCTGTTTTGAACGACATTAAAAATTCATTTAATAACCATGGATTTCGATTAGCGCATTGCGACACCGAGCAGCCCAGCCGTGTCCTGCGCATCAATCATACTCCAAACCCCAGCCAATCGCGAAGCTCAGCGGAAAGAGCTCCTTCGCCCCTGTCTACTCGTGGTAAGACAGCTGTCATGGGTGCCAGTTGCGTGCTGATATATCGTGTCAGTAGCTGCCAGATCTACCACGGTACCACCACTAGTGATTTCATGGTCATCGGACCACGAGGGGTCAACTGGTTAGTGTTCTCGTTTATCATCGAGTTAAAATGACTCAAGTGGAGCCCTTGTACCACTACCATGGCGTTTCCGAACGAGTGTAAAAAAACAATACATCCGTAGCGGTGTGAAAATTTTGCATTCGGCGAGGACATATCACGGACGTTATGTGGAGGTGAGGGTACTTCCATCACTCCATAATTCAAAGTTTTGATACATTTGATCCCCGTATAATCACACTGAACTTCTATGATGTGTCCAAGCTTGTCACGGTGGGATACAACAACTATCTCTGCTCCTCAAATAGCTCAGAGCTCAGCTATGTATAGTGGCCGCAACTTAGGGTTGCTCCTCGGTGATCCCCATACAAAATGACATCATTTCTGTTGTCCCCTAAAAAAATTGCCGTCCTTCTCAACACCACAGGTACCACACTCTGCTATGTATAGTCTTGGGAATGCTTATGGTTGGAAACCTTGTGCTTTAACTCCAGATATTAACCTTGCTACTGATTGCAGTTACGCACAAGTTACATGGACTCATGACCGGCCGCCTTATACAACGGTAATAAGGTGTGTTAGGTATACCGTAATATAGTGTAAGTGGCTGGCAGCACTTAGTACTGAATGAATACAGTACAAGTCAATAATATAAGAGAAATCTTGGAGTGAAACGTATACATTTACTATACTGATGCATAGGTTCAGTAAGCAGATGTTTGCATGTAAGACAAGCACAAGAATCAACTAGTTCTGGACAGCGAGTCAAATTCATTCCTGATCGTCACATCAGCTTCCTCCGTCGATGGACGGTCCCGAGGATCAGTAGACCAACATTGCTCGATAAATGGCCAATACTTTTCAGGGAGCTCAGGATAATGAGTTCGGGAGGGTGTTTCCGACTTAGCTATGTGCAGGACGATCATGTGATTATGCCGGAGGTAATGATAAGGGATTTTGTTGGTGAAGACCTAAAGGCAGAGCTCACGACATCATCAACAAGTTGAGAATATTCTGGGCGTACCTGCAACATGATACCGCCGAACGAAAAGACGTCGCTCTGCTTGCTTGGCCGTACTGGAGTTCCGTCCTCTCGCTCTTCAAGCAGCTCAGGAGCCATCCATCGTACATTGCCACTGAAGGTGGAAGTCCAGGAAGCCTGAGAGGCGCTTATGACCTCCGAATACATCAAGGAAAGACCGAAGTCGGCAACACAAGCGGTGCCGTCAGCATATATCAGCACGTTAGGCTAGAGATCATGTCTCGATCAAATCAAAATTATCGAGAAGCGGTCGAACTTACCCCAGTGAGGTCACCATGGATGACACTCTTAGCATGAACTGTGCATGTGAGGAATGTCACTACTCCAGGTCTAGCACTGAGAATAATTAGCACGTACGATATTGCAGGCCAGCTATGATATCTCTGAGCTGAGATTGCCATCAGCCTGTGGTCTGCATGAAATACAAGAGACTTACGATCCGGAATTTTCTAAGGAGAGTAAGAGCCGCACCCTCACGCTTCAAATAATCCGACAGGTTACCCCATTCTGCCCAACGACTGACTATCGCTGGAAATGGGCCGAAGCCATACGTATAACCATAGATGGGTACAATATTTGCGTGGTTGAGGCTGGCAGATATCTTGAGTTCATGCATTATCCTCTACGAGATGGCAGCCCATAAGTAATAGATGAAGTCCTTCGTCAAGAAACTCGCCTTGGTCTTTTTCGTCTTTGCTGGCCCAAATTGATCATCAGCGCATGTCTGCAATACTTTCACCGCAACCTGCTCAATTATCAATTTTGAACTGATGGACAAACAACGCTGCAAACGAACTTGGGCTAGTATGCGATCAACGTAGGTGCATTTCCAAATATCTGCGAACCCGCCACGAGCAACAGGGTGGCCTTCAGCTTTGGAGATATACTTTGAGAGGTCTCGGAGTGCTGCATGAGGAGGGAGATTGTCGCCATAAGCAACAGGATTCATTTCAGATCTCGACAGTGAGTCAAATTCGTTCCTGATCATTATATCAACTTCCTCTGTCGATGGACGATCCCGAGGATTAGTGGACCAACATCGCTCCATAAGCGCCCAGTATTTTTCAGGGAGCTCAGGATAACGGGCTCTGGAGGACGTTTCCGACCTAGCTAGGCATCGGACGATGGTGACCTCAGTACTGTGATAATAATAAGGAACTTTGTTGGTGGAGACCTGAAGGCAAAGCTGGTAATATCATCAACCAGAGGTAGGGATTACCTCAGACGTACCAGCAACATGATACCGCCGAACGAATAGATGTCGCTCTGCTCGCTCGGACGAGCTGAAGATCCATGATCCCTCCTTACTAACAGCTCAGGAGCCATCCATCGTATGTTTCCTTTGAGGGTGGAAAACCAGGAAGCCTCAGAGGCGCTTGCGACCTCTGAATACATCAAGGAAAACCCAAAGCCAACAATACACGCAGTGCCATCACCGCGGATGAGCACATCAGACTAGAGCTTGCGTCTAAATACAATGGAGCTATCGAGAAGATCGAACTTACCCCATTGAAGTCTCCATGGATGAAACCGTTGGCGTGAACTATGAGGAATGGTTAGAGCTCAGTTGGGCACTGACAGTAACTATCACGTACGATATTGCAGACCAGCTATGATGTCTCTGAGCTAAGTGTTCCATCGGTTTTGTGCTCTACCCAAAATACATCAAGAGAAGACTTGCCAGCTGGAATCGTCTGACGAGACTAAGAACCGCACCCTCACGCTCCAGATAGTTTAGCAGGCTACCATTTTCTGCGAAAGGTGTGACTATCGCTGGAAGTGAGCTGAAGCTATACGTATAACCATAAATGGGTACAATATTTGCATGGTTGAGGGCGGTACGTATCCTCAGTTCACGCTTTATCCTCTACGAAGTGGCGCCCGTGTTGTAAGCAATAGACTCAGTCCTTCGGTAAGACACTCGCCTGAGTTAATTTTATCTTTGATCCTTCAGAATAAAGGGTAAATAATGGTATTGCTTTCACTGCGACCTGCAAAATCAAATTTTAGACAGATAAACAGACAAAAGACAGCAAACGAACTTTGACCGATATCTGATCGATGTGAAGGGTGCATTTCCAGATCTCCCCCAACCTGCCGTAAGCAACAGGGTGTTGTTGATCCATGGTGATAGCATTTGAGATGTCTTTCAGCGTTGTTTCAGTGGGGAGACTCGGATGATCAGGCTCATCATTACGAGCGGAGAAACCTGTATGCATAAGGGACTCGGAAGAGGCACGGAGATCGGGGTATAGCTGAAGGGCCTAGTAGTAGACTGGTGACCAACCCGTGGTGTAGTATGAGGCAAGCCGTCGATAGACGGATTGGTTTGACTTTGGATGTCGAGCGGATTCTCACAACTAGTAGGAGTCGACCCAAAGGATAATTCTCCGCTATAATGGGAAAGGCTATAAACTACGCGTCTCACATAGAACGTGACATATCGCGCTGATTATTGAGATCGTCTCGCCATGGTTCAATTCAACCCGAGTTCCACATAATTATGTAAGGACCCCCCCCCCTCAACTTTTTGTTCGGCAGTTTGAGTCAAACGTTCACAGCGTCAGAATTGGCAGCTCAGGAAGAAAGTCAGTCATGGCGGAATGTACACTCGTAGACTAACACAGCGTGTTTCGTCTACGCACACCACACAAAGGCGCTGAATAAATGCAGACTTTGACAACACGGCGTCGCAATCTCTGGAGATGCTGTTATAATGCCTGAAACAATCTCGGTGAGTTTCCTCACTCTTGTACGACCACATGCTCACGCACCTCGTAAAGTGCCTAGGCTCCAGTCCCAGTCATTCTAAAACCTAGTATGAGCGGACTGCAACACATTTCAGCTTCGCGCCCTCGGCCTTAGGAATGACGGTCGGGTACCTTGCAATTTCTTCGGCGCGTTTTGCCAGTGCCACCAAGTCAACCTCACCAGGGCAAAAATTACAAAGCTCTGAGAGTGCAGGCATGGCATCGACTCGGAGTAGGACTTGTCATTTCTACCATGTGACACGTCTTTTGTGGTGCGACAAATTTGCATTCGACGAGGACATATTTCGGATGTTATGTGGTGAGGGTACTGCCGTCGCTCCCTAATTCAAAGTTCTGATACATCTGATCCCCGTGTAATCACACTGAACGGTCGAAGCTTGTCATGGTGGGACACAACAAATATTCCTGCTCCTCAAATGGCTCAGAGCTCAGCGCTCAGCTATGTATAGTGGCCGCAACTTGGGGCTGCTTCCCATGACATAATGACATCATTTCTGTTGTCTCCTAAAAAATTCTCAACACCCAGACACCACGCTCTGCTATGTATAGTCTTGGGAACGATGGTTTGAGACCTTGTGCTTCAACTCCACATATTCACCTTGCTCCTGATTGCAGTTGCGCACAAGTTACGTGGACTCATGACCGGCCGCCTTACGACGGCAACAAGGTGTTTGTGTGGGTAAGGTGAGTACTGAACGAATAGAGGACAAGTGAATCTCCTACTTCGCCTTAATCGGGTATGTGTGTGAACTGCGTCTCACATAGAACGCGACACCGTGACATCGCGCTGATAATTAAGATTGTCTCGCCATGGCTCAATCCAACTTGAGCATTACCTGCTTCCACATAAGGACCCCTCAAAAAAACATGCTCGAGTTGTTGTTCGGCGGCTCACAGCACCCGAATAGGCAGCAGAGCAAACTCGCCTTATTTCAGAAAGAGAGTTGACCTCGCAGGATCCATATCGTCATTGGCGGGGTGTACCCCTATAGACTAACACAGTGCGTTTTCATCTACGCACACCACGCGAAGGTGCTGACTATATGTAGACTTTGAAAAAACAGCTCCTCGATGTCTTTGATATCGCAATTTCCGGAGATACTGTAATGATGCGTAACTTGCCTGAAACAGTATCTTTCATTCCGGGTGAGTTTTGCCACTCTTGTACAACTTAAGTTGTTGCATCCCCACGCACCTCGTAAAATGCCTTGGCTGAGTCTTAGTTGTTCTACTACATACCTGATCTATGATTAAGGCTGTTGAAGGTCACACAACCACAGCAATACTCTCCGTCTCATCAACTGACAGCGGGAGGGAGAAGCAAATAGTCTTGCCACTCCCAATTCCAACTGCTGCTTCAAGTTCCCTCGCAATTGAGTGTTTCTTCGGCGCGTTTTGCCAGTGCCGTGGCCTGCCAGGTCAACCTCATCAGGACAAAATTTCCAAAGTTTGGAGAGTGCGGGTATGGTATCGAGCAGGACTTGTGATTTCTACTATACATATCTTTTGTACCACATGTATGCAGTCTTTCCACCTTGCAATTCGATGCTGGAACTCGTTCGCTTGCGGCAGATTCGGCATTCGATACTCCAGAGTCACCTCCTGTTGCCTAGTCAGGTTGTAAGCGGAGTTTGAGTGAGTTCTCGATGAAGCGCCTTGTGCGACGGTCCACCAACTGCCCTTTTCCCACGCCGACAATGCAGCTGATGTGGAGACTGACTCTGTTCGTTCTCGAAGAAGTCCTTCCAGGCTAGACTCGTCACTATTCTGCCTACCTGCGCATTCTCAATGAAGTGCTTCCAGACGCCTTGTCCGACGAACCACCGCCCTTTTCCTACGCCGACAAGACGGCTGGTGTCGACACTACCGTATGAGTTACGCATATATTAAATATCCTCAAATACGAAATGATACACCGCATTCGCAAGCAAACGTTGCATTGTTCTCCTATCCCAAGTCACCGGGGCACAGAACCTGCCTCTGCGATCGCGCCCCGCACGGGAGAAGAATGAAAAAAATGTCGATCAGAACGGCAGAAATCATTTGATGTTGCCAAGTTTATTGGTTTTCAGGGCTCGGTGAACACCAGTTCTGGTTGTGCGGCTGATTCTTTGTCCAGCGCCCTACCCAGCAAAGCTTTCATTCCCTGCAGATCTGGTGCCAAAGACCCTGACGAGTTCCTTCGAGTTGCTGCATCAAGAACTTTCATCGGTTTTAAAGCGATTGCCGACATGCGGCGTTGTGATTGCTTTTACGGGTGAGCGCGATTTTTTTCAACTGTTCTTGGGTCCAGGCTGGAAGATGATGACAATGCTTATCACTGGTATATGAAGTTGACTGACAATTTGACTTCTTTTGCGACTGGCTGTCCAGGCTAGAAGACAATAAAGCATTGCTTATCGGTACCTTCGAAGCCGATGGGCGGTTTGAACTTTGACCGATTCATGGACAGCGCGTTTTTGCGGCTGGCTGAAAGACCCGGTCGATGCTTATCGCTGACGTCCGCAGTTGATCAGGTTCGATTGTTTTTGGGGTGGAGAGAGCATATCTGTGACTGGTTGGATGACAAGAAGATACTTATCGTCACTGCCACTTCGGTCTATATGTTTAATAAACGAGCTCCAAGGGCTCCAACGAATTCACATGACGTCGATGGCGTTGCCGCTTCGAAGAGAGAGCCCACGGTATTTGTGGTTCACAAAGGAAACGCCACAGCTCATGAATACATGAATGAATAGCGTCTACCGAGTGAGTGGATATCAAACCCTTCAGATAAAGTTATGTGTTATTTGGTGTAGTAGCAGTCAGGGTCCGATGAACCTTCGCGAAACAGTTAAAGCGAACTGGTTGCCGAGAAGAGAGAAGCCAACTAGAACGCGTCTGATACAAGCAGAGATACATATTGGACGAATTGCTCCCCCCTGACCGTGCGCGAATAGATGCGGCGTCAGGCACGAAGAAAGAGGTTGTGAACCTTCTGAACGAGGGTGGGGGCCAATCCAACCACATGATGACACATGACTGGATGAGGTTCTTGCGAACGAGCTATAACGTGGTGATGCTGTAGCACTTTGAGCTTAGGGGATGTTGGCCCAATTGGAGCGGGCTTATCTATTTGCCAGGGACGCGCCGCCGGTGAGCGCGTCAATGAGGAGTGATAAGGGAAGACACGGTCCGCACGGAAATAAGGGTGACTAAAATAGATAGACTTCGCGAAAATGCGCTGAAGATCAAGACCCCTCCCATGCGGTCCCATAAATGTCAAATGATATGTTCCAGTAATGGTAACGATAACTACCAACAATATTGACGTGTCTCACTTAACTCACGTTATTTGCTCCAATTTAGGTATACAGATCCCGGCAAAAAGGCCAAATTTTTGTAAAAATTAGTACCCGTTGTGCCGACGGGCACGTTGGTTTTCAATCCATCTCCTCGATTAGGAAATTCTTCAAGTTCATTGATCTCGCTTGTCGTCCTGCCCGGCACCCCAAGCCCTCCTGTTAAGTCGCCAATGCATATCCGGGCTTCGGCAACTGTCAATGAACCTATCGACACTACCGTGATGAAACGGATACAACCTGGCGCGAAATTAATTGGTAACCTTCTCTGTCAAGGCAACTCCACTGGCAGCGGCATCTTCTACCAATTTTTTTATATCCCTTGACGTCACTAAACAAAACAAGGAGGTTTGTTAGACGCGAAAGTATATAAGATGGGCTCAGCAATTCACTAAATGTCAGTTCCTTCATCCCCTCTCAGCCTTTCATACATACCATCTTGTCTCGGTATACCCACCCTTTCACATCCACCCTCCTCACCACATCTTTCAACGAAATAATCACGATGTCCTCCCAGAACGCTCACACTTTCTACGCCGACGCCGTCCTCTTCGACATGGTGTGTATTTTCTTGCATTGGGATTCCAAATCTAACTCTGCCAGTGCTTTACAGGACGGCACCCTCACGGACTCCATCGCAGCTGTCGAGGCGGCCTGGGGTAAAGTCGCCAAAGACATTGGCCAAGACCCCGCTTACGTTATTGCTGCAACCCATGGCAAGCGCGCCGTAGACAATCTCGCCCAATTCAAGCCCCATATCAAGGCACATGAGATGGACGACGAGGTTCAAAATTTCGAGGAGAGCATTCTCTTCTTCGCCGATGCCTACAACATGTACGGGCCCGGCTCGCAGCGCCCCTCACCTGCAAGCTCGCCTGTCTTGAATTCCCCTCTTAGCTCCGGCTCCGCGACCCCTGATCTTTCCTTCTCGCCAAGCAATTCTGCCCCTTCTTCTCGTGCATCATCATTCGTCTCGCCTCGTCGACCATCATTTGCCAGCAAGCTAAATAATATGCTGACTATGTCCGTCGTACCTGAAGCGGCCGTCTACGGTCAGGGTCCCCAATTCGAAGACTCTATCATGGAAGAAGATCAGCAGGACATCGTTATGTTCGAGGCCAACCAGAAGAAACACGTTCTCGAGGCTTGGCAACAGGAAGCAACGAGTGTTGATCGCTCAGTGCGGATTTTGCCCGGTGTTAAAAGGATGATGAGCTCCATTCCTGAAGGTCGTTACGCTGTCGCCACCTCAGGTGCAAAAACATATGGTATGCGGATTTTTATTTACGATGAAGTATCATACTGATTATTGTTGCAGCATATGGTTGCATGACTCGCGTTGGTATTACCCCGCCCAAGATTACCATTACCGCAGACGACAAGCGTCTCAAGGCTGGAAAGCCTGCCCCAGACCCATTCCTCCTTGCTGCTCGCGAACTCGGTTTTTCTGCGAAAAACTGTGTCGTGTTCGAGGACTCCCCAAGTGGGATCCGCGCAGGTGTCGCTAGCGGTGCCACCGTAATTGCTGTGTGCACCAGCCATGAGAGGAAGCACATCGAGCATGTCGGCGCCCACTTTGTGGTGGAAAACATGGACAAAGTAAAGTGCGAGCCGTGTGCGGACGGCAGACTGAAGTTTACCGTGCAGCTATGATTGTTCCTAGAGTGTATGTATTCCCTATCTTAACCTTCCTCCAGTGGAAAGGCCGCGCTACATCCGTTGTCATCTTCTCCTTTTTTTTATTTCCATTTGTACGACACGATTCTTGCTCAGATCTGCACTCCACTTAGGGATGCTTGTACACATAGAGGACTTGAATACTCATGTAATTTCGAATAGCATTCTCAATCTAGCAGCGCCGCGCGTCATTCGATGACAAGATGGTATCATGAACTCAAAGTCTCAAAAGACTGGTCGTGAATTGTACTGGATGATAGCTGACCCGATTTCGATCTCCTCTGACCCTTACAGGGTACAGTCCTCGGTGAAGAAGGGTAAGACTAGCGCCACTGTATAGTACTGGGGGATACGTTCCGAACTCAAATGCACTGGTTGGAAATCACCTGTTCCAAATTGTAAGTTACTACCAGTTCTTCTGTACCAACCCCATCATGGCAAGATCTCAATTTCGATTGATGAAGAAGACAAGAAGCCTTGACGAAATCAAAGATCGCATAATGATGTTTGACAAAAACCGAAGAAGTCGGCATCAGGCTAGCGCTTGGAAGACGAAGCGCTACATAATAATTTCAGATATTCCAAACTTGAGCATACCAAAAAAACAGGTATTATGGGGGTATCTTCCGTCTTGTTCATAGTTCCTGCTGCGAGCTTTATCCAGTCCCATCCGCCGAATTGTCCCCTCAACTGTTCTTCCCAGCGACCTCGTCCAAAAACGCATTTGAAAGCTTCACGCACTGCTCGTAAACCTCCTTGAACCCATCCTGCGCACGCGCCATTTCAGAGTCCATTCCCGCGACACCAAAACGACTCACAAGTCCCCCATAATACGGGTCCTGAATCGGCTTGTTATCAGGGAGGTAAGAGCCCCAAAGCCTCACCACCGCTTTCGATCCCTCCCTCCGACCCGCATGTCGTTCCAGCGCGCGCAGATTAGACCCATCAGCTGCGAGTATATAATCAAAGGACATGAAATCTGACGCGCGGACTTGTCGTGCAGAGTGGGATATAGGAACGTTTTTCTGCACGATCACGATAGTGCTCCTACGTACATATTCCTATTAAGATGCTGGGGGAGGAAAGGAGCATACCGTGCCGCATACTTCGATAGTCCTGCCACGATCATACTTAGCCTGAGTCTGGGGGGTCGAGAGCACAGATGCGATGCTCGCTTACCGTTCGTCAGGATCTTCCCCGATATGTGCAGCAGCTGTGCCAGCGCTGTCGACGTGGATATTGGTGATGCCGCGCTTGAGGGCTTCGTTGCGGAGGACGGCTTCTCCCATGGGAGAGCGGCAGATGTTGCCGAGGCAGACGACGAGGACTGAGATCGTCATGTGTTGGCTTAACGAGGCTAGCGTGGTGAGTAAAGAGGTCTTATCGGATTGTTATCAGCAAGAAGCGAATGTTCATGTGGCGCCTAGGATTATCAGGCTCACACGGTTTCATTTCATTGGAGCAAGGAAGCGTAGGAGAACTTCGTCACTAGTACACATGTAGTTATCAGTAGAACTTCATCTTCAAGTCTACGAGCAGTGCACTGATCATCATTCACTCGTGTTCCTGACCGGACTGGTGTGGTACTCCGGAATGACTCATGATCATGATCAATTCCGTGTCGGCAACGTATTCGATCAATGTCTATATTACACCTTGACATGTTGCGCCGCACAGACAGGTACCCTATATGTCCCAAAAAAAAACCGAATAACACATACTATGTACAATATTTTTGCGACTGATTTTGTTCGTAGCAGTCATGCCGAATGAAATCACGGACATCAAAGGCGTTGGATGGTCGTAAGTGAGAGTAGTAGAGGTTAGTCTTCGATAGGATGCTGGCACTGCATCCAGAACGGACCTGCCAAGGTAAGGGCATTAGCCGCTGATGTGAGAAATCGACCTGAATATTTGCACATACCGATGGGATCCTGTGGGTCATGCATGGTCGTAGACCAAGCCCCAAGAACTCCATATTGAGAACGGATGTTGCCCATAACAATCGCTTCCCCCCTGTTTTAGAGCATATGGTTACCAAATGATGAACAATGTAAGGACGAGGACCATACCACCACACTGGTTGATCTCCGTTACCAGCGACCTATACCCGATCTTGGCGTCAGCGAGAACAAATTGACTTGACTGGTGTACTTACGAAGTGCCACCGTACCTGGTGGTCAGGCGTGAGTTTGACGTAGCCGACGATGGAGAAATTGCCATCCATCTCTCCTACGTAGTTGATTTTTGGTCGGGTCGGGTGATCCGGGTCTCGCTCCACATTGATCACACGGAAAAATATGTCTACCGCGCTGAACGTCTCCTCTAACTCTCCATCTTCGAATATAGTGTGATCAAGTGGCTCGTCCTCTGGCATCTGTAAATGTCTGTCAGATGGGACTATAATTACAGGTAACAAGGGCAGTAGAACATACATTGGGATCATTGTAAACTAGACGGGAGCAATGCCACGTCAGAGACAACGGAAGGACAAGAACATTGATGGACTTACTTAGTAATTCCCGGTGATCCATGAAACAATAAGAGATCCGCCATAAGCCTTCGACGCCGGCCCAATCAGTCTCGCAGTTCAGATCCAGACTGGGCGGTATGACAGCCTGACAGAAAGTCAGGCTCATCGAGCAAATTTCAAAAGCAAGTTCTTCATCCTCTTCCTTCTCCACCAACGCGCTAGCGAAGACATGTGCGAGCTTCTGCATATGCACCCAATTGACCACTCCACTTCCATCTAGCATAAAAGGCCCAAAGTTGTTTGAGGGCCCGTAGTTGCGCTGACTGTAAACATATGCTCGGGAAAGCACTCTCTGCGTTGCCAAAGCATCTCTGTCAGTCAACCCAAACCATGTGTGCAAGCGTGCGCGGAGCTGTTCTTCTTCATGGGAATGGCTCTCCAGATCAAGGAACGCGCCGTCCTGCAGGAGTGTCTGCATCCACACCACATTACGGGACGTCGGCTCGCTCTCAGGGAAAGGTAGAGGCGGTACGTTCGTCACCATGTCAAGCAGGGTTCGTAGTACCTGACATCTTTCATCTGGTCGACAGACAGTAACATCATTCACGACTGTCCTCGCGCGGATGATGTTTTGTAGTTCCTCCCTCCATTTGATGTCAGTCCGGCGATTGCCGAGGTACGTGACCGCCTTACGGGGGTCATCAAATGATTGCGCCAAGTAAAGAGCTCGCCAGAAATGCTCATCATCGGCAGTGTATACGAGCCCGCGGAAGAGTTGACACACTTGGGCTGTACTTGCGACATCAAGAGGGTCCAAAATCACGAGAATGTGCTCTAATACTTCAAGCGGCAGATCGGTTATACGAGCAGTGTCTGAAACCATTGGACAGCGTCAAGCCGGGGACGTCAAGGACGACCGGAGGCAAGGCTAGCTACGCTGGGGGACCGTTCAACTGGGTTTGGGAAGGAAGGGTTTCTGGGAGATAGTAGCGGATCATGATATAGTTCAATAAACACTCGAAAAAATTCTTTCACTATCGGGTCGTGTGGGTAGCATGCTCTGAATCGAGCAACTTACTAAAATCAATAGAAATTATTTTCGATGTGGAAGTGATCAGTGACTGTCCTCCCTGAGTGTGTGTACACTACTTTTACTCGGGGGCACTGTGTGATTCCGGCATCAATTCCTCGGCACTAGCGGCTTAGGGGTGATTGATGGTGGCAGGGAGATGACCACTGCCAGGGGCTGCGGTTAGCCATTCTCTATATATACCGTTCAAGTCGCACTTTCGGTATACATACTTTGACAGCACAAACGTCATACGACACAAACTGGTGAGTAAAGCTACTGTATTGCGCCCTCAGTCTAATGAAGTCTCCTCTGAAATGGTTGAGCGGTGAGTATGTGAGGTGGTAGTAGCGTGGTCGACCCCTAGCCGGAGACAAAGAAGCATCACTAGTATGTCTGCAACACTCGACACGTCATGCCTCAGCTCCCAGCACTCGGAATGCTGATGCGGAATATCGGCGCTGGGTTAGGATGGACAGAGAGCCAGAATTCGCCCCCCGCGTTGCCTTGGTTGCAGAGCGTGCGGTGCGTACCGCAATGGGGTTGAATGCGGCACGGCGACAGAGAGGGAACAAATAAACAAGAGATCACAGAGAATTGTGCATGAACTGCTCACAGAATCTGACACGCAGCACGGCGAAATCTCGATTTCGGGTCGCTTGGCACCACCAAATTGTTCTTGCGTCCGTACGTCCATCTCTAGATCTGTCAGCGTCCGGTTGAACGACTGCCTGATGGATGCACAGATCCATATATTCTTCAATCGAAAAAAATAGATTCGCTACCGGTAGGTCGCTACCATTTTTAGAGGTGGAGGTTGAAAGGCGTCCTTGACAGCATGCAAAAATGCCTATTAGAGCCGAGTTGAACAAAGCCTGCTAGTGCTCTTCATGGGCGGAATTGCTCGACGAGTAAAAGACCTTGCGCCAAAAATTACACAATGGCTTCGGCAGTCATGGCTTTATTCTCCTAGGTCGTGCGACGCGCTACGCAGTAGAAAAAGCCAGGCGTGGGTAGCTTGAAGTAATAATGCGGTATGTATTTTTGTACTCACAAGAAGAGCCAAGCCGGCTAACGAATGCGCGGTACATATAATTATGTGACGGCGAGATTTAGACTGGGGTTCGAAACGGAAATTGAGTAAAGGGTAAAGTTCCAGGCGTCGATGCGGATCGAAGTTGGAGTCCAGAGAATTTGAGAACTTGAACTTGAGGCTTCCTGGTCCGGTGGCGAAGAGTTGGCGCGCCGAGGCCTTTATAATGAGGCATTCGGAAGTGATGAATGAAATTTGCGCGTCCATTGCTATACGCGCCCATGTTCGCTACCAGATCTAGGCCAGTGTCAAGTTGCTACGTCGGCTAGTGGGATACAAAGTGAGTACGTTGCTGCTGCGCACCTGAATTAGCCATGTTATTCATTGTTCTCCGTCCGTGGCCCGTGGGTGCGATATAGTCCATGTCCTCGACAGGCTTTTTTCGACATTTTCTCTGCTGTCGCGCCAGCATCAATGATGTGAGTGATTGATTCCTACAGGACCTGAGCATCTCGATATACCAGACCGGGGGGGATTGAACAACCGCACGTAAGCGTCTAAAATTGGTCTGTAACAGCTCAACACGCTGCATAAACGTGGCTTGAACTTTTGGTTTAATATTAGGTGCGGAAGAGGTTAATTTCGTCGCGAACCACCACATATATGGCTCAAGTGCCAAAGCGCCAAAGACTCGAGACACGCGTTCGGGAGTTTTAGCCCGTAAACGCTCATGAAACGACCTGGAACGTTAATCTGCGTTTAGCTATAGCATATGACCTAGATTTGCACTGCAGGTAAGGTCAAACTTTATTTTGAGAAAAAGGGACACAGCTTCAATTGGCAACAGGGATGAAATCGAAAAACAAGAGAATCGTCAGATTGAGTTGGTGTTTATTGTCCCGAACAATGATTATGTAACAAGACAAGATTGAAAAACGCTTGAAGGAAACCGTGAACAAAATAATGCATGGCTAACACGTTTTCACCCTTCACAACACTCTTTACTATATTTCCTCTCCTTGGCAGGCCCACCTAGACTTTTACTCTCCAGAGCGCGATAGACGCTCCCGCTCCAAGTCTAGGCACATAAAATCCGAAAGACGTACGATTACTTATACTTATTAACGTTGTACTTCAGCGCCGTCCTGATTACTGCACCATCGCCGATGCCCGCAATGGTTTCTGCTAGAGGTCTACCAACTGACCCACCCGCGCCCGCACGTCCTCCACACAAACGATCGACAAATTATGGATACTACAACCCGATGGATGGTGGCGGGAGTATGCTTTCTGTACGTTCGTTCTGTCCCATATGCGGTGTGGGGTGTTGATGTAAGAGATACGTTATGCAGCAAGTCCAGGACACCTATCCGCCAGGCCTCGGAGAACCCATAAACGTCATCATCTCTGCCTATTCTGATTCTCAGGTGCTGCAGGAGACTACGGCAAACGGTGGTCTCATCAATTATTTCCAGTGAGCACTGTCCTCTGTTCTCGTGGAGTTGTTCTTACGTGCAGGCAGGTCATTTGGGTTCTCGACGGAGTGTTTGGGACAGACTGACCCTAGCGAGCAAACCGCTGATCTCGGCGACGGCAACGGTTACCGTACGTCTTCTGTTTTCTAATTCGGCTCGGCTCGGAGCTCAATATTTCAGTGAACGAGACCGCTGTCATTCGGTGGGACTATGGCGATGCAAACCTTGGAACTTGCCAAGAGACTGTCGAAGGAGGGAACCACTTTCGCTATTGGGTACAGAATGGGCAAAGCGCTGACTCGGGCGCGATATTCATGGCAACTTCATATGAAATGCCTATCGCTGGTGCGTCCGAAAAGTAACTTTGATAAGAATTTGCAATGACCATGTTGCAGACTCGCATAATATCATAGTTGATGGGTGCGTGCCCATTGTTTGTCAACTGCCTTCGACTTATATCCCGTAGCTATAACCTAGGTCGAGACTGGCTCGTTGGGAATGTTACTTCTCAATCGACAATCCTTCCAACAGCAAACATCACCAATACATCGACGTACTCGGGACAAACATCCTTTAATAATTTCACCTATGCGACCACTGTGACGTACGTCTCTGGGCTGCTACAGAACACTAGCGATGGGATCAACCACTATCAGAGTGTCGCTGTCAATGGACTAAATGCGATCGATGGACTAGTGGCGGTATTAACTGTTAAGATGGTCCAGCAACCCGGTGGTAGTAGTAGTTCAAGCGGGTGGGTTCCCATCTCGGTTGCGACGCATATCCATTTGTGCTCACTTTGTGTAATATATTAGTGCGGAGTGGACGTATCGTCCTAAAGGAATTCTGTGGACACTCCTTGCAATCTCATGCGCGATATTCGTGTCATTGCTCTAGATTTACAGGCCTCATTATAGATATTCTCGAACAGTGGTTACACTGCACGATATTACCTCGGACGTAGTTCTCGGACAACGATTCTTTATTGCTAACCATGTCTGGAGGCATACCTCCGCATAGTATATTTCATCTCTTATCTCACCAGCTGGTTGATACTCACATGTACACTTCTGGTATACCGCTACTTATGCCTTCACTTGTAAGTTCAGTACTCAGACTATAACTTCTGTGACTTAGACACTTTCGCTTCGACGGATTATCTGTATCTATATATATCTTTCATCAGATGCATATCATAAAGTCCTTAGGCTTGTATATATTATGGTGACATTTGTCTCATGTTACATGACGATCAATGATGCTATTGGTGGGTATTGGACTGCATGAGGTCGCTGCGGACGACTAATAGCCAGACTTCTCGTAGGCAGTTTCATTCGCTGTAGAACAATTAACTCGAGTGTCACGAGTAAGATCTGCGATACTTACCATGATGCTTGGCCTTTTGCTTGTCTAACATGTCCAACTAGAATAATAAGTCAGGTTATGAGTTACACAGATAATCGAGTGAGATAAAACGTACACCCTTCGTCTCGACCATGCGGTCGATGAAGGCTCCGCCAAATGCGGCTCTGTGACCAAAGTCAGTTACGATTATGTCTTTCGAGGCCGAGAGACTTACAAGAGCTCCTTGGCCTTCTCGTGGCTTACAGGCTGGCCGTTCTTCTCGCAGTGGTTATTGTAAGCTTTCATGGCCTACAATGATATTTTGAGGTTCGATGGGAAGATCGATCATAAGGATAACTCACCTCGTAAGAAGCCGCAGCAGCGATCAACTCATGAGAGAGCTTTGCCTGATGAGGTGCATTAACGACCTGCGATGCTCATGATTAGATATGATGTGTATTGAACAATTGGTGTAAATTACTACCTGATCGTGTGCGCTAGCAAGGTCTTCGTGATGGTTATGATGGTGGGGCATTGTGATAAGGGAGGTGGTGATTGAGGGAAGATTATGGTCGGAATGATGAGGTACTTATACTGTTCGCGTTTCATTGGCTGACCAACTTTAGCACGGGTTTAGCTGATTCTTTACATTTCTGGGGATCTTGTTGATGTTTTGGTCGGGTTTGAGGGTCTTGCCGACTTTCGCGTAGCAGTCATAGCATTATCTTATCTTAATCCCATTAGGAAGATACAAGTGCATCCGACAGAATTACGTAATAATTTTTGTTTGACTCATGCTCCATTTCACTGTGTCAATGCGAGTCAACCTGCCGAGCAACTTCCGAGTCAGTCTAGGATTTGGACTGCCCGCAGGTGACTATATAATCCCAGTGTCTGCTCGACTCTCCCAAATTACTTGCTCTCATGTCTGCAAACTTTTCCTTTGTGTTCCATTCTCCCTGAAATTGTGGCATCGCCTTGCCGCAGTCTGAGCAGACACTGCTCCTACTACTAAGTCCTGGAGCACAGTGCACTGCACTATTCGCTTGTGAAAATTTCCTATAGGTAATGCCGACTCGGGACGCGAGTATTCGAACTTTTCACCGCCCCCACCCTGCACCGCATTTGCCATCGAAACTTATGGAGACCGCAGTGTCAATCATGGCTTAATCCAGGTTCCGACCAGAATTTCACAAACGGTACATGGCGACACGATTTATCACGATACTAAAGATGCATAGCTTACTAACCGTGTATCAGATTGTTAGCATCGAACACACTTGCCGGTCACTTGGTGCTCGCTATATCATTATGCTTGGTGACAGGCAGATCTGCGTTCCTTGGTGCCATCACTGGCTTGGAATTTTTCCGTCACATGGGACACAAAACAGAGATCAGAAACAATTCACTGGATCGGTTCTCCAGTTGATCATGTGCCTTGATTCAATGGTCTGTCACATGTAATCATTGCGATGGTAATCGCCTAATCAAGCGGACAATGCTGCTGGAGACGTTCTGCGCCTTCCCTGAACAATCGCCTTTCGCCCAGAAGCTTCCGGCATCCACTACTAGTAGCTTGCGGCAATCAGACGATATCGGAACGTCACTTCTTCCGTGTCTCTTATTGTTCCAGAAGCAACTACATCTGTGGGGTCTCGAGATTCGACTGCGGATTAATAACAATAGCTCTCGCAATCGGCGACGGCGTAGATCTATGCAGTGTGCACTCGCAGGTATCGCAGTCAGGAGAAGAAGTCGAACACTATCACTCGCAGTAGCTGCGATCGCGCAGCCTCCTTTGTTCCCACGCATTGTTCGCTAACACATTGTACGACGTGTATTCTCTGGTGGTGATGTGTCCGCAGCTGAGCGCTGAGCATGCAGATATTCACAAGGCTATGCCACTAGTTGGTCGGCAAGCCATCCGATTGGCACTCGTGATGGACAGCGGGCCGCCATCCTGGTATGCCGCGCCCAATTATATGAGTCGTGGTTTTTGAAGGCGTCTAAATGTGAGTCAGGATGCGGTAACGACGGCTTAGCCATCCATGGAGTCCCGATGCCACCGGAATGACTCAGACGGTGTACCCATGATTTTCGAGTGTTCTCCAACGTTTGAACTGCCATTTTTTTGTGGCTTTTAGGGTACAGTAGGAAAGTGAAGGCAGTTGTTGTCTACCGGATGATTTTTCAGCCAGTAATACAAGTTTTGTTGTCACAATATTTGCCGGTGCCTTAGAAATCACCGGATTTGCTGTGCCTGTCACACTATTTTGGGAAATGCGCGGCTCTGAGCTTGAAAAGCGGTGAAGAGACTCCCATATAAGCACATAGCGAGTCACAATTTTCCTCCATATTCTTTCCCCTCAAACCACCAACTGGCACCCTAGGAGCGGCTCTTGCAGTGCTCAGGTGTCCAACGAGTCTTAAAGTACTCAAAGTTACCCGTGAGTGACTCAGTTCTGTCTGATTCATTCGATTGTGTTCTACGTGTGTTTTGTCTGCATTACTGCGCACGATCACATCACAATCATATTACCGATTTCTATCAAATCGATTGAAATCAAGAGTGCGCGTGGCTAAACGATGTCGTCGGCATATAATTATCCATCGACATCGAGGTCACCCGATGTGTCTCGTACATGGCCCCTCCCAGGGCCTTCACGAACATTTTCGGTGCAGCCTTTGGGGCTAGGGGAGTCACCGCGATGCAACGCACACTCACCACTCTTACCTCAATACCATACACAACGTGATATGAACGGGAAACTGACTGCGTCGTCGTCCAGACCTTCCAGGCAGCCGACGTTGCCGCCTGTGCCAGACCCGACCGTTAACACGTCCCCCTTTCCCGCGATTCTCCACAAACCGACCCATTATATTAGTCAACATGTTCGCGACCCACAGCTTGTAGATCGTTCGTTCTTGCACCAACCCGGCCCATCGCAATCACCTGGTCACCATGTCTCGCATAATTTCCTTGAAAGTTCCCAACTTTCAAGTTTCTCGTCCACTCGCCATGTCGCGATAAACAGTCACTCAAAACGTCCAACGACGTCTACTCCGGTCTTCAATAACATTTCCGATCTTGCTTCCCATTATGGGATACCCCAGTTTTTGCCCAGTGCACCTCGTACAACTCCTAGTAGACCAGAACCAGGAGAACCATCCTCTTCAACACTGTCTGTTGAACCCTTCGCATCTACAAACTCACCTGCTTTCGCCGATTTGTGCTCGAATTACTTGAAGATGTTGTCACAAAACCCAGGCAACAACGACGCGACCGGTGTCCACGTAGAGGACACGGCGCTATCGACGGCTTCGCCGTCTGACGCAGAAGCCATTCAGACGCTCTTGGACGTTTTCGGTGGTAAGTTATTCACTTCCGCCGCACTGGCGTGGCTTACACAATCCCTACCAGCCACACCGGAACTCACCAACTCGAATGACTTAAATGAGTACCTCACTTCACCCCTCATCGACTCGCCTTTCGATGATGAGCTGCTCACTACGCCTGCATTCGGCTCTGCGGACATCAACGCGGACATCTTCACGAGTCCGCTTTTGGATGATTTTGGGGGTGACTCGTTCGGCGAACTCCCGTCCCTCTTTGATTCTATTTATCCCCCATGCAAACCCACTGAATCATACCACCTCCCAACCAACTTTGATGAACTGTATCAAATGTCCCCCGACACTCCAATGCTCAACACTCCACTCGAATCGCCCCTCGACTCTCCTGCCAGTCATCGTCCACCGCAGCGGAAAGTGGCTGTCACTGGCACGCGTAAGAACATTACGCCGGAGGCCCTTGTCCCTATCGATGCTCCCACACAGCAGCGCAAGTACCTTACCCCGTCAGTGACTTCTCGCAAGGAGGTTCCTGCTGTCTTCGCTCGGAAGCGGGCGCGTACAGCTGCTTTCGGTGACGAGCAAGACGAGCTCATCGAGGATGTGCGAATCCTCCCTTCCATGACTGAGCAGGAGCAGATTGAGGCAAAGAGGCGCCAAAACACGGTCGCTGCTCGACGAAGTCGCAAGCGCAAGCTGGAGTACCAGCGCGAGTTGGAGGAGAGTGTTGAGCAATACAAGCGTGAAAGTGAGATCTGGAAATCGAAGGCTATGACTTACCAGGCCCTACTGCGAAGTCATAACATCGAATATCCCGAGCTTCCAGACCCATGAATACCACTCAAGTAGTCTCGTCATTCCCTTCGTCGTTCTTTTGATACCATAGTTCTCGACTTCGATGCTCTGTGTATTCTTATCATGTTCATCATCCCCATTCCCCATCCACTGGCGAAGAGCATCGTCGTATCCCCTTTCCCCATGTTCATGATCGCTCTTGACCTGCGTTCCTCGTCCCCACCTTCGTCATTTTCTTGATTTTTATCCTGTTAATTTCATTACACGCCATCTAGTAGTATTCACGTTTCCCGTCTATATGTCCAAGGTTGATTACATGCAAATCAAAAGTACTACTTTTTTGCGTCATAATTAATTGCGTGAATTGAGGCTATGCTAACCAAACTTGTTATTGAACAACCACGAGCGTCAGTGGACCACGTTTCACCTGAAAGACTCTTCCTTCAACTTGGGGCTTAAGCTTGAAGGATTGACTAAATACTTAAGCGAGACCAACTCTTTGTCTTGGAAGGTTGCCAACTCGCCATTACGCGATTACATACTTCAGAAGCTTCCAGTCACTCTACGTCCGTCGACCTCAGACACAAGGCCCGTGCTCGCAGGCTCCTGACAACTGACATGGTCTTCACGTCAACGAGCAGCAACTATGAGCGTCTTGAGGGCGGCTTTGGTCCAGGTCGTGCGACTAGGATGCTAGCATGGAAGAAGATCGCAATTGGCGCTGCAGTGCTCATTTCCGTGGTCTGGTTTTTTGGACCAAGATCGAGGATAGATGTGATACCTGGTACGTCTTGCGATAGTTGTCGTGAAGGAATACATTTACATATCATGAAAACAAGACTCGCCGACGCCTGGAATAGACGATGCTCATCCTCCAGTTTTACATATACCTACAACAACAACTCCTTCGAATCCCTCAGAAGATAAAATTGACATTCCCAAGACTACTGCTGCCTCGCCACCCTCCAAAACGTACTTCCCTACCTCTCCCGAAACAGACCCAGACCTCCTCAAAACTGTACACTGTACTTCCCCACATTCTCCTTCACTCCCTCTTGTGCAGTATGCTCTCATGATTGACGCCGGTTCTACTGGCTCGCGCATTCACATCTACAAATTCCACAACTGCGGACCCTCGCCAACCTTTGAGTACGAGGTGTTCCGCATGATTCAACCAGGGCTCTCTTCGTATGCAGGACTCCCAAGTGCGGCGGCAGGGAGCCTTAACCCTCTTCTCGACGAAGCCATGAACGTGGTACCCGAATCTCTGCGCAGTTGTACGCCTGTCGCTGTTAAAGCCACCGCTGGGCTTCGACTTCTCGGCGCCCGCCAAAGCGAAGATATTCTCAAGGCAGTGCATGACCACATCCTTTCCAAATATCCCTTCCCGTTCCCCGATAAGGATGGTGTTGTCATTATGGACGGCAAAGACGAGGGCGTTTATGCGTGGATTACTGCGAACTATCTTCTCAATACCATTAGAGGTGATTCCCCCGAGGACGCGCCGCCCTATGCTGTGCTTGATTTGGGTGGAGGGTCCACGCAGATCGTGTTCGAGCCCCAGTTTGGTGATGAGAAAGGTGATGAGGGTCTCAAGGAGGGCGAGCACAAGTATGAGCTCGAGTTTGGTGGGGCTAACCGAGTGCTATATCAGCACTCGTATCTTGGATATGGCCTCAAGAGCGCTCGGGAGAGCGTGCATCGCGTCGTTCAATTCATGGATTCTCTGAGGTCTAGCAAGAATGGCGATAACGATCGGAAAAGAATGATTCACAATCCTTGCTTGGCTCAAGGGTCAGTGAAGGAGGTGAAGCTTCCTGCGGGGGACGGCGATACTGTGACGGTGATGATGACGGGATCGGATATTGGCAGTTTTGAGGCTTGTAATCGTGTCTTGGAGCTTGTCATGGCAAAGGATGAGTAAGTCTTTGTTTTCTATTGACCTTTTTCGTATTCATCGATCGCTTCTAGTATTTGTGAACTCAAACCCTGCTCCTTCAATGGTGTTTACCAGCCATCACTCCTGGACGCCTTTCCTAACGGAAAAATCCTTCTTCTCTCGTATTTCTTCGATCGGGTCACCCCATTGCTTTTAGCAGACTCGTCACCAGATCATCCCCAGCCCCCCATGTCGATTTCAACATTCGCCACGCTTGCTAAACGGGTCTGCGCAGGACCTACCAGCTGGTCACAGTACTGGGGTGCATACCCTGACATCATGGAAGAACTCGAAGGTCGACCGGAGTGGTGCCTTGATCTTACTTTCCAGCATGCCTTGCTGGTCCTTGGCTACGAGTTTGGTGATGATCGGGAGGTGCAGCTTGGGAAGCGTATTGAAGGCACAGAGCTTGGTTGGTGTCTTGGTGCTACGATAGCGATGGTGGGCGGAAATCTACGTTGTCGGGTGTAAAGAAGGACAGTCATCGTAGACGTAACGCAGTGAACTCTCATTACACGTTTAGCTCTGCTACTGAAAGACATTTAATTTATCTGATTCAGGTCTTACATCTTGCTAAGTCTGCTCTAGTCTGGCATGCGTAGACCATGCACGTAAGGTCTAGCCCTTCCGGGCGAGTACTTGTGGAGTAGCTGAGGTACTACCCGTACAACGTGATCAAGTATACGGGGCAACGTGCGTAATAGGAGGTGCTTACTTTGACGTGTCTGACCCCGGTTGCTACATAGCCTATCACTGTCAGAAACTTTGATCATTAACCTGCCGTACTCTTTATCGACGAGCAGCGACCGCCGACTTCGTGGAACGACTTCTCATCTAATAAGCCCGAATCCCCGTTGCGTTAGCTTGTGTACAGTGCACCCCGAACTGGGTAGACCATAAGTAAACGAACAAGTCATTGGACCTGTGGCGCCCGCGGATGGCATCAACAGGTACGCACGTAATGGCATGGTCACCACATAAACTTACGGTCGACGTATTTATGTAATGCAATGTGCCTCAGGCTGTATTATGTCTAGCATGTCCTCACTTGGAATGAGCTGCATTTCTCATTCGAGCCGTTCCCTCGTAGGCTCGTACCACCATGATTGCCCAGCAGGATGACGAGGAGACACCTCTTCTGCAACGACCAGAGCAACCAAAGGCCAAGACACCTCTTCCATGGGATCAATTTTGGATTCTATTGCTCTTGGAGATGCCAGATTTTCTTTCTTCTGGGACCCTTGCGCCGTTTATTCCTCAAGTGAGGATATTCCCTTCGCTCTTATATCTCATCACAGGAACTTTGTCAAGCTCGTTAGAGACATCGGAGTCACTCACGGAGACGAAACTCAGGTTGGACACTACGCCGGCATTCTTGTAAGCATGTTTTCATAGTTTTTGCCCTTTCCTTCGTTCATGATACTATTCTCTCCAGCAATCATCGTACTTTGCAGCTCATACCCTGACCATCTTTCATTGGAGTCAACTGTCCGACCACATCGGGCGGAGGCCCGTAATACTGACAGCTATATTAGCACTTGTTATTTCGATGTTTGCGTTTGGGCTGTCGAAGAGCTTCCTTGCTCTGCTGGTAAGGTCAGTGTGCTCAGTTAAATATCAAATAGTGGTTGTGATCGTCAATTACTTGACCACAGTCGTGTTGTCTGCGGAGCATTTGATCCGGGCGATGCTATCATGAAGACCTTGCTGATGGACATTACTGACGCAACCAATATGCCCAATGCATACAGTTATATGCCAATTCCGTTGATGATTGGAACCACAGTTGGGTAGGCATGCAGTACATTTTCTCTCGCGCTGCGGTTCATAGAATATATTAGACCACTCATTGGAGGATCGCTCTCTCGACCGGCAGAAAGATTCCCTGGCATTTTTGGGCGATCGGAACTGCTGAAAACCTACCCATATTTCCTGCCATGCTCTATCTCGGCATCTTTCATATTCATAACTTGGCTAGTGGCGTATGTCCGTCTTAAAGAGGTGAGCGGGATGCTGAAAATCCATCTCTGGATCAGACTAATTGTGGTTACAAGAGCGTTTCTACCAGGACACCGCTTTGGGAGCTCATTAAAGGAGGATTCTTCGGACAGTCATACTCGAAGCCTCGCCAGTCATCGAGCGATATTATAGTTGATACTGGGGAAGTGAATCCTGAAGAAGTCCAATCAAAGCCGCTTCCGCTGCGTGCTTTACTAACCTCGAAAGTGTTGAGCGCAACAGCGAGTTATGCCACCATGGGCCTGTTTCTGATGGGGTTTGGTTCGGTCTTACCTGTTTTCTATGCGACACCGATTGAACTTGGTGGTCTTTCCCTTGACCCTCCTCGCATCGGTGCTTTACTTGCGGCATCAAGTGTCACACATGGCATGTTTCAGCTACTTTTATACGCTCGTTTACATGATCGCTTCGGTGCAAAAGCTATCCACATCACCGGCGTTAGCTCCGGCATACCCATGGTCATTTTATTTCCAGTGACCAATGCTCTGGCTCGGGCCTATGGAATAGGCGTGGCGGTGTGGCTGTGTGTTGTCGTCCAGCTTACGCTGAAGACTAGCCTGCTCATGTGCTTCCGTATGTTAATTCAGCACTTCCTGCGTCCTGTTGAACTGAGAACAACTCATAGCCTGCCTGACATTATTCATCAGAGCAGCTGCTCCCAATCGCGCCTCGCTCGGAGTAACCAATGGAATCACGCAGGTGGCTATCGCAGCAGGAAGGATCGTTGGCCCGGCGTCTGCGGCTTCGGTCTTCTCTTATTCATTGCAGGAAGGGCATAATGCGTGGTCGATATACTACTTCTTGATCGCAATTGCATTTCTCGCTGTAGGTACTGGTCTATTGCTTCCCCGTGATCCTCGTAGTGTATGGGAAGATCCCCAATGATATTATCGCGAATGACCGTGTACATTATGGTCTAGTGTAGGAGGCAGAACTGGCAAAACTCCACTAACCTATACCCTGTAACGTCGCTTTGTGTTATTATGTCTCCTCTTTCTTAGATACATACTAGGGTAGCAGCTGGTTCACCCCAATTGGACAGAAATCTGACTTTAAAAAAAATGTCTCCTCTTTTTAATCCCACCTCGCGAGGGCGCAGACCTTGAGATCGCGAAGGTAACCAACCATAAGTCGACCTACCAGCTGGGCACAGTATTGGGGTGCATATCCTGACACTATGGGCAGACCATAAACATCAGACCTGCCATGGCGTCTGCGGATGATAAATACAGGTAGACGTATTTATGTACCGTAGCATGACAGGTTGCTGGAGTACTACTCTAACGAATCACCAAGTCACAGGCCAGATTTAGCATCTCATTTGCCTAATTCGATGCGAGGTGTAAACGAATCGAACTGCCTCATTTTCGAACCGAATCGAACTCACCTCGGGGTGACCTCGATTCAACAGCAACACTAATTGCCGTTGCATTGAAATGAATTCACGTAGTATAGGTGCGTCTTTCATCTCAGTCGTTCTCTCATACCACTATGATTCCACCGCAGGATGACGAGGAGACACCTCTTCTGCAACGACCAGAGCAGCCAACAGCCAAGACACCTCTTCCCTGGGATCAATTTTGGATTCTACTGCTCTTGGAGATGCCTGATTTTCTTTCTTCTCGGACCCTTGCCCCGTTTATTCCCCAAGTGGGTAGTATATTCACTTCGCTGGGCTTATATCTGATCACAACTGGAACTTTGCCAAGCTCATTAGAGATATTGGAGTCACTCACGGAGACGAATCCCAGGTCGGTCGTTATGTCGGCATCCTTGTAAGCATGGCTTCATTGCTCCTACCCCTTTATTCGTGGCTAATATTCTCTCGAGCAATTATCATCCTCTGTAGCTCACACCCTGACTATTTTTCATTGGAGTCGACTGTCCGACTACATCGGGCGGAAACCTGTATTACTGACAGCTCTATTAGCACATGTTGTTTCGATGTTTGCGTTTGGGCTGTCGAAGAGCTTCCTTGGTCTGGTAGTCAGGTCAGTGTGTTCAGTTAAATATCAAATATTAGTTGTGATCGTCAATTACTTCACCACAGCTGTGTTGTCTGCGGGGCATTTGATCCGGGCGATGTTGTCATCAAGACCTTGGTGATGGACATTACTGACGCAACCAATATGCCCAAGGCATTCAGTTATATGCCAATTCCGGTGATGATTGGAACCACAGTTGGGTAGGCACACAGTACATTTTTCCTCAAGCTGAGGTTCACGGCATCTACTAGATCACTCATTGGGGGATTTCTCTCCCGACCAACAGACAGATTCCCTGACATCTTTGGCCGATCAGAACTCCTGAAAACCTATCCATATCTCCTGCCGTGCTCTATCTCGGCATTTTTCATATCGATAATTTGGCTAGTCGCGTGTATTTGTCTTAAAGAGGTGGGCGTGATGCTGAAAACCCATCTCTGGATCAGACTAAGTGTGGTTACAAGAGCGTTTCTACCAGGACACCACTTTGGGAGCTAGTTAAAGGAGGATTCTTCGGACAGTCATATTCGAAGTCTCGCCAGCCATCGAGCAACGTTACATTTCATCCTGGAGAAGTTCAACCAAAGCCGCTTCCGCTGCGCGCCTTGCTAACCTCGAAAGTGTTGACTGTGACAGCGAGTTATGCCACCATGGGCCTGTTTCACATGGCATTGAGTTTGATCCTACCTGTTTTCTATGCGACACCGATTGAACTTGGTGGTCTTTCCCTTGACCCTCCTCGCATCGGTGCTTTACTTGCGGCATCAAGTATCATACAAGGCATATTCCAGCTACTTTTATACGCTCGTTTACATCATCACTTCGGTGCAAGAGCTATCCACATCACCGGCGTTAGTTCCGGCATACCCATAGTCATTTTATTTCCAGTGACCAATGCTCTGGCTCGGGCCTATGGAATAGGCGTGGCGGTGTGGCTGTGTGTTGTCGTCCAGCTTACGCTGAAGACTAGCCTGCTCATGTGCTTCCGTATGTTAATTCAGCACTTCCTGCGTTCTGTTGAACTGAGAACAACTCATAGCCTGCCTGACATTATTCATCAGAGCAGCTGCTCCCAATCGTGCCTCGCTCGGAGCAACCACTGGAATCGCGCAGGTGGCTCTCGCAGTAGGAAGGATCATCGGCCCGGCATCTGCAACTTCAATCTTCTCTTATTCATTGCAGCAAGGGCATGATGCATGGTCGATATACTACTTTTTCATCGCGATTGTATTTCTCGCTGTAGGTACTGCTCTATTGCTTCCTCGTGATCTTAGTGTATGGGAAGATTCCCAATAATATTATCGCGAATGACTTGTTTCTATTGACCTCCTTCATGTTTATCGATCGCTTGCACTAGCGTTTGTAAACTCAAACACTGCTCCTTCAATGGTGTTTACCAGCCATCACTTCTGGACGCCTTTCCTAACGGAACAATCTCGTATTTCTCCGATCGGGTCACCCCGTTTCTTTTAGCAGACTCTTCAACAGATCATCCCCAGCCCCCCATGCCAATTTCAACATTCGCCACGCTTGCTAAATGGGTCTGCGCAGGACCTACCAGCTGGGCACAGTACTGGGGCACATATCCTGACATTATGGAGGAACTCGAAGGTCGACCGGAGTGGTGCCTTGATCTCACTTTCCAGCTACGAGTTTGGTAATGATCAGGAGGTGCAACTTGAGAAGCGTATTGAAGGTACAGAGCTCGGTTGGTGTTACGATGACGATGGTGGGCAGTTGTCGGGTGTAAACAAGGACAGTCACCGTAGGCGCAACGCAGTGAGCTTCCATTACACGTTCAGGAAAGACATTTAATTTATCTGATTCAGGTGTTGCGTTCTGCTCTAGTCTCGCATGCGCAGACCATGCGCATAAGGTTTAACCCTTCCGGGCGAGTACTTGTGGAGTAGCTGAGCTACCCGTACAACGTGATCAAGTATACGGGGCAACGGGCGTAATAGGAGGTGCTTACTTTTACGTTTCTGACCCCGAGCCTATCACTGTCAGAAACTTTGATCATTGACCTGCCGTACTCTTTATCGACGAACTAACAGCGACCGCCGACTTCGTGGAATGACTTCTCATCTAATAAGCCCGAATCCCCGTTGTGTTAGCACTTGTGTACACAGTGCACCACCAGCTAGGCGCAGACCATAAACGAACGAGTCATCGGACCTGTGGCGCCTGCGCGCAATGGCATGGTCACCACCTAAGTCTACTTACGGTCGACGTATTTATGTAACGAAATGTGCTTCATGCTGTAGCATGTCTTGAAGTAGTATGTAGTGCGAACCCCCTGGCCGGCTGTACCCGGGTGCCAGTGTGACATAATCATCTAAGTCGATTGATCTTGAGCTTGATCAGCCAGCCAACAAGCCGGTCAGCAACCGCTTCATTGGAATGACTTCACGTAGTATAATGAGCTGCATTTCTCATTCGAGCCGTTCTCTCGTACCACCATGATTGCCCAGCAGAATGACGAGGAGACACCTCTTCTGCAACGACCAAAGCAACTTGAACCAACGGCCAAGACACCTCTTCCATGGGATCAATTCTGGATTCTCCTGCTCTTGGAGATGCCAGATTTTATTTCTTCTGGGACCCTTGCGCCGTTTATTCCTCAAGTGAGTATATTCCCTTCGCTGGACTTATATCTGATCACAACTGGAACTTTGTCAAGCTCGTTAGAGACATCGGAGTCACTCACGGAGACGAATCCCAGGTTGGTCGCTATGTCGGCATCCTTGTAAGCATGTCTTCATCGTTTTTGCCCTTTCCTCCGTTCATGATACCATTCTCTCCAGCAATCATCGTACTATGCAGCTCATGGCCTAACCATTTTTCATTGGAGCCAACTGTCCGACCACATGGGGAGGAGGCCTGTAATACTGACAGCTCTATCAGCAATTGTTATTTCGATGTTTTCGTTTGGGCTGTCGAAGACATTCTTTGGTCTGGTGGTAAGGTCAGTGTTCAGTTAAATATCAAATAGTGGTTGTGATCGTTAATTACTTGACCACAGTCGTGTTGTCTGCGGAGCATTTGATCCGAGCGATAGTATGATCAAGAGCATGCTGATGGACATCACTGACGCAACCAATATGCCCAAGGCATACAGTTATATGCCAATTCCGGTGATGATCGCAACCACAGTTGGGTAGGCATCCAGTACATTTTATCTCGCACTGAGGTTCACGGTATCTACTAGACCACTCATTGGGGGATCACTCTCCCGACCAGCAGACAGATTCCCTGATATCTTCGGGCGATCAGAACTTCTGAAAACCTACCCATATCTCCTGCCGTGCTCTATCTCAGCATTTTTGATATCGACAATTTGGCTAGTCACGTATATCCGTCTTAAAGAGGTGAGCGCCTGAAAACCTATCTTTGGATCACACTAAGTGTGGTTACAAGAGCATCTCTACCACTGGCAAAACACCGCTTTGGGAGCTAATTAAAGGAGGATTCATCGGACAATCATACTCGAAGCCTCGCCAGCCATCGAGCAACGTCATAATTGATCCGGGGAGTCCTAAAGAAGTCCAATCAAAGCCGCTTCCGCTGCGCGCCTTGCTAACCTCGAAAGTGTTGACTGTGACAGCGAGTTGTGCCACCATGGGCCTGTTTCAAATGGGGTTTGGTTCGGTCTTAGCTGTTTTCTATGCGACACCGATTGAACTTGGTGGTCTTTCCCTTGACCCTCCTCGCATCGGTGCTTTACTTGCGGCATCAAGTATCATACAAGGCATATTCCAGATACTTTTCTACGCTCGTTTACATGATCGCTTCGGTGCAAGAGCTATCCACATCACCGGCGTTAGCTCCGGCATACCCATGGTCATTTTATTTCCGGCGACCAATGCTCTGGCTCGAGCCTATGGAATAGGCATGGCTGTGTGGCTGTGTGTTGCCGTTCAGCTTATGCTGAAAATTAGCTTGATCATGTGCTTCCGTATGTTAATTCAGCACTTCCTGTGTTCTGTTGAACTGAGAAGAACTCATAGCCTGCATGACATTATTCATCAGAGCAGCTACTCCCAATCGCGCCTCGATCGGAGCAACCAATGGAATTGCCCAGGTGGCTGTCACAGTAGGAAGGATCGTTGGCCCGGCGTCTGCGGCTTCGGTCTTCTCTTACTCATTGCAGGAAGGGCATGATGCATGGTTGATATACTACTTCTTGACTGCAATTGCATTTCTCGCTATAGGTACTGCTTTATTGCTTCCCCGTGATCCCAGTGTATGGGAAGATTCCCAATAGTGTTATCGCGAATGACCGTGTACATTATGATCTAGTGTAGGAGGCAGAACTAACAAAACTGTACTAACCTGTACCCTTGCAAGTTCTTTGGAATGATCGTGCATCGCAGATGCAAATAATGTCTCAAATTGGAAGGCAAGTATAACGGGGCAACGTGCGTAATAGGACTTACTTTTACGTTTCTGACCCCGGCTGATAACATAGCCTATCACCATCAGAAACTTTGATGCTTGTTCTATCCACTGCCGTACTCTTTATCGACGAGCTAGCAGCGACCGCCGACTTCGTGGAACGACTTCCCATCTAAAAAGCCCGAATCCCCGTTAACGTTGCGTTAGCTCGTGTTTCGCCGGACCATGCAGACCATAAGTAAACGAATAAGTCATCGGACCTGTGGCGCCTGCGAATAACAAATAGGTACGCGCGCAATGGCATGGTCACCATGTATACTTACGGTCGACGTGCAATGTGCCTCGTGCTGTAGTATGTCTTCTGTAGCATGTCCTCACTTGAAATTGTTCAATGTCGTTGATTTAGCCATTTTGTTATTATGTCTCCTCTACCTCGCATGGGCGCTGACATTCTAGCCTAAGGTCAGTCTGCTAGTTCTTGTGATTATGTACTATATATCGTGATATATGGTCTTCTACTTTCCTCACCGGTTCACTGATCAAGTTGAAGTAGGAGTTCCAGGAGACTGCACATTCGGGGTCTCTACAGTCCAAACACTAGTCAATACGTAGACTAGGCTCGTCACGGTGTCAAGCTTGCATCATGATCACCGTCTATCTCGCTCTGGCTCAGGCCGCTGGCCCGCTCTCCAACGTGTAAATTTTGTAGTCCGCCAATGACATCTGACATACTCACTCTCACAGAATAGAAGCTTACTGAAACACGATATCATCAGGACCAGCCTGTACCAGTGTACAATCAGAAATAGGGCTGTCACAGGCTTATTGACAGGCTTATTGTCTCCCGTGTGCAATTTCTCTTTCGATTTGAGGATGGTGTTGTATAGGTATACAACATATGTCAATCAGGAATAATCAATCATGCCCAGTGAAAATCGACAAGAATGAGGTAGATACGCGTAGATACAGATCGAAAAAAATATAAGGGAATGGATTTTTTCGCTATGTTTCGACTTCCTTAGAAAAGTGGGACTTTTCGAGACGAAAAAAGATAGAGATCGAAACGAACATTTAGCGCTTCGATACGATTCTCGTTGGCTTTAGATCACTTTTAGATGCATATATGCGTTGAAAATGTTCCATTTGGGTGGGGTGAATAGGTATCTAATGCTATTGAATGATGTATCTATGGGTATCGCGATGGTTAGGTGCTCGTGGTATTGCTGTTCCCGCGCCCGCCTCCGCCATCCCGCCATCCCACCATCCCGCCTCGTATCCATCAGCTACTCCTCATCTGCATCATTACCGGCGCCGTTCCTTTCGGTGGGTCCAGCCGAGCCGAGCTATAAAGCAAATCATTGTTAGTATGAAGATACGCGCGGCTATCATGAATACCACGCACCTGTAGAGCCGCTTTGTGCATGTATACCTTTAATAGTACTAGTCGGTAGATTAATATAAAAACGCGCCAACGCATCTTCTCTGCATGATCGGGGTGAAGCCATAGAGCCTGCAATTGCGGCCCAACTGGACAGGTATCGAATGTCTGACAAGCGACCTTTTTCTGCGCAGTGCTCTTCTTTGTGTCCCAGCGCTCCTCTCCACACCTCGGGCATTCATCATGATCGATATCAGTATATGGACCCGTAAAGGCAAGGCAGGTGTTTGGGCACATGTCGTGGACGATTGGAACAACTCCACTGATTTCCGCAGCAGTACGCTTGATCCGATGATGACTGTAGATATCGTCGTCGGGATGTCGTTCCATGGTAGCATCACGGATAGTATTATAGGCTTTGATCGTGGTATTGGCGAAATAAAACTTTAATGAGAGAATGAGGTCGGGGTCAGTGGTGTCCGAGTCAGGGAGTTCACGAAGAGGGTTTCGAAGCCTTTATAGTGCATCCATTGGTAGTCGAGAGTGCGAGTCATCGAGACTTGCTTTTCGCAAAGCAGTGATGAATGCCATCGCATCTTGAATATCTTCCAGTTGCGCCATGCAGTGAAGTTGCTCCAGGTCTAGTGTCTTGATCAAGATCAGCAGCACCAAGATCAGGTGCGCCATGGTCTCGTTCTTCAGGCTGAGTGTCGCTAAGATCAGGTGTGTCGTGTTCTCGTTCTTCAGGCTGAGCGTTACCGAGATCAGGTGTGTCGTGGTCTCGTTCTTTGGGCTGAGCGTCACCAAGATCAGTATGAAGCTCGTAGGTGTCTATATCCATAGTGATATTTATCAGTCTATTAGTCTTGTTTTCTTGTTCGCGACACTTTCAATTGAAAGGCTCACTGTTGTGCTAGAAAATATGGCCATGACCTGGTTGTATGCACATGGCGGGGCAGTGATGTCGAGCCTCAGAGATGCAATCTCTGGCTGGAGCAAGTAGAGAATAAGTTCGTCCGGGTACTACTAGAAACGGCAGTCACAGTGAATAAATCAACTGCTCGCCGCTCTGCCAGTGGGCTCGTGGTTGTTATGTTGTAGTCTGCGAGAGATATAGTCGCGGGCTTAGTGAGAACTTGAAACGCGACTCGGTCCGAGGGAATGATTGTATCGAGCCGAGGTCGTGGCGGGGACAAATGACATGGTGGGCGGATGAGAAGATGCGACATTGCGAGTGGTTCAACTGCACTAGCTCGGAATAAACATAATGCAAATGCGTGGGGTACAAGTTATGGAGTTACACAAAACAAAAGATGCACGATGCACATGCGCATTGCGTACATATGGGCGTTGTGCAAAGTTTGTTGAAAGTTCAAAAAATATTGCAAACTACGCGATCGAAGTTTGACATGCTTGCATTTTTTTTACTGTTGCAAGGATTCTTTAATGCGTTTTGCACAAAATCAGAGTTTTGCCGTCTCGAATTTCTTAGATTTGTATCTGCCTCAATTTGTACTTAGACATCTATCTCTACATATCTACCTCATTCTTGTCGATTTTCACTGGGAATCATGATGCATCTGGCAGTGCAATACATCACCATCACATCAAGCGCATGATGCATTGAATATAGTGCGTTCTAGATCAGATTCGCTCCATTCTTGTCATATCTTTGTTCATCATTTTGATATAGTCATGATAGCCCAATAGTTCAAGGCGGCGGATAAGATGAGATACAGTTGCTCCACTTCGACCTACTCTCTGTCACTGTTTCGATCACGCATCATGCTTAAACCTGTGTTAGATCGATGGCTACAAGATTTCAAATTTCATAAAGAGCTCCTCGATTTTTGCATGTGGTGGCATCTGCATGTTGCGACATGTGACTGTTGGATTTGTATCTTTGGCATCCTGTGAAGGAGGAGCAAGGATTCTAAAGCGACGATGTGTCTGTGCGATGGCTGTGCATGTGTAAGTATCCAACTACGATACGACTTTCGTAGCCTGCCCATGAATTTGCTGAGTATGATGAAGTGACAATGGCGTGCTTGGTTTATCTGATGGATCTCGCTTTTAGCTCGCAACCTTTACCGGTACCGGCTCCTGCTCAAGTCGGCACTCCAAAACATCACGGAAATACAATGGCCACTGACCGAGGCTGTACAATCAGAAATCGGGCTTTTTGCCTGTTGCAGGGTTCTCGTCTCCCATGTGCGATTCCTCTTTCGACCTAGTATGTATGGCGTCTATTTAACAGGTATCAATCACACAGCGTGAGTTGCGATCACATCGCGGTTGGATCGATGGCCACATGGTTTCATACTACAGAACACCTCGAAAATGGCATTGGAAATAAGTTTGCGATCACTAACCACTGGGATTTTTCTGGTGTCCGAGTAATTGCATTGGCAATACTGGTTTGTAAATCAAAGTCTCCTTTGATTATCCAGGGCCTCTTTTTGTTTGATTTCGAACTGTTTCACCGGATCAAGGGTCTTGATACGGGATTAGATATAGATCTCCGAGCATCATACTGATTTTGGCGATAGAAATGCTGAACGGTGGTATATCTAGCACGAACGCTGTCGTTATACACCACTAACCTTTCCCACTCGTCACATACATCCCTGGAACATGACCTACGTCTCAAATGATCCAACTTGGTGGCCGCAAATCAATTTCAATATTCTTCTCAGCTATTGGGCAGGTTTGTCGCATCAAGATGTCTAGATCTAACGTTGACTTGTGATTTTGTAGTTGCCGCCGGCGTCGTGGTGGCATACGATTGGGGTGAGCAGGACAGTGTTCAAAAATCGCTGATATTCTCATGATATTTCCAGTCTTAACACTCGGACAAGAGGTACGTCGATATTATCGCCGCCGCAGCCAACTCGCTGAGAATGGTGCCACAGATTGAGCTCATCTGGGTGAGTGACGAGAGTTTTGTATCAGAAGAAAACAAGAGCATGCAATGAATTCGCGACAGAGACAACGATGGTCTCTCATGACCGTACTGTATTTGACTGTTCGTGCCTCATGTTGTGTTTTAGCGTGGTGGGCAACTAGTGCTGACTCCAAAATGTTCTAGATACGCTATATTGGAATACCGTTTTCTGCGTATGTGTCGAGATCAACAACTTTGCATTGTGCTAATGACTCATCTCTGACTACTAGTGTCAATATTCTGCGTATGTCTCATGTGCGCTGTGTTCCATTTTTCTGACCGGCGAGACACAGAAACTATGCTATCGGTATCGCTGACAGATGCAGTAAGTATTCTGCAACCATCTCATTTCCATCCAATCAATGCGCTCATATGTAGGGGTGAGTGAGATTCCAAGCATTAAACTTGGTTCAACGTAACGACTCAATAGGTGTAAGTCGGAGTCTTTGAAATTAGTGCGAGGGCGTTCACTAATTGCGAGTTTTAGGCGCTACCGTGTACTACGCATCAAGTGGGACAATTGTGGCCTTGACTGCCATGTTGGGCGGTAAGTGACCCAGGTGCAATACTGTGTGATATTGACCTGATCAATACATGGTGCAAGTGATCATGATTACTCGGTTGCATGCCATGTATCAGGAATCTAGAGCGATGCTTATATTCCTTGTTATTATCTTCCTGGCTGTAAACATCGCCTGCGGAGTAATCGGGGCAATAGGACTCTACGATATTCCAGCGGGTAAGCTTTACTTGTCGACTCGAAGAACACAGCTCATTGGATAAACACCAGAGGAGTTGATCCTCTCTGGTAAATATATATGCGATTATGTATACGGAGGGGATAACAAGTTTTTTCTTTCGATGGTTTGGATGCTCAACACTGTTTGGGAGGTCCTCGCACTGTGCCTTTCAATCTGGGTGGCTGTGAAACACTTCCGTGAGCTGCGACGACTCGGCCCATCGGCAGGATCGGCCATCGGGGACTGTTTCAAAGTGCTCATACAATCTCACGTTCTCTATTTTGCAAGGTGAGCTTGTGATGTGAATGCGGTTATATTTTTCTGCTCAATTTCTGTACATGTTAGCTTTGTTAGTGTCTCTTGCTTCCAGCTTGCTACTTTCTCTCCAGCACTCTTGGTGCGCCGACCTGTTGCTGATATCTGCGTGCAACCACTGCTCATCATTTCTGTAGAATTCAAATTCTATTGGAGTCCAGATACTCTATGATACTCTTGAAATTTTATTGGTCGTGCAGATGTTTGTGCTGGGACCACGCCTCATCCTGAGCGTTCGGGAATACAACGCCAAACTCGTGGAAGACTCCGATGCAGAAACTAGCATGAATTCGATTATTTTCCAGGAGCGTGTGCATGTATCAACTAGCAGTACTGTGTAGGGAAATGGTTGTCGAGTGGTCTGCAGGGAGGAGAAATTTGGTGCAGGCTCCGTCATATGGTGTTTCGAAGTATGTTTGAAAAGGTTTAGGCAAAGCTATTTCTTGTTGTATCACTACTGGAACGAAGTACCTGTGTTTGCACCAAGTGGTAAGGGGAAATTATCCAGAACGACTAGCAACCAAACTGGTCCTTGATGACCGATGTTGAAATACAACGAGAATCAGTAAAAGTGCCTTGACAGCTGATTCTGTGCGTTGGTGTTCCACTATCTGGACATATAGACTGTGAATTGTTCCTAGTGGTAGGTGCAGTGATGAGTCAGGAGTATGAAAAGACGGGGGTTGGAGAAGAGGCGGGTGGTCCAGGTGTTGTTGCGCGTGTATTTCCATGGTATTTGTATGTTTGGCACGATAGACGTGTGATTATACAAAGCGCTGAGAACGATGGCCGACTTGAGAATGTTAGCAGGAGAGTCTGTACATGCTAAAGAAGTGAGCAACGTCAAGGTCAGTCATCAGCGAAAGTAGCATGCCAAGTCTGAAGGGAACATTGCGCATCCCTACTCTGTACTTTTATCGCTGAGTCGTACCATTCAAAGCTTGGCACATAGTAAGGTGAGAAGTAGATTTCATAGTAGAAACGATATAAACTGCTGAAAGGACGCGCAACAAAGTGGGAGGGTTTGCATCGATCGGACTTCCAAATAAGTGGCGGCAAATCGGCAAATCGAACCATAACCTATCGTCCACCATAGTAGGTTGGTGTCTCAGTGCTACGATAGCGATGGTCGGGTATAAAGAAGGACAGTCATCGTAGACGTAACGCAGCGAGCTTCCATTACACGTTCAGCTCTTACATTTTGCTATGTCTCTAGTCTCGCACGCGCAGACCATGCGCGCAAGGTTTAACCCTTCCGGGCGAGTACTACTTGTGGAGTAGCTACCCGTACAACGTAATGAAGTATACGGGGCAACGTGCGTAATAGGAGGTGCTTACTTTTACGTTTCTGACCCCGGCTGCTATATAACCTACCATTGTCACTTGTTTTATGGACGAGCAGCGACCGCCGACTTCATTGAACGACTTCTCATCTCATAAGCCCGATTAATCCCCGTTGCGTTAGCTTGTGTACAATGCACCCCGGACTAGGCAGACCACAAGTAAACGAATAAGTCATCGGACCTGTGGCGCCTGCGTAGGTACGCGCGCAATGGCATGATCACCCCACTGCATACTTACGGTCGACGTATTTATGTAATGAAATGTGCCTGCTGTAGTATGTCCGCAGCATGTCCTCACTTGAAATCGTTCAATCTCACAGACCTGCTAGCCTACTAAGGTCAGTCAGCCAATGATAAGCTTCTAGGCGACAGTGCGAACCCCCATCAGGTCCCCCTGGCCATGGCGGCGGCTATACCCGGGTGCTGTAACATAATCATTCAAGTCAATTGATCTCGATCAGGTTCAATCAGCCAGCCAACAAACCGGTCAGCAACCGCCTCATTGGAATGACTTCACATAGTATAATGAGCTGCATTTCTCATTCGAGCCGTTCCCTCGTACCACCATGATTGCCCAGCAGGATGACGAGGAGACACCTCTTCTGCAACGACTAGAGCAACCAAAGGCCAAGACACCTCTACCCTGGGATCAATTTTGGATTATACTGCTCATAGAGATGCCAGATTTTCTTTCTTCTCAGACCCTTGCGCCGTTTATTCCTCAAGTGAGTATATTCCCTTCGCTGGACTTATATCTGATCACAGGAACTTTGTCAAGCTCATTAGAGACATCGGAGTCACTCATGGAGACGAATCCCAGGTTGGTCGCTATGTCGGTATCCTTGTAAGTCTTCATCGTTCCTACCCCTTCATTCGTGGCTGATATTCTCTCGAGCAATCATCATACTATGCAGCTCATACCTTGACTATCTTTCATTGGAGTCAACTGTCCGACCACATCGGGCGGAAGCCTGTAATACTGACAGCTTTATTAGCAATTATTATTTCGATGTTTTCGTTTGGGCTGTCGAAGACATTCCTTGGTCTACTGGTAAGGTCAGTGTGTTTAGTTAAATATCAAATAGTAGCTGTGATTGTCAATTACTTGACCATAGTCGTGTTGTCTGCGGAGCATTTGATCCGGGCGATGCTGTCATCAAGACCTTGGTGATGGACATTACTGACGCAACCAATATGCCCAAGGCATACAGTTATATGCCAATTCCGTTGATGATTGGAACCACAGTTGGGTAGGCATCCAGTACATTTTCTCTCGCGCTGAGGTTCACAGAATCTATCAGACCACTCATTGGAGGATCGCTCTCCCGACCAGCAGACAGATTCCCTGGCATCTTCGGGCGATCAGAACTGCTGAAAACCTACCCATATCTCCTGCCATGCTCTATCTCGGCATCTTTCATATTCATAACTTGGCTAGTCGCGTATATCCGTCTTAAAGAGGTGAGCGCGATGCTGAAAATTCATCTCTGGATCGGACTAAGTGTCGTTACAAGGGCGTTTCTACTAGGACAACGCTTTGGGAGTTCATTGAAGGAGGATTCTTCGGACAGTCATACTCGAGGCCTCGCCAGTCATCGAGTGGTGTTAGAGTTGATCCTGGGGAAGTGAATCCTGCAGAAGTCGAATCAAAGCCGCTTCCGCTGCGTGCTTTACTAACCTCGAAAGTGTTGAGCGTAACAGCGAGTTATGCCACCATGGGCCTGTTTCAGATGGGGTTTAATTCGGTCTTACCTGTTTTCTATGCCACACCGATTGAACTTGGTGGTCTTTCCCTTGACCCTCCTCGCATCGGTGCTTTACTTGCGGCATCAGGTGTCACACATGGCATGTTTCAGCTATTTTTCTACGCTCGTTTACATGATCGCTTCGGTGCAAAAGCTATCCACATCACTGGCGTTAGCTCCGGCATACCCATGGTCATTTTATTTCCAGTGACCAATGCTCTGGCTCGAGCCTATGGAATAGGCATGGCGGTGTGGTTGTGTGTTGCCGTTCAGCTTATGCTGAAAATTAGCTTGATCATGTGCTTCCGTATGTTAATTCAGCACTTCCTGTGTTCTGTTGAACTGAGAAGAACTCATAGCCTGCATGACATTATTCATCAGAGCAGCTGCTCCCAATCGCGCCTCGCTCGGAGCAACCAATGGAATCGCCCAGGTGGCTGTTGCAGTAGCAAGGATCGTTGGCCCGGCGTCTGCGGCTTCGGTCTTCTCTTATTCATTGCAGGCAGGGCATGATGCGTGGTTGATATACTACTTCTTGATCGCAATTGCATTTCTCGCTGTAGGTACTGGTCTATTGCTTCCCCGTGATCCTAGTGTATGGGAAGATCCCCAATGATATTATCGCGAATGACCGTGTACGTTATGATCTAGTGTAGGAGGCAGAACTAATAAAACTCTACTAACCTATACCGTTGCAAGTTCCTAGATGCAAATAATGTCTCAAATTGGAAGGCAAGTACACGGGGCAACGTACGTGCGTAATAGGGAGGTGCTTACTTTTACGTTTCTGACCCCGGCAGTCACATAGCCTATAACTTTGAGCTTGTTCTGTACTCTTTATCGACGAGCTAGCAGCGACCGCCGACTTCGTGGATCGACTTCTCATCTAATAAGCCCGAATCCCCGTTAACGTTGTGTTAGCTTGTGTTTCGCCGGACTAGGCAGACCACAAGTAAACGAATAAGTCATCGGACCTGTGGCGCCTGCGTATTGGCATAAATAGGTACGCGCGCAATGGCCCATCAGTGATGGTCACCACATATACTTACGGTCGACGTGTTTATGTAATGCAATGTGCCTCATGCCGTAGCGTGTCCTCACTTGAAATTGTTCAATGTCGTTAATTTGGGCATTTTGTTATTATGTCTCCACTTCGCATGGGTGCTGACCTTCTAGCCTAAGGTCAGTTAACCAATGGTGAGCCCGAGATCCTCTAGGCGACAGTGCGAACCCCTTGGCCAGTGGCGGCTATGCCCGGGTGCTACATAATAGGAAGTGCCGTGTGACTGATTCTATGTCAACTGATCACCAAAAGCAGGTTCTTGCAGTCTGCCATCAGGCCTTATCGATTAGCCAGCCAACAAGCCGGTCAGCAACCGCCTCATTGGAATGACTTCACGTGGTATAATGAGCTGCATTTCTCATTCGAGCCGTTCCCTCGCACCACCATGATTGCCCAGCAGGATGACGAGGAGACACCTCTTCTGCAACGACCAGAGCAACCAACGGCCAAGACACCTCTTCCATGGGATCAATTTTGGATTCTACTGCTCTTGGAGATGCCAGATTTTATTTCTTCTGGGACCCTTGCGCCGTTTATTCCTCAAGTGAGTATATTCCCTTCGCTGGACTTATATCTTATCACAACTGGAACTTTGTCAAGCTCATCAGAGACATCGGAGTCACTCACGGAGACGAAACTCAGGTTGGACACTATGCCGGCATCCTTGTAAGCATGTCTCCATCGTTTTTACCCTTTCGTTTGTTCATGATACTACTCTCTCCAGCAATCGTCATACTACGCAGCTCATACCCTGACCATCTTTCATTGGAGTCAACTATCCGACCACATCGGGCGGAAGCCTGTAATACTGATAGCTCTATCAGCAGTTATTATTTCGATGTTTTCGTTTGGGCTGTCGAAGGCCTTCCTTGGTCTGGTGGTCAGGTCAGCGTGTCCAGTTAAATGTCGAATAGTGTCTGTGACCATCAATTGCTGACATTCTCGACCAGTCGTATTATCTGCGGAGCATTTGATCCGAGCGATAGTATGGTCAAGAGCATGCTGATGGACATCACTGACGCAACCAACATGCCCAAGGCATACAGTTATATACCAATTCCGTTGATGATCGGAAACGCAATTGGGTAGGCGTACAGTACATTTTATCTCGCATTGAGGTTCACGGCATCTACTAGACCACTCATTGGGGGATCGCTTTCCCGACCAGCAGACAGGTTCCCTGACATCTTCGGGCGATCAGAGCTCCTCAAAACCTACCCATATCTCCTGCCATGCTCTGTCTCAGCATTTTCTGTATGGATAATTTGGCTAGTCACCTATATCCATCTTAAAGAGGTGAGCGCCTGAAAACCCATCTTTGGATCACACTAAGTGTGGTTACAAGAGCGTCTCTATCACTGGCGAAACACCGCTCTGGCAGCGAATTAAAAAAGGATTCTTGGGACAATCATACTCGAGGCCTCGCCAGCCATCGACCAACGTCATAGTTGATCCTGGGGAAGGGAGTCCCGGAGAAGTTCAACCAAAGCCGCTTCCGCTGCGCGCCTTGCTAACCTCGAAAGTGTTGACTGTGACAGCGAGTTATACCACCATGGGCCTGTTTCAAACGGGGTACAATTCGGTCTTACCTGTTTTCTATGCGACACCGATTGAACTTGGTGGTCTTTCCCTTGACCCTCCTCGCATCGGCACTTTACTTGCGGCATCAGCTATCATACATGGACTATTTCAGCTGCTTTTCTACGCTCATTTACACGATCGCTTCGGTGCAAAAACTATCTTTGTCGCCGGTGTTAGCTCCGGCATACCCATCGTCATTTTATTTCCAGTGGCCAATGCTCTGGCTCGGGTCTATGGAATAGGCATAGCGGTGTGGCTGTGTGTTATCGTCCAGCTTACGCTGAAAACTGGCCTGGTCCTGTGCTTCCGTATGTTAATCCAACACTTCCTGCGCTCCGTTGAATTGACAAGAACTCATAGCCTGCATGGCATTATTCATCAGAGCAGCTGCTCCCAATCGCGCCTCGCTCGGAACAACCAATGGAATCGTTATGGTGGTTGTCGCAGTAGCAAGGATCATCGGCCCGGCATCTGCAGCTTCAGTCTTCTCTTATTCATTGCAGGAGGGGCATGATGCGTGGTCGATATACTACTTTTTTATCGCAATTGCATTTCTCTCTGTAAGTACTGCTCTATTGCTTCCCCGTGATCCTAGTGTATGGGAAGATTCCCAATAATATTATAGCGAATGACCGTGTACATTATGATCTAGTGTAGGAGGCAGGACTGGCAAAATTCTACCAACGTATACCCTTGCAAGTTCCTTGGAACGATCTTGCATTGCAGATGCAATACGGCTAAATCTCCGACATATGCGTTGCAACTGATGTCCAATCGTTATACAACGGCCCGCTGGGCAACCCAGGACCTTGATTCGCCATTTTCTTTGTGGCTATGACTTACTGCCAAATCCGAAATCCAGATATCATAGTCATTTTCATTCTGAGGTAGTTGTCATCTTCGCCTTTACGCTGATACTAAGATATAAGAAATTGTCTCGTTCTTGTCACCTTCGACACCTTCGTGTCCTCTGAGGCACCAAATCATGATTGGCATATCTCGGCATGTTATCGTTGTGCCCCCGAGCGTCTTTCTGAATCTGGCAAACAAAATAAATGTCATGGCACCAAACTGACGATTTTCAGCTGCTTAATACAAACATTATAAGTACAAACAGCACAAGCTCCGCGTCGCTGGACTTCTTGGCTCATCTCGTGTTGCCATTCCTTGATAATGTCTAATTTTTCGCCAAACCCACGCACAGTAGGAAACTCAGGATCGTTGTCAGTTGATTCATCAGTATCGTGTACAGCGCCAACAGCATGATCGACTTACGCTGATGGCGCACTGCACGTTAGACTGCAGTGCGCCATGCAAAGTGATCGTGTACAAAAGGAATGGACAATACGAGATGAGAGGTATCGCGCCTGGCAACACGCAAATGCTGAAATACGACTAGATACCGTGCACACTGATCAGCACGATCATGCACGCGTGATAGTTCACGGACGTAATCCTTTCGATCGAGTGAGATGACCTGGATCGAGTGCACACGAGAAATTTTAGCATACTGCTCGCGAGTGAAGGTAGAGAAATGCTCAATGATGTGACCCAAACTAAGCGCAAACACTGGCAACAGATCTCCAGACAGAGATTGACTGCCTACAGAAAATACTTGCGACGCACGACGACACAGCTGTATGTCCCTCATTGGAAAGGTCTTGATCAGATGCAACCAAGTTGAACCAACGCCACAGGACGAGCGAATGAATCAGAACAAGGAAATGACGATGAAGAAGCGGTAGCCATGATATCTATCGAGCGCGGAGAAAAGCTACACAACAATCAAACATCAATAAACATCCGGGATGATCGGTTCTTCACATATCTCGCGCAAACCACCTCGCGTGGGCGCAGACCTTAAGATCGTGAAGGTTCACCAGCCATAAGCCGACCTACCAGCTGGGAACAATACTGGGGTGCATATCCTGACATTATGGAGGAACTCGAAGCTCGACCGGATTGGTGCCTTGATTTCCAGGCTCCAGCACGCCTTGCTGGTCCTTGGCTACGAGTTTGGTGCAGCTTGAGAAGCGTATTGAAGGGCCAGCGCTCGGTTGGTGTCTTGGTGCTACGACTCTAGCGATGGTGGCCGGAAATCTATGGTGTCGGGTGTAAACAAGGACAGTCAACGTAGACGTGACGTAGCGAACTTTCATTATACGTTGAGCTCTGCTACTGAAAGACATTTGATTTATCTGATTCAGGTCTTACATTTTGCTATGTCTGTTCTAGTCTCGCATGCGCAGACCATGCGCGTAAGGATTAGCCCTTCCGGGCGAGTACTTGCGGAGTAGCTGAGGTACTACCCGTACTACTTGATCAAGTATACGGGGCAACGTTGCCTTAGTAACTAACGAGCACCTACCCCCTGGACACAGGCGGCCATACCTGGGACCTGGGTGCTACATGCCGATTACCGGTACAAGTTACAACGTGATCAAGTCTGATCAAGTAAGTATACGGGGCAATATGTGTACGTAATAGGAGGTGTTTGATTTTACGTGGAGAATCCCGGACACTGAGCTTATTCTGTAGGCTGCCGTACTCTTTATCGACGAGTTAGCAACGACCGCCGACGTCGTGGAACAACTTCTCATCTAATAAGCCCGAACCTCCGTTGTGTTAGCACTTGTGTACACAGTACAGTGCACCACCAGCTAGGCGCAGACCATAAACGAATCAGTCATCGGACCTGTGGCGCCTGATAAACAGGTACGCGCAGATGTATTAATATCTATGTACATTGTAACGGGGCAACACGCAGTACTGGGTGCCTCTGATTGGCCTCTGACATGATAAGCCAGCCAATGACAAAGCTACAGTGACGGCTATACCCGTGAAGTACTGATTCTGATCAGCAAAAGTGGACTCCCGTTGTAGGCCTCATTGGAATGACTTCACATAGTACAACGAACTGCATCTCTCATCCGAGTCATTCCCTCGCATCACCATGATTGCGCAGCAGAATGACGAGGAGACACCTCTTCTGCAACGACCAGAGCAGCCAACGGCCAAGACACCTCTTCCATGGGATCAATTGTGGATTCTACTGCTCTTGGAGATGCCAGAATTTCTTTCTTCTGGGACCCTTGCACCGTTTATTCCTCAAGTGAGTATCTTCCCTTCGCTGGACTTAGATCTTATCACAACTGGACTTTGTCAAGCTCATTAGAGACACCGGAGTCACTCACGGAGACGAATCCCAGGTTGGACACTACGCCGGCATCCTTGTAAGCATGTCTTTATCGTTTTTGCCCTTTTGTTCATCCATGATACTATTCTCTCCAGCAATCATCATACTATGCAGCTCATACCCTGACTATTTTTTATTGGTGTCAATTGTCCGACCACATCGGACGGAAGCCTGTAATACTGACAGCTCTATCAGCAATTGTTATTTCGACATTTTCGTTTGGGCTGTCGAAGACCTTCTTTGCTCTGGTGTTCAGGTCAGTGTGTTCAAAATAGTAGTTGTGACCACCAATTCCTGACATTCTCGACCAGTCGCGTTGTCAGCGGAGCATTTGATGCGAGCGATAGTATGGTCAAGAGCATGCTGATGGACATTACTGACGCAACCAATATGCCCAAGGCATGCAGTTATGTACCAATCCCGTGGACCATCGCAAGCGCAATTGGGTAGGTATACCGTACATTATCTCTCGCACTTGAGGTTGACGGCATTTAGATCACTCATCGGGGGATCATTCTCCCGACCAGCAGACAGATTCCCTCACATTTTTGGGCGATCAGAACTTTTGAAAACCTACCCATATCTCCTACCATGCTCTATTTCGGCATTGCTTATATCGACAATTTGGCTAGTCGCGTATATCCGTCTTAAAGAGGTGAGCGATGCTGAAAACCCATCTCTGGATCACACTAAGTGTGGTTACAAGAGCGTTTCTACTAATACACCGCTTTGGGAGCTCATTAAACGAGGATTCTTCGGACAGTCATACTCAAACCCTCGCCAGCCATCGAGCAACGTTATAGTTGATCCTGGCGAAGTCAAATCAAAGCCGCTTCCGCTGCGTGCTTTACTAACCTCGAAAGTGTTGAGCGTAACAGCGAGTTATGCCACCACAGGCCTGTTTGACATGGGGTTCAATTTGATCTTACCTGTTTTCTATGCGACACCAATCGAACTCGGTGGTCTTTCCCTCGACCCTCCTCGCATCGGTGCTTTACTTGCGGCATCAGGTATCATACAAGGCATATTCCAGCTACTTTTCTACGCTCGTTTAAATGATTGCTTCGGTACAAGAGCTGTCCACATCACCGGCGTCAGCTCCGGCATACCTATCGTCATTTTATTTCCAGTGGCCAATGCTTTGGCTCATGCCTATGGAATAGGCATGGCGGTGTGGCTGTGCGTTGTCGTCCAGATTATGCTGAGGACCGTCCTGAACATGTGCTTCCGTATGTTAATTCAGCACTTCCTGCGTTCTGTTGAACTGAGAAGAACCCATAGCCTGCATATCATTATTCGTCAGAGCAGCTGCTCCCAATCGCGCCTCGATCGGTGCAACCAACGGAGTTGCCCAGGTGGCTGTCGCGGTAGCAAGGATTGTTGGCCCGGCGTCTGCAGCTTCGGTCTTCTCTTATTCGTTGCAGGAAGGGCATAATGCATGGTCGATATACTACTTCATGACCGCACTTGCATTTCTCGCTGTAGGTACTGCTTTATTGCTTCCCCGTGATCCTAGTGTATGGGAAAATTCCCAATAGCGATTGACCGCGTGTTATGATCTAGTGTAGCAGGTAGAACTGTAAAAAATTTAGGCTATGTAGACTAGTATGTGTACAATATTCCGTACTCCCATGATAAGTCAGGGAGGGTTCTGTCCTTTCGTTGCTGTTCTCTACAAATCCATCTGTAGAAAACTGGATGTATAGCAGCCCCGCTATGACATTGTCTTCGCTTGGAAAACGATCGCTTCATGATTTGAGAGCAAGCTGAATGCAGAGATAACAGGCGTTCTCAAATGTGAAAACCATCCGTTACCGAGCTTAGTACGAGGACGAGAATGGACAACGGGACAACCGTGTGCTGGTAAACGTTTGATAGCCTTGGATAACATGCCTTCAAAATAGCATCGACCGACAAAGCACCAAAGCACCCATGAAGGTCGAGAAAACGCCGCAAAATAACACAAACGCTACCGCCTTTCGTGCGACGAACGCGGCTACCGCAAAGAGAGCCAGAGAGCCAGGAGGGGCTGTCAAATCGCTCAAATGTTTTGCAATTACGGCGGGACTTTTTCTGGAAACAAGCAGGGTAATGATCCAGATGTCACTACATCAGAACATTAGTAAGAAGCCAACCGATGCAGCACAACGCAGTAGGTCCGATCGATGCCTGAAAGACAAGAAGAGATGATGACACGGACACCTTGTTGTGAGTCACCACACTCGACTCGCCATCAAACCACATACAGCCTGCAAACAGCTCAATGCACGAATCATAATGACCACGGTGCTCAACGAAAGATCACGAAAGCCAAGAACATGAGTTTTCGGAATTCGAAGCGCAACGAATGTCATTCAAAGTAAGAAAGTGCATCGTAGTAAATGGGGCAACCTGAGGTAGTATGGGCAACTGCATACGGTGGACAACAGCGCTTGTCAAGCACGCGTGCGATGCGGCACGGGACTTTGCAGACGAACATTGCACACTGCGGGAAAGGATAAGTTAACGCACAGAACAGAGAGCCTATGAATAGCAGTGTAGGATACCGTGACAACAGCAACAACACTCAGAGGTTCAAAGGCGGACCGTACATAGTGAGGGAGAATTAGTGTCACGGTCAGACACAAGTGCACGAGTGACCCACTGCCCAGAGAAGTGGGTTAGCCCCTGGAACAAATACTGTTGCAGGTCTTGACTCTTGTAACATAGGCGCGTTGCAAAATGAGTATGCAGGAACTGGCGGGTCGGTGGCGGTGTCGTAATTACGTAATGTAGCACCAAACATGCACATGCAGGGTCTTTCTCATGCGTCGCTCCAATCGTTTAATTATTCGGGCCTAACAGTTCTTATTATGAATCCACTATTTAATCTCACCTCGTGTAGGTGCAGACCTTCAAATTTCAAACCGCACGTAAGGGTTAGCCAGCCAATGATAAGCTTGAAACCCTCTAGGCGACAGTGCGGGTAAGTACCTATCATGGTACTCCTGGCCACAGACGGCTATACCCGGGTTCTACGCATAATAGGAGGTGCCGCGTGCGATCTTTTAATCATTCCGAGCCAACTGATCAGAAGATGCAGGTTCTTGTCGACTGCCGTTGTAGGCCTTATCGACCAGCTAGCCAACAAGCCGGTCAGCGACCACCTTATTGGGACGAATTCACGTAGTATAGCGAGCTGCATCTTTCGTCCGAGTCGTTTCCTCGTATCACCATGATTGCGCAGCAGGATGACGAGGAAATGTCTCTTCTGCAACGGCCTGAGCGGCCAACGGCCAAGACACCTCTTCCCTGGGATCAATTTTGGATTTTACTGTTCTTGGAGATGCCAGATCCTGTTTCTTCTTACATCCTTGCCCCCTTTGTTCCCCAAGTGAGTATATTCCCTTTGCTTGAACTTCAAGTGTGATCTGACAACGACGGGAATTTTACCAAGCTCATTAGAGACATTGGAGTCACTCACGGAGATGAATCCCAGGTCGGTCACTATGTCGGCATCCTGGTAAGCATATCTTCATCGTTTTTTGCCCCTTCATTCGTTCCTGATATTCTCTCGAGCAATCATCATACTATGCAGCCCATACCCTGACCATCTTTCATTGGAGCCAACTGTCTGACCACATCGGGCGGAAGCCTGTAATTCTGACAGCCCTATCAGCAATTTCCATATCGATGTTTTCATTTGGGCTGTCGAAGACCTTCTTCGGTCTGGTAGTCAGGTCAGCGTGTTCAGTTCAATATCAAATCGTAGTTGTGATCGTCGATTACTAATATTCTCGACCAGTCGTGTTGTGTGCGGAGCATTTGATGCGAGCAACAGCGTCATCAAGAGCATGCTGATGGACATCACTGACGTAACCAATATGCCTTTGGCATTCAATTATATACCAATTCCGTGGATGATCGCAAGCACAGTTGGGTAGGCATACAGTACATTTTCTCTCGTGCTGAGTTTCACAGAATCTATTAGACCACTTATTGGGGGATCGCTCTCCCGACCGGCAGATAGATTTTCTGACATCTTTGGACGATCAGAACTCCTGAAAACCTACCCATATCTCCTGCCGTGCTCTATTTCGGCATTTTTTACATCAATAGCTTGGCTAGTCACGTATATCCGTCTTAAAGAGGTGAGCGCGATGTTGAAAACCGATCTCTGGATCAGACTAAGTGTGGTCACAAGAGCGTTTCCACCAGGACACCGCTTTGGGAGCTAATTAAAGGATTCTTCGGACAATCATATTCGAAGTCTTGCCAGCCGTCGAGCAATGCTATAGTTGATCCTGGGGAAGCGAATGCTGGAGAATCTCAATCAAAGCCGCTTCCGCTGCGTGCTTTACTAACCCCGAAAGTGTTGAGCGTGACGGCAAGTTATGCCATGACAGGCTTGCTTCAAATGTCGCTCAGTTCGGTCCTACCTATTTTCTATGCGACACCAATTGAACTTGGTGGTCTTTCCCTTGACCCTCCTCGCATCGGCACGTTGCTCGCAGCACAAGGTGCCGCACATGGCGTATTTCAGCTACTTTTCTACGCTCGTTTACATGATCGCTTCGGCGCAGGAGCTATCCATATGACCGGCGTTAGCTCCGGCATACCCACCGTCATTTTATTTCCAGTGATCAATGCTCTGGCTCGAGTCCATGGGATAGGTATGGCTGTGTGGCTGTGTGTTGCCATCCAGCTTGCGCTGACAACTAGCCTGATCATGTGCTACCGTATGTCAATCCAGCACTTCCTGCGTTCCGCTAAACTAAGAATCTCATAGCCTGCATAACGTTATTCATCAGAGCAGCAGCTCCCAATAGCGCCTCGCTCGGAGCAACCAATGGAATCGCCCAGGTGGTTGTCGCGGTAGCAAGAATCATCGGTCCGGCGTCTGCAGCTTCGGTCTTCTCTTACTCAATGGAGGCAGGGCATGATGCGTGGTTGATATATTACTTTTTGATCACAATTGCATTTCTCGCAGTAGGTACTTCTCTGTTACTTCCCCGTGATCCTAGTGTATGGGAAGATTCCCAATAACATTATCGCGAATGACCGTGTAACATCTAGTGTAGGGGGTGGAACTGGTAAAATTCTAGGCTACGTAGACTACATGTAAGTATGACATTCCAATGGATAGCATTGATGTTGCCTCGTCCCATTCATCATCCATACCATTGTAATCGACCACCTTAACCTCATCTAGAATAGTCCGGGCCTGTCGTTGCTCGACCCGATTTAACCTCGAGCATTTAAGCTCTGGACTCTTTTAGTCCTCTTAGCGCTTTACCTTTTCGAGAGCTGCAAATTCAGCAGCAATATCATCACGGTGGCATGGCGCGTGGACTTCTAAGCCTCCGTGGCTTTACGGTACTGTACTACTATGTGTCACATCGAGACGTTGAAGGTTTGCACCAATTTTGCGGAGTGTTTCAAATGTGTCAACCGAAAGATTACACAGGGTTATGCCATGATTGCATGGATTGCACCGAGGTAATGTTCACACTGCGCTCCACTTCGCGTGAGTTCTGCCGTGGACCAGGCGCAACTGATCTTACCAGACTGATTGGCAAAACTACCGCGTGATCGCGTGTTATCTGTCTACAGCCATGTCAGTGCATCTTCCGGGTTTGAAAAAACACTTTAGTCAGGTAGAGACCATCCCTTGTTCGCCATTCACACTGAAGATATCTTCTTTCCTGGGAACAAGCGCTTTCAAGGAAAGATGCAGTGAATGTAATTCATCATGTTCCTCCCACGCCATACTAATCAATCCTGACTCATATCCCCAACGCCTCTCCCAAGCGAATTATGGACTGAGATATCCCCAATAATCGAGAATCCGGACAACACATTCTTTGCCACGTAGAGATGCATATGCGGATTGCACGAAAATTCTCAAGTCCAGGCGATTACGACACTGACATGCATAATAGAGGAACTACAAGGCCAGCTAGCATCATGACCCTGCGGCTTTCGTGACTTCCGCTTTTGCTACCGTGTTTCATAACAGAGAAGATGCTCTACAAATCACTGCTTTGTATTGTTATGCCTCGTGTGCTGAACGTTTACATTGGCCGCAGCTCGGGTACATACCAGCCTAACCTAATGCAGACCTGCCCGTGCTTCTGAATCATAATGGTAGTATGTTCCTTCCTTTACGTTCAAGTTGGCTTTCACTTCCAAAAGCATGTTCCTATGGACGATTTACCCTTCGACTAATCCGAGCCAAGGAGCCACTCAATTGCCGACTCATTTGCATGAGTTTAATAGGCTGCGCCCAATCGTCCATTTTTCTCAGGTGCCACCATGATACCGCGTCAAGATGATGAAGAGACTCCTCTTCTCCAACAGCCAGATCAGCTGATAGCCCGAACTTCACCTCTGCCATGGGATCAATTCTGGATCATATTATTCTTGCAGCTTTCCGATTCGCTTGTTGTTCAGACCCTTGCCCCATTTACCCCGCAAGTGAGTATATCCCTTCTGCGTGGACTTGAATCTAACTACAATTGCAATTTTATCAAGCTGATTAGAGACATTGGTGTGACGAACGGAGACGAATCTCAAGTTGGACACTATGTTGGCATCCTGGTGAGCACGTCACAATCCTTTTTGTCATGCGTTCGTTCCTTATATCGTCCCGAGCAATCATCATATTACACGGCTCAAGCACTGACTATCCTCCCTTGGAGCCAACTGTCTGATCACATTGGACGGAAGCCTGTAATACTGACCGCTCAATTCGCGATGTCGATTTCAATGTTCTCGTTCGGGCTATCGAAAAAATTTGTCGGTCTGGTAGTCAGGTTCGGGTGTTTAATAACCGCTAAACCGTCAAGCACTCATTTACTTTTCAGCCGTGCTTTCTGCGGTGCATTCAATGGAAGCAATGGGGTCATCAAAAGCATGGTGATGGACATCACTGACACAACTAACTTGCCGAAGGCATTTAGCTATATGCCGCTCCCATGGATGTTGGGGACATTAGTTGGGTAGGTTTATAAAATACCTCTTACTATTGAAACGAGATTCACAACAGTTTAGACCCCTCGTTGGTGGATCGCTCTCCAGGCCCGTGGACAGATTCCCTGAGATTTTTGGGCGATCAAAACTCCTTCAAATCTACCCATACCTCTTGCCATGTGCTGTTCCAGCTATATTCGCCCTGGTAGCTTGGCTAGTCGCGTATTTTTGTTTCAAAGAGGTGAGGGAGATTTTTTGAAGACTATGTCTGGATCACACTAAGTGCGGTAACGAGAGCGTTTCAACAACGACACCACTTTGGAAGCTGACCAAAGGAAGGCTCTTGCGACCGTCATATGCAAAGCCTTGTCCGCCATCGAGAAATGCTCTAGCTGTTTGTGAAGTAGCAGACTCTGAAGGAGTACCATCAAAACCGTTGCCACTGTACGCCTTGCTAACTCCAAAGGTCCTGACTGTGACAGCAAGTTATGTCACCATGACTCTGCTTTACATGGGATTCAGTTCGGTCCTACCTGTTTTCTACTCGACGCCGATTGAACTCGGTGGTCTTTCCCTTGATCCTCCCAAAATTGGTGCTATACTTGCGGTATCAGGTGTTGCCCACGGTATATTCCAACTACTTTTCTACTCGCGGCTACACAATCGCTTCGGCGCAAGAGCCATCCATGTTACTGGCGTTGTCTCTGGCATACCTATCATCATCTTATTCCCGGTGACCAATGCGCTTGCTCGAGTTTATGGCCTGGGTTTGGCGGTATGGCTGTCTGTTGGCGTTCAACTTTCGCTGGTAACTAGCTTGATCATGTGCTATCGTATGTCAACCAACCACTTCCGACATCCTACCTTGCTGAAAAGTCGTAGCCTGCTTAGCATTGTTTATCAGAGCCGCCGCTCCCAATCGTGCATCGCTTGGAGCAACCAATGGAATTGTCCAGCTAGTTGTAGCAGGAGCAAAGATCGTTGCCCCAGCATCTGCAGCTTCGGTTTTCTCTTATTCGATGCAGGGAGGTCACAACGCATGGTCGATATATTACTACTTGATGGCATTTGCATTTCTCGCTGTAGGCACTTCTCTCTTGCTTCCTCATGATCCTAGTCTATGGGAAGATCACCAATAGTACTTATCGTCACTAGTGATCTGCATGTTGTCTGTTTTCGGCCATGTTCAGTAATAGGTGGTATCGCGCGGTAGCCAAACAAATATAATTTTGCGTCCTTGACTCCTTGCAGTATTACATCTGGTGCGTTGTGAATGAAAGTGAGGTAGCAACTTGCGATGCATACCCGTTTACGAAAAGAAGATCAAAAGCAGCCACGGCGAAGTTCAAGGGCATGGTGAAATTCAAATACAGGGCAGGCTATTACTTGCAGACCACACACAATCCAGACAAATCCATTAGCATCAAGTTTCTCCAGCGATACAATTACAGTGTGGTCTGGCGCGTCTACTCCCTCCAGAAATAGGCGAATGTAGATCAAACGTTCAGGCCACGCAGGATTAGAAGATACTTAATACCCCGCACACTTAATGGCCACTGGCAAGAGTCCCTCAAACTCACTGTCCTCAACCCTACCGGCTGGATATCTGGAATAGCAATTGTGATGCGTCCGTGATGCCATTGGGTTGCTACTTGCACTAGTTTATCGGCTGATTTTCCACATGCATAAGAGCGGATAAATAATCAGTTTTCCGAAACAGGTAACTAGATTGCTTATCAATGAACCCGCATCCGAGTCAACAGCTAGCTCATTATGCATTATGATTGAAGAGTATGATAGGGCTGTCCTCTTCTCGTACCACCATAATCATGCGTCAGGATGATGAAGAGACTCCTCTTCTGCAACAGCCGATAGTCAAAACACCTTTGCCCTGGGATCAATTCTGGATTATATTGTTCTTGCAGTTTCCAGACTCGCTTGTTTTTCAGACCCTTGCGCCATTTACCCCGCAAGTGAGTACATTCGCACTCCCTGGACTTACCTCTGACCACATTTTGTCAAGCTGATAAGAGACATTGGTGTGACGAACGGAAACGAATCTCAGGTCGGACACTATGTTGGCATCCTGGTGAGCATGTCATAATCCTTCATTATCCTGCGTTCCTTCCTTATATCAATCCGAGCAATCATCATATTACACAGCTCAAGCACTGACTATCCTCTATTGGAGTCAACTGTCTGATCACATTGGGCGGAAGCCTTTGATATTGACTGCTCTGTTCGCGATAGCAGTTTCGATGTTCTCGTTCGGGCTGTCGAAAACATTTGTTGGTCTGGTGGTCAGGTTAGCGTGTCAAACAACGACCATAACAGTTGATTGCTGATATTCTAATTAGTCGTATTTTCTGCGGGGCATTCAATGGGAGCAATGGCATCGTCAAAAGCATGGTGATGGACATTACTGACGCAACCAACTTGCCGAAGGCATTCGGCTATATGCCGTTCCCATGGATGTTAGGGGCCATAGTTGGGTAGGTACTTACAATATGTCTACTTGCCCTTGAAGCGGGATTGACAAGGGCAATCCTAGACCACTCATCGGAGGATCCCTCTCGCGACCCGCAGATAGGTTCCCTGAAATCTTTGGGCGATCGGAACTTCTGAAAACCTACCCATACCTCTTACCATGCGTTGTTCCAGCTATGTTTGCCTCGGCGGCTTGGCTAGTCACATATTCGAGATTCAGAGAGGTGAGAGTGATGCTTTCAATGATCATGTCTATAACACACTAAGTTCGATAATAAGAGCGTTTCAACAAGAGCACCACTTCTGAGACTGATCAAAGGATGGTTCTCGCAACAGTCCGATCCAAATTTTCCCGTGCCATCGAACAATGCTTTACCCAGTTCTGCGGAAGTAAACTCTGATGAAGTTTCATTAAAGCCACTTCCATTGCGTGCCTCGCTAACGCCAAGAGTCCTGACTGTAACAGCAAGCTATGTCACCATGGCTGTACTTTATATGGCGTTTAACTCGATCCTTCCTCTGTTCTATGCGACACCCATTGAACTCGGTGGTCTTTCCCTTGATCCTCCCCTCATCGGTGCTATACTGTCGGTATCAGGTATCGCCCATGGTGCATTCCAGCTACTTTTCTACGCCCGTCTACATGATCGCTTTGGTGCAGGAACCATTCATACCACTGGTGTCAGCTCTGGCATACCTACCATCATTTTATTCCCAGTGATCAATGCTCTAGCCCGAGTCCAGGGAATGAGTTTGGCGGTGTGGTTGTGTGTTGCCGCACAACATGTGCTTATGACTAGCTTGATGATGTGCAATCGTATGTCAACGCAGTACTTCGTGCATGGTACTTAACTGAGAAGAACCTACAGCTTGCTTGGCATTGTTCATCAGAGCAGCTGCTCCCAATCGCGCCTCGCTTGGGGCAACCAATGGAATTACCCAGATGGTTGCCGCAGGAGCAAGGATGATTGCCCCAGCATCTGCGACTTCGGTTTTCTCTTATTCGATGCAGGAAGGTCATGATGCGTGGCTGGTGTACTACTTCCTGATGGTAATTGCATTTCTCGCTATGAGTACTGCTGTATTGCTTCCTCGTGATCCTAGTGCGTGGGAAAATCGCTAGTAGTGTAACTGAGAACGACCTGCATGTTATCCGTTTTCAGCCATGTTATTATCCGATATATGTATCAACACACTTGTTTTACGAATGGCTGAGCTCCTGGACTCCTCTTTTATTCGTAACCTGTCTTTACTACGTCTTTGAGATGTTAAGCGCTTAAGTGTGTCAAGTCGCAGCTAAATAGTGTCATATCAAGCCAGGATCGCTAAACGTGTTGATGCCCTCGTGCGCGTGCGGGAGTCCTAAACCTTCCCAGAGTGTATCTTAGTATCATAGTGATCATCAGATACTCAGATACTAGTACACAACGTTCAGTATTAGTGCGGGATGGTTTAAATTGGCGCTGTGTGCCGTAAGGGTTGGCTTAGCGATCCGGGCCCGAACCTACATTCTTCTGATATTTGCGTTTTTTGTCAATCGGTGATTTGCCCTGCACCAGCAGGGACCTGGATGATCCACAATAGGAGCACCATGAGGAGCTTGCATCCATGGAATTATGTAAGGCCGCGGGGGAATTAATGGGCACGAGGGGTCAGTACCTGTTCTTGACCTGTTCTATTACATACGTTCTGGTTAGCGAGCAACAATATTAATCCAAAGAGCTCGAATGGACTCCTTCACTGGCAGCCATGTCTCAAGTGGATGAAGAGACACCTCTATTGCAGCCCGAGGAGCAGCCCAAAATCAAAACTCCACTACCCTGGCGCCAATTGTCCATTATACTTTTCTTGCAGCTCGTTGAACCTGTAACTGCTCAGGCAATTGCTCCGTTTGCACCTCAGGTAAACTCAGCCCGAGCTCATATGTTTTACGAGTTCCTGATGAGCCTGTTTCATCTCTCAGCTGATCAGAGACCTTGGAGTGACCCATGGCGATGAATCGAGGGTAGGATATTTCGTTGGTATCATGGTGAGTGCCCCCCATATTCGCCATAAATAGTTGTTTTCTTATTCGTCTCCAAGTACTCCGTGTTCTACGTAGCTCAAGCCCTTACAACTCTTCAATGGAACCGACTTTCTGATCATGTTGGTCGAAAGCCAGTCATCTTGACCGGTCTATTTGGTATATCGGTCTCCATGTTCCTATTTGGACTTTCGAAGACCTTCGGGGGCTTGATACTGAGGTTCGCGCATCATACTTTAATTGAAATATAATGGTTTTAATGTGTTTTTTTTAGTCGTGTATTGTGCGGAGCGCTGAATGGCAACGGTGGTGTCATCAAGAGTATGATGATAGATGTTACAGATTCAAGCAACGTGGCTAAGGCGTACGGGTTTCTTCCTATTCCATGGATGACCGGGAATACGCTCGGGTAAGTCCCACACGTTGTTTTGTGTATCCTGTTCTTACGTTGAATGATCGGTTAGACCTCTCATTGGCGGGTCTTTGTCCCATCCGGCGGATCGTTTTCCCAGACTGTTTGGGCAGTCGACATTTCTGAAGACATATCCTTATTTCTTGGCTTGCGCTGGTCCAGCATTATTTACCGCAGTCACGTGGTTGGTCACCTATATGCTTCTACAGGAGGTAAAATAGTTGGTCCACTCATTTCGTTGATCTATCTCATCTATGTTTAGACTGTGCCAACGACGACGTCCTTATGGAGTCTGATCCGGAACAAATGTCGGACGTTCGTACATACCAAGCTACCACAGCCGGATACATCAAATTCTCATACGGTTCAAGGTTCTTCCGATGATTCTAAGCCCCTGCCTCTGCGTGCATTAATGACTCCACGTGTTCTTATTGCGACGTTGAATTACGCAACTCTGGCTCTTATCGACATCGCTCTGCGTTCCCTAATACCCGTGTTTTACTCTACGCCAGTAAACATGGGTGGACTTGGCCTCGACCCTCCACGAATTGGCAATATCCTTGCAGTATTCGGTATTGCCAATGGTTTATTCCAAGTATTTTTCTTTGCTCGGCTGCATGACCGATTTGGCACGAAGGTGGTATATACCTGCGGAGTCGCGTCCAGCGTACCGACCATCATCGCATTCCCGATCATCAACATGTTGAGTCTGACGTATGGGATTGGTACCGCAGTCTGGTTTGCTGTTGGCCTTCAGCTCACAATGTCCATCGCGTTAAATATGTGTTACGGTTCGTTTTTATGTCATGTGTCTCGCGATCATCACTGATTAGTCTATGATAGCTTGCGCAGCGATGTATATTGCAGCTGCATCTCCAAATCGTGCATCATTGGGCGCCACTAATGGCCTTGCTCATACGGTCGCTGCGTGTGTACGCATCATTGGACCTGCATCGGCAATGTCGATGTTTTCATTTTCTGTGAGGGACCCCTATTATGCGTGGGCGGTGTATTATTTTATGATGATGCTGGGACTCCTTGCAATTGGCGTGTCTTTCTTGCTGCCCCGTCAAATGTGGACGCGTGGTAACTAGCTTTTGTCTCAGTCGTTAGCAGCGGTACATGATACTTGTATCCTTGCAAGCAATGCTACATATTATAACTTCTGGCTCGCAATGGCTGGCGTTTGTGCGCCATTGGTCAACTTTCTGATTGTTGATTCAAATTTAGCTGTTTGGTGAGTCTCAATCCCATACATATTTGACCTTACTGCCACTCCCATGGATGTTGGGAGCCATAGTTGGGTAGACACTTACAATATGTCTGCTTGCTCTTGAAGCGGGATTGACGATGGCAATTCTAGACCACTCACCAGATGATCGCTCTCTCGACCTACAGATAGGTTCTCTGAAATCTTTGGGTGATCAGAACTTCTGAAAACCTACCCATACCTCTTACCATGGGTCGTTCCGGCTATGTTTGCCTCGGCGACTTGGCTAGTCACATATTCCAGATTGAGAGAGGTGAGAGTGATGGTTTTAATGACCATGTCTATAACACACTAAGTTCCATGGTAAGAGCGTTTCAATAAGAGTGCCACTTCTGAGGCTGGTCAAAGGATGGTTCCCGCAACAGTCCTACTAGTATCCAAATTTTTGGTGGCTTACGTACATCTACACATATGGTTCATTGCATCGTAGACATCTCTTTTCCCTTGAGTACCTTACCGTCGTCGTCGTTCCGCAATCCAGAACGGGTTCTGTTTTGGTTTGCGTGTCTCGTTAGTGCTTGTTTCTCGTCGTTGGCACGACTTGATTTCACTTTTTTTTAAACTTCAACCACTGTTCCCTTTCTCCAGCCATTGTCTACACTGGATCGTTCTCGCAAACAGAAGCTTCACGCTACTGAACGCTACTGATACTAGTTTACGTGTGTGTTCTACGCTCTGCCTCTCGCTCGCCAAGCAGAGACAATCTGCCTGCCCCTGTCACCACTGCGAGGAAGCGTGATCCCGCTCCGCATCTCACGGCACATCTGCCCTATCATCCAACCTCGTCCTTCCTGCCTTGCACGCCCACCTTGCTCATGTCAACTTCCAGTTCTGACACACCCCAAGTCCAGGATACAGCTGCAATTTCTCAGCCTGTACTACCGCCTACGCTCTTGGTACCCTCGCATTCTTCTAAGATGACGAAACTTGACATCCCCGCTTTCTCTGGGCCACTCGAACCAGCAGCCATCAATGCCTGGCTTGGACGTTGTGAGGACTCTTACCTCGCATGGTCTGCCTTGAATTCAGGTCAAGTTATGCCTCCGCAACTTCGCATCGTGCTCGCTGGACTCAAGCTTGAAGAATCCAACTCTAGTCTCTGGTGGAGTGAGAATCGTGATGTACTCAAGCAGCTTTCCACTTGGGAGGCCTTTGCCTTGTGCTTCAAAGACCGTTTCATCCCCTCTGGCTGGCGTCTAGATGCTCTCGCCCGGTTCTACAATGTGTCGCAGGGCGCTGATGACTTTCGCTCGTTCGTTGCTACCTTGCGAGTGGCTCGGAACACACTTGGCTCAGCAGGCCTTGGATACACTATCACTGACTCGATCTTCAAGAACCACCTTTTGTTTTTTGCCCACCCCATCCTTCAACTGCGTATTCGTGCAATGCCGAATCTTGGGTACGAGAACTTGAAGGTGGACACGCTTATCGATGTCATGGCAACTACTTGGTCTAGTCTCATCGCGGAAGGCCTCACAAAGTCAATTTCTCCTAGACTGGCGTTTAAAGCTTCCTCGGCATCGCCGCCTGTGCCCACATCGAAGCCTGCATACCCACTTCCAGATCTCAGTTACGCAGAGCGGGAAGCATTGCGCTCTGTTGGAGGTTGCCTTCACTGTCGCTTATCGCCATCTGATGCTGCCTGGAAACCACACATCGCTCGTGAATGTCCTGGTGACGTGAAACAAGGAATCCCCCCACGTGTCCCTCGTCTGGCGACAACTGTAGCAGTGGTCGGTATACCTGAAGGATGCAAGGAAGTCTATTTGACGCATGACAATCCCGGTGTCACAGATTTCTCTGACCCCAATGCTGCTCTTATACCCAAAGATGTCATCAGGCCTTCCTGTGTTGACTCTGACAGTGATGACTCAGACTATTAATGTTTGTTCCTTTAATTGTTTGACAGTTTTTTTTTTCATTTCTGAGCCGCCGATGTTTAGCTTTTGTCCCATGACCCTCCCGCCTTTCGTATTGTTCACTCTTTCTCTGTTTGTGCATTTCTGGGACTCCTTCGAACATTGGTTTACTGATTGATAGGTTTTCCGATTGATAGCCTGGGAGGGTGTAAGCCTGGTGGCTTACGTACACCTACAAATATGGTTCTGAGTTCATTGCATCGCAGACACCTCTTTTCCCTTAGCTTGAGTACCTTACCGTCGTCATCGTTCCGCAATCCAGAACGTAATTCTGTTTTGTTTCGTTTCGCGTGTCTCGTCAGTGTTTCTCGTCGTTGGCCATGACTTGATTTCATTTTCACGTGCTATCGAACAATGCTTTACCCAGTTCTGGAGAAGCAAAGTTCACTGGCCAGTGCAGGACGATAGACTTCAAATACTGGCTTCCCCGGACTAAACAATCAAGATTTTCTCAGCGCCACTTGAATAAGATCGTCAACCCATTCCTCAACATTGTTTACCTAAAAACGATCATATGTTGAAGGCTCAGCACGCGTTTATTGCTCTCACCTCATGGCACACAGCGCAAGGGCTAACTCAAGGGTTCGGAACTGGAAGGCGCGGAAGCGCTAGATAGGATCGCTCTCAAGGCTGCGAGATCAACTAGGAATATATGGGCGAGACCATGGGACAAGAAGGGTTTCCTGCGAGGGATAACATATTGATTGTCCGACATCACCCAAGATACACAGCAACGTCCATGAACAGTAATGTCATGGACGTAGCACAGGGATCTAAACGGGGGTAACGATGGTGTGTACCTATAGGAGAATGAAAGAATACAAGAGAACTGCGACTGAGCCATGAATTTGACAGTCTTCTTTCTGTGTGGAACATGGTACGAGGATCGGACTATCCCAAAATCAAAATTCTTAGAAGAACTTCTGTTGATTATTACCGAGAACAAGATGTATGTGCATGCACGTAGATAGCAGAGTTCCAGTATGCAAAATCATGACGGATCCCTGGCGCGCGGCAGCCGATTTTATCTCTGGCGAATCGACAGAGTACTAGAGTATTACATTATGCAAATCTCTAATATCAATGTACGTACGACCGGACTTGCCAGTGACTGAGATCGACTTCAAGGACTTAAAAATAAGTCAGGGTCACGTGCGTGTGTTTGATGAACGCGTCGTCGGAGTCACGAATTAAACTGTAGGTCCACAACCGCCACATCAATCCACATCAAATCAATGATCGATGGTTCACCCCATTTGCGCCACATTCGTCGACCACATATAAGGCAAGCAGAAAGCAGACGTTTTCCTTGTCCTCTTACTTTTCTCTCCTTCAACTAGCTCTGCTCACAACACTCAGTCAGCCCAATCATTGAACACCTAGCGTCATGTCCCCTGCTGGCGAGACAGGCACATCGGCTACCCCGCCACGCGCCAATGCATCAAATCAAGGTGGTAGTAAACTAGAGTCCACCCCAAACAGCCGTGGGGCTTCCGTCGTCAGCGAGAACATCGGCTTGGTTGGTGTCCAGTACGTACCTTTCTTGCTGTTATGGAATAGCACCTGACGTTCCGTGAAGGGTTAAGGAGGTCTGGCCATGGATTCAGCGGGACATCGAGCAGGCCAAGCAGTGCAAGGCAGATGCCATGCTGCAAGCCCTCCTACAGCACGCGTCTTGCGCGCCGGAGACGAAACAGCCCGAGCTCCTGCAAAAGTGCCTGAAGGGAGTTCTTCCGGTTTGCAATGGACAGGTCTCCGCTGGAGGCATATCCTCTTTGGGCATCGAGACAGCCTGGAAAAAATAGTAAGCGCTCTTTCGATTATTACACGTTTCTACGCTTACAACGATTGCAAGCGTATGTCCAGGAGTAGAAAACGACTTCTACGGCCCTTTTATTGATGCGACGAACATTGCGCTCGCTTGTCTTGAAGAGATCAAGATTGACGGGATGCGTGCTCCTGTCTCCGCCGTGGACATGATCTTCCAGCAGAACGACATGCCCATGCATCAAACCCACCAGACGGCGAGATCAATCCGGAAGCCCGACATTGTCATCCTTCCTTTGAAGAGCGCATGCGCATCCTTCCAGGATGATAACGGCAGCAAGACGGGCAAACAGAAAGACAAACGGAAAGCCGCCCAGAAGGATGACCAGAAGGACGATACAAAGGACAGTCAGAAGCGTAAGGATCACATGGTCAAGAACGCAAAGGCAAAGCCAAAAAAACTTCCCTGGAAAGATGTTTTGGCTTGCATCGAGTTCAAGAGAAAGACGAAAGAGATTAAGTCGCCGCCCTCTTCGTATACAGTGACAGACCATGTCCACACTAAACCAGAACATCTGCCGGTGGGTCATCTCAAGGCTGAAGTGCCTACGCCAGGCCCTTCGCAGACCAGAGCAACACAACCTGCGTCCGATACCGCGCGTAAGTGATTTGATTTTTGTATCCAATATCCAACTGAATGAACCGAGCAGCAGATCAATCTTCCGGCCTCACTGCTGCACAGACTTCCAAGGGCGGGTCCAGCTCCAAGCGCAAGGCCGCGGACACTTTGGAATCTACCACCAAAAAATCCAAGTTCAATCCTGACGAGCCAGATGTGACCGTCCAGACGGGTCTGTACGCCGCAGAAATGTTTGCGGCCAATGTTGCCGTCGAACATCTGATTAATTTTATCGTTATCGGTGGGTTCGTTTTGTCTGTCCAGACTGATTGCGCTCTTACCACCGCTTTTTAGATGATGTGATCTGGACCTGGTATTATGATCGCCAGGGCACCGTTCAAAGCTCGGGCATCAACTTTATCCAAGATCTCCCACGATTCATGGTGCTATTATATGCGTTACAACGCTTCAAGGTTCACGATTGGGGCCGAAACAAGGACTTCCTCCCGGTTGAAGTTGAGGGGAAACAATGCCACGAATTCAAAATCAAGGATGAAGACCTTGGAACGGTGGATCTGTTGCTTCACACCAGCCACCCCGAAAGAGTGACGCACTACGGACTACAAGGGCGGGCCACTAATGTGGTTCCTGTCACTAGCGAAGCGCTCACTAAGAAATATGGTAACTTCGAGGATGGAATGGTGGCCAAGATATTTTGGGGAGAGGCGAGTCGCACCAGCGAGCCGGAGATCCTGAAAAAGGTTGAGGAGATCGCTAAGAGGCACCCGATTGTCGAAGGGCATATTCCGCAGCTGCTCTGGCACCACAAGTTCACGAATCCCACGTCCGCCATCCGAGAAGCGCTCGGTGTTCCTGAACCCACCACGGGAGGTCGCGTGCTCTACATTCTTGTGTTCCGCAAGCTCCACCCCATCACGAGGCTCCATGGCAAGGATCTTTTCGACGTCTGGCGTCAATGTGTCTTATGTACGTGTTTGATTCAGCTTATGTGGCTCTTCGTTGACATAGCCCACAGGCCACCTCACTTTGTGGAAGGAAGGGGTATATCATCGAGATATCAGCCCTGGAAACTTGATGTGGTACAGGAAAGACGGCAGACTGATCGGTGTCTTGAACGACTACGATCTATCTTCGTTGGCGAATGCATTGGGTCCTCAGGGAAACGAGCGTACGGGCACCGTACCGTTCATGGCCCTCGAGCTCCTCACCAAAAGGGGTCAACAAGGCAAAGTGAAACACCTATATCGCCACGATCTGGAATCGTTTATGTGGGTTTTCGCCTGGATCTTCTTGCGTTACAGGCAGGGAGTCCTACTGCAGAGATCGCGCCCTCTCGATGAGTGGGCGACTTTAGACGCTATTGCATGTGGCGAGAAGAAGTTAGTCTTCCTGACGGATTTCATCGATTATCTCCCCCCGGACCTCCAATCGACCATAGATTTATCTTTATGGGCTCTCCTTGTGAACTGTTTTGAGCTGCTCCAGGCAGCTAACTCCAATCGCGTTAATAATCGCGTTAATGACGCGCGCCATAACCTCGAAGTTAAGTTGGGATGGACGGAAGGAACATACGAGCAGATATATGCCGAGGAAACAGTATCGGATATGGATGATTTACTAGGCAAATTCACAGGTACCAGGGCGTGGGTTAAGCTCTGCGACACTTGACCTTTATAGTGGTCGTTACACTACATGTTGTTTTCTGTGTTTAGCTACCTGTGTCAGTTACTCATGGAATGGACGGATGTTACATAGATCATTCTTTGTAGTTCTGTCGTCCCCAAACTGTCAAACATAGTACGTGCGTTTGTTCTGGCGAATGGATATAGTACTAGAGTATAGACAGACCTCTAATATTGGTACGGCTGAGGTGAAATCGATTTCCAGGCGTCAAATAAATTACGGTCATGTGCCCAAGCCGCGTCACCAGAGTCGAAGTTCTGAATTGTAGGTCCACATTGTTGGGCGTCATGGCATATCGCAGCACCCTCTTTCTGCAGCAGTCGCAGCAGTGGTACAGCATCTTCACGATGTCCCATTTTCGACAAATTGAGACGCCGGCACTACCTGATTACAAAAGGTCCAGCACCCCATGAGAGAATAACAGCATTTCGCCGGTCAAAAAATGTCCACGAAATCCAACTTCAAAGGTGTCGTCAGCAAGGAATTGGACGCGGCATCGCAATACGTCTTGCAGGAGACGGCTATGACATCGTGATCAATGACTTGTAAAGCAAGAAAGACAACTTGGAGGAAGTCGAGAAGGAAATCGCTGCCGATTTCCCCGAGCGGATAGTGCTAACTGTGCTTGGGGATGTCAGCATCGAGGAAGATGTCAAAGGCCTGATTGAGAGGAGTTTGGCAGTCTGAATGTTGTGAGTTGTTTACAACAGCAGTGGTACCCGTTCAATTGCAAACTTTTCCTGTTGCAAACGCTTGCAATGATGAAGTTTCAATTTCATTATGTAAAGTGGTTAGAAGGCAAGTAAGGCCGTGGGAAGTTTCATTTGTGAATGGGCACGGAGGTCGATACCCGTTCTATTACATACGTTCTAGATAATACTAATCCGAAGAGCTGGAATGGGCTCCTTCAGCAGCTATGTCCCACCAAGTGGATGAAGAGACGCCTCTATTGCGGCCTGAGGAGCAGCATAAAATCAAAACTCCACTACCCTGGCGCCAATTCTCCATCATACTTTTCTTGCAGCTAGCTGAACCTGTATCTGCTCAGGCAATTGCTCCGTTTGCACCTCAGGTGAACTCAGCCTGAGTTCATATGTTTTACGAGTTCCTGATGAGCTTGTTTCATCTCTAAGCTGATCAGAGATCTTGGAGTGACCCATGGCGATGAATCGAGGGTAGGATATTTCGTTGGTATCATGGTGAGTGCCCAGTGTTCGCCATGAATAGCCGTTTCCTAATTCGCCTCCAAGTATTCCGTGTTCTACGTAGCTCAAGCCCTTACAACCCTTCAATGGAGCCGACTCTCTGATCATGTTGGCCGAAAGCCAGTCATCTTGACGGGTCTGTTTGGTATATCGGTCTCCATGTTCCTATTTGGACTTTCAAAGACCTTCGGGGGCTTGATACTAAGGTTCGGGCATCATATTCTAATCGAAGATTCCATGGTATTAATTTTTTTTTAGTCGTGTATTGTGCGGAGCGCTGAATGGCAACGGTGGTGTCATCAGGAGTATAATGATAGATATTACAGATTCAAGCAACATGGCTCAGGCATTAGGGTTTCTTCCTATTCCATGGATGACCGGGAGTACACTCGGGTAGGTCCCACATGTTGTTTTGTGTACTCTGTTCTTACGTTGAATGACCGGCTAGACCTCTCATTGGCGGGTCTTTGTCCCATCCGGCGGATCGTTTTCCTAGACTGTTTGGGCAGTCAACATTTCTGAAGACATATCCTTATTTCTTGGCTTGCGCTGGTCCAGCATTATTTACCGCATTCATGTGGTTGGTCATGTATATGCTTTTACAGGAGGTAAACAGTGGTTCACTCATTTCATTGATCTGTCTCATCTATGTTTAGACTGTGCCAACGACGACGTCCTTATGGAATCTGATTCAGAACAAATGTCGGACCATTCTTACGTTCGTACATACCAAGCCACCACAGTCAGATGGATCAAATTCCGATACGGTTCAAGGTTCCCCCGACGATTCTCAGCCCCTGCCTTTGAGCGCATTAATGACTCCGCGTGTTCTTATTGCGATATCAAATCACGCAACTCTGGCTCTTCTTGACATCGCTCTGCGTTCCCTAATACCCGTGTTTTACTCTACGCCAGTAAACATGGGTGGACTTGGCCTCGACCCTCCACGAATTGGCAATATCCTTGCATTATTCGGTATTGCCAATGGTTTATTCCAAGTATTTTTCTTTGCTCGGCTGCATGACCGGTTTGGCACAAAGGTGGTATATACCTGCGGAGTCGCGTCCAGCGTACCGACCATCATCGCATTCCCGATCATCAACATGTTGAGTCTGACGTATGGGATTGATGCCACAGTCTGGTTCGCTGTCGGCCTTCAGCTCACGCTGTCCATCGCGTTAAATATGTGTTATTGTTCGTTTTTATCTCATGAGTCGCGACCATCACTGATTAGTCTGTGATAGCTTGCGGATCGATGTACATAGCAGCTGCATCTCCAAATCGTGCATCATTGGGCGCCACTAATGGCGTTGCTCATACAGTCGCAGCGTGTGTGCGCATCGTTGGACCTGCATCGGCAATGTCGATGTTTTCCTTTTCCGTGAGGGACCCCTATTATGCGTGGGCGGTGTACTATTTTATGATGATGCTGGGACTCCTTGCAATTGGCGTGTCTTTCTTGCTGCCCCGTCAAATGTGGACGCGTGGTAACTAGCTTTGTCTCAGTCGTTAGCAGCGGTACATGATACTTGTACCCTTCCAAGCAATGCTACATATCATAACTTCTGGCTCGCAATGGCTGGCGTTTGTGCGCCATTGATCAACTTTCCAATTGTTGATTCAAATTCCGCTGTTTGGTGAGTCTCAATCGCATACATATTTGACCTTACTGAGAACTGTTCTTCTCGAAGAATATTTTGGAAAGTAACGTCCGTCGTCAAGGCTCGCTTTTCTTAGTTCTATTGTTGTTTGCATGCCTTAGCACAGTCCTCATACTCAGTATATTCTCTCACCGGTGGCTATCGGCTACACTGAGAAAACAGTTTACACGTCATACTGTTACAAGCAATCGTGCGGGTGATAAAGACATTCCGGAAGCTACCCCCCGCGGTTCTATTGTGCTTGGAAGATCCGAACTTCCTCTGGATACACTCAGTCAGTGATTCCATCATAACACTAAAAGCCCTACTCTGGTAACTAGAGCTGAGGCATCATGTCGTAGGGATCGTGGTGCGTGTTATTCTCTGAACGTCGACTGATGATAGCGGGTTAGCCAGGTTAGACCTAGAGACGATAGCCCCGCAAGAGACGTTCTACTCCCACGTGAGACTGCTTTTGGCAAGTACAAGGCAGTTGATCCCAGCTTCAGGGTCCAAAATGATGTCAGAAGGTGTGTCGAAACTTTGTTACGTGGGCGCCTGATAACTCATTCGTTCCACCGTTGTCAATTTATGCTGCCGAAATTTCATTATGACTGTAGAGGGAAGTTGCCAATTGGTTCCAGAGGATGATCACTCAGAATGTATGTGACGTCAGATCCAAGATCGGGCTGCCGCATCATGATCGATTGAAAGATTGATCACGGATTGTCAATCCCCGTCTCTCATTTAATGAGACCGAGAACCCTCGTTTCGGGAGTGCAGCCTAGTGCAGCGTGCGTGTTCCATTAATATTGCACGAAAGGGTTACTTCTCATCAGTAATCATGAAATGACATTGATCACTTGATCACTTCGTTGCTCGAGTCCTACGGTAGTCATGGTGAACACCGTTCTAGTGACACGGTTTTACTCCCCCGGTTGCTGGTTCGAACTGTTGAACATCTTTTACACCGCTGCAATTGCCAACAGCCAGCACGCTTCTCTAGTTCGTCGTTGGCGCTGACGAACGACGACACCCACACTCTTTTTTAACGTCTCGTTCTCTTATTGGTACTGCATATCTTACTTTTTTTATACAGGATGCAACACGTCTCTGTCCGACATCGCGCGATTCCCGACAGGGCGCTCGACAAGCGCAATGCCTCTCTTGTTAGCTTGCCCATCCCGCCACCATCTGTCACGATATCGATACTTTCTCCCCTGATATCCATTACCGGTGAAGATGACGGTGGGGGCTCTTCAGTAATGGGTGTTAGTTTTCTACCAACAAGCCCATTGCCAGTATTTTTTGCATCCAAAACTATCAGTTTAAGCGCATGGATTAGCGGTGAAACCGAAATCAGTAGCGGAGGTGGGAGTGGGGGTGGAAGTAGCGACGGAGGTGGAAGTGGGGGTGGAAGTAGCAAAGGAGGTGGGAGTGGGGGTGGAGGTAGTAACGGAGGTGGGGGTGGAAGTGGAAGTGGAAGTGGAGGTAACAGTAGCAGTGGCGGTGGGACTGTAACCGAAACCGGCACCGACACCAACACCGAAACTTATGGTGGAACTGGAGCTGGAGCCGGAAACGGGGGAGGGAGTGGAAGTGGGAGTGGGAGTGGGAGTGGAAGTGGAGGCGGCAACGGTGAGAACAGCCCCGAGGGAAGTAGCAGCACAGCGACCTCCACGCCTACACCATCACTGGCAGCTTCACCAAGCTCCCCTTCCTCTCCGGGAGGTACACCAGCCTTCATCAACAATGGTACCGGTAGCCAGCTCAAATCTAACGGTAGCGGAGGGCCGCTCGTGAACGTCCAAGGCACTCCGGTAGTTCAGTCTTCATTTTCGACGCACAACCCCCAAATAACGGGCAATACCAAGATGTCTCAGTCCACGAGTGCACCAACCGCCGGCCTCCGAGGCTCGAGTACATCTAGTGGTGTCGGAAGCTCCCCGAGTGACGCTACTCCTACTCTTACTGCGACTTCTTCGCACCAGCTGTCCTCAGGCGCAATTGGAGGAATCATTGTCGTATGCGTTCTATTCCTGATCGGTTTCATCGTGCTCCTCGTGCGGCGTCGCTCCATTGCTCGCCGTCTCCAGCGCCGCCAACAATGGCGGTTCGGCGGAAATACCTTGCCAGGTAGTTTATCTGTCGTAGGAGGCTGTGTGCGAGACCCTCAAAGTGGGGAGCAACCTACCCAAAACAGGGCGAGTGCTCGCAGCAGCTTTGCTACCAACTTTGATCAAGGACTCATGTTCCGCATTGACTCCCCGATATCATCCCCCAATGTTGATCTCGCCGCACTCGGCACCACTCCCGAGCTCCCTCCCATGGCGGAAGTGCGCGAACGCGCCTCGCTCTTGTTCCCCTCTGCTGGTGCTGTTTCTCGTAGGGAGTCCATGAATAGCATGATGAGTTTCGGGAGCGACCCTGACACTCAGTACCTCATTGTGGGAAATGATCTCAATCCTCCCGGATCATCTAGTCCCATGTCCGTCCGTCCGTTTTCTCCGTCAGAATCCTTCGCGTTTCCTAGGCCACCACCCCCTTGCCCCAAACAGGCGAAGTGTGCTTCGTCCGTTTCTGTTGGTCACGACCTCGTTGCCCCTTTGTCATCCGCTGCTACTCTCGTCCAGATTCACTCTCCTCCTGCCATATTCAATTCTGACTTACTGCCCTCTGCTCCCGCTTCCTCCTACCTGCTATCACCACCCAGCAGTTCGTTGACAACTATTCCTGCCACATCTCCTAACCCTTTTGCTGATCCTGCGAAACCCGAATTCGAGATCATCCATCGCCCATTCGCACCTACCCTAGACGATGAAGTCTCCGTCGTCCCGGGCGATCAAGTCCTCGTTTTGAAGGTCTTCGACGATGGCTGGGCGTTCGTCGAGAAGCAGTGCGGATTCTTGGATGATAGCGAGAGGGGTCTCATTCCCGTGGACTGCTTGCGCGAAGCCGGTCAGGCCCTCCCAGTATTCCTATCTCAAAAGCGGGTAAGCGGGTACCAAGCTGATATAAATCAACTGGCCCAAATGTTGAAGGGCACCTCCAATTGACAAGCACGTAATTGGTAAGGTTTTCTCCTCTGTACCAAAGCCCTCATTGATTTCGTTGTTTTCTCAATGATACCAGCATAATTGGAGATTTATGATATCCATCATTGATCGCGTGTCAATCTCAAGTTTCTTGCATTGTTAAAATCCATACATTCCTGATTCGTCGTCTCGTTTTCTCTGCTCCCCTACGGTTCCATCGAATTGTTGTCCATATCGCTTCTTTCATTTATCTTATCGTTTTGTTTTTGCATCTGTTGCTTATTCAACTTGGCCTGTACTTCACTAACCTCTTTCACTAGACATTCATGTTCTATTACATTGCACATGCTGGATTTTCTCTACACTTCAGATACCTTGTCTTTGTCGCTACTGGATTTGATTGCGGACAACCCTTTTCCTTCATCAAAAGTCTCTTTGCTTATACACTTCTGCAGTGCCTCGACAGCTTTAAGAGTTGGAATATTGAGACATCCTGATGCCCAGATGTGATTCATTGTGCGCTATCGATGACCAGGGCACTTAAAATTCATGGTTAAAATATCAGTACGTGCCAACTCCATACTCTAAGTCAAGCTGGGTACAAATGAGATCAGACTGATCTACATGGTAGGGCTGAACACTCTGTTAATCCAAGAACAAACTCGTTATCTCCAGTATATGGCTACCACTGGACAGTAGCACCCTCGTGATTAAGGTCGCTCGTCCATACAAAGGAAGTTCAGCGTTTGATGGTTTCCTGCGTCACAGACACTTGAAAGTCAGTAAGCAATTGATAGAAATTGCCAATCTCTGTTGTCGCGAACATCAAGGGTGACGGTGAAGAGGATCTTGTATACGTTTCGGCAGCTAGGTTTATACCGGGGCAGTGGACGAACCGGTCTCGTGAGGGTCTGGTTCAAGATTCACTGAATCCGTGTCTCGTTGAAGTAGTTAGGGATCTCAGATACGAAGGAAGACGATGGCGAGTCTGGGACGATGGCCCGGGTGGTTGGGAGGAAGTAACAGTGCTGAGTCGCACTGACTGATAGCCCAGATGATGAGTATGCGCGCGCGCGTATATGCCATCCATGATGCTGCTAGCAATATCGTTTAGGACGTATCCCCATTGACAACGATAGTCCATGCTATACTTAGCTTATAGAAGGCAAATGAAGGTTTCCAGCCGACGTGTTCGCTATACAACTTGATGTGACCCATCGAGGAGTTGAAAGCATAGCCGACGTATATAACGAATTTCAAAAAGGTACCGAGAGCTAACTCGGGCGAAGAGAAAGGGTTGTTCAGCTTTCAAGAACAGCAGCACCTGGTGACTCTGAAGTCAGACTCGGACAGCTACATCATGATGCACTCACTGAAAACTCGGAGGCCTTCCGTATTTCAGGTTAGTCTCAAATATCTAGCCAAAAAATCACAAGCTGATTCGCCAGAAAAAAGTACTTGAGTGGACTGTAAAATGGTTGTGAGCGTAACGTTCAGGGAACCTACTACGAGTTGAAACAAACATCTCCACCGAAGGCCTCGATATTGCCTTGCATCCATTGCAAAGCTAGCAAAGTATCTTTCAGGACAGTATTGGATGCATTGAACCTGGGCCTGAATAACTAGTCAGATTATGATGCGAACGTTTAACAAATCTCGGGTACAAAGTACTAGCCCAGATGTTCATCACGTGACTCGTGGTGTATCATTTTCCAACGGTGTTCGAGAATCGAGACCACTCATTGTCATGTTGTAAAGGAATGGTCGACTGTCACCACGATTCACACCACCTCTATGAACTGACTGGGTGCGCAATTGATAGCAAGCGCTAATCTGCTCAAGGGAGAGGTCATCGCCTGGCACGGAGAAACTAGGGAATCCGGTCAGCTTATCTACTGATTCTAATAAAAAATAGTCGACCATCTTTACCACCTTCGCGGGCGTTGTTATTCGACGATTAACAGGACCATGTACACTCGTCCATCAGGGAGCTTGGCGCCGAAATGCGTCATTGAGGGTCATTCCAAAATCATTTGGAGCCTTGCCTGTTTGGGTACCAGTTGCAGGCAGCATACTGAGCGTATCGGGCGATGGTGCGATTCATCAGTGGACAATGGACAGAGAGCCGGTGGGGAAGCCTTGGACTAGTGGGGGAGGAGAGGTAGTCTCAATGGCTGTATCTCTGGATGAAACAATGGCTGTGAGCGGAAGTCTGGACGGCAGACTATGGCTGTGGAACATAAAGAAAGGCAGGATGGTTGGCGATCCGTGGGAGGGCTACAGTGGTCAAGTGAGGTGCTTCGATTGGTCTCTTAATGTCCGGGAGATAGCAAGTGGATCGACCGACGGCACCATACGACGCTGGAACTCGGATACTGGTTGACAAATAGCACCACCGATAGAGACCGGCCAAGGGAGGGTTTGCGCTGTCAGATACTCTCCACAAGGGGACAAATTCACGAGCGGCGGGAAGGACAAAGTAATCTACGTGTGGTCAAAGGACGGCGAGCTGCTCATGAAGAACGAGGGCCACGACAGCGATGTAATCATTATGTTGGTTAAGGATGGCGCACACATATTCTCCGTGTCAGTCGATCGCACCATTTGAAAATGGCGGTCGATTGATGGGAAGGAGCTAGGGTCGTGACCGTACTATCACCTCCTTCTGTCTTTCCCCTGATCTTGTTAGCGCATCGCTTGACTACTCGATCCGCATCTGGGACCTCAAGACGAATCAGCTAGTCGGCAACCCGCTCTTGCATGACGACGAACTCTACACTGTTGTCGTATCTCCTGACGGAAAATATATCACCAGTGCTGGACCAGATGCAAAAGTTTATTCGTGGAGTCTCGAATCTCGATGTAATGATGTGAGTGTTTGTAATGTGTTGTAGACATCTTTTCTAAGTGGGTTTAGTTGTCGTTCAGAACGTGGATGAGGGCAATGCAAAGCTCAAAGCAAGTTATCTATGCTTCCCTTGTGTACTGTAACTTACTTCTTTACTAGGGACGTGCAGCCCGACCGAGAGATGTGCGTCAATCAGCTGTGAACAAATACTTTGCTCATTTGCATCGTCAGATCATGCACACTAGTCTATTTTCCAAGCAGCAGCCCAACAACAGAGGCTTGGCGAAATATTTCAGTATAATCTTTCGTTTCTCGAATCATGCAAGCCTAATATTCGTACAGGGCAAAGACTTCTGGGACGCTGACACCAACCCCACGCCTCGTCCCGCAACTCCTGATAGCCAATCGTTTGGCCTTCGTTGGCGTAATGCACTCGACCTGCACATGCACCACAATCAGTACCGTTCGAGCCCCGGGCATTGGAATTTCAGGTCATTTCCTGTAGGAGTCTCTAAATACATTGTCGTAGCTCCCTGTCGCGATGAAGATGTGAGTGCTTGACATTGGCAATATTCAACCCTCTTTAACAAATTTACAGAGATATGATATTACCCCGCCGAAGTGGCCGCAGCTACGCCTCGTACAAACAATGAGGCTGGCAGTTCAACGCAACCGGGTCAACCTCAAGCTATTCTGGGGACACGAGTGTCTCAAGGGCAACCAACAGGAATGCAAGGCTCAAATGGTAGGACGGGAACTGTTTCTTATGAAGTTAGGTGTTGCGAATTATTCTGTGGTCGTGGTCCCTTACATGAGTCTTGAAGCTAAATTGAACTCTCACTGTCACTCGATAATTTACCCTATTCCGTCTGGTGTGATTTTGCAGACTGTTTTGCTGCTCGTGCTACACACACTTGCTGCGACCCCCACTTGTTATGCACATATCAGGCTACCTACCTCAAAAGTATCTGAATGCAATATTTCTCACCTACTCGGACGTTCTTCATGCCAGCATGGGCGAGTTTTTACACCTCCGAGTCGATGTCATGTGGTGCACAAGGTTATCTCCCTGACCAGATATGAGATCTAGGCATGCGCGTGTGTTTGTAAGTTATTTTGAAGTGTTCAAGTTAATGACGCGGAGCAGGAACACGCCGTTGTTGCACGGAGTTTGAATATTTACTTTTCTCCTGAAACGGCCACTCGGAGAGGCATCACTCAGCCTACAACCTAATACCTAAGGCCCAAGGCCTGACGCCTAAGGTCCAGACTACCGTAGTATCGATCTAATATTGGCACTTGGTCTAGACTCATAGATACCTTCAAGCTATCAATTGCAAGGTCATTTCATGGTTGGGACCCAGAGAAAGGCAATTCCCTTTATTTCCCAGACTCAGCATTACCAGCAATCGTTCTACTCAGTGTGCAGCCATGAGCAACTCGACTTGCGGCATACCAGTAGTGGTACCAGCAGACCTCCACTTCGACGTGCAACGTTCTATGTTTCAGGCCTGACTTCAACGTTGGCTAGATTTCTGAAATTTCTACTCGGCAAGTTTGGCACTGGTGAGTTAGTACTGGTACTGTCATTCAAAATTACTACCTGAAATCAGATGACGAGAATGACCTCAGGCTCCACTTGTGACGCAAGGCGCAATCATGTCCCTGCCCACTGCGGCATAGAGCGGTGGGTCCAGGGTTACTGGCAAACTTTGAAACATAGTTGTGGAGTACTGCCGTAGATTCGTTTCGGCACGAGCTCGCTTTCCATTTAGAACATTCTCGTCGAAGGAAATCGAATCTCGCGGTCCGTGGGGAACCTAACTCCAAACCCCACACTCCATGAAGTGCGCGGATAAAGGTTACGCTCTCACTCATGTGTGACATCACTCGAAGTGATCTTTTCAAAACGAACCCGAGCGGACTCATCAAAACCCGTCCATTTTACATTTCACTGTTCGTTTCAGTCCGGTTTCAGGGTTCTTGTAAAGCTGTCAGCTGGAAAATCCCATTAATTATCCCATTCATTCTTCCCATACTCAGATCACAACAGGGCCTCCATGCAGACCTGCATGGGATTGCGTATATAACTTGAAAGAAGACTGGCGCCTCTTTGAAAATTCATCTCAAATCTAGATCCGCAGCTTTCTCACTCTTTGCTCGCCTCACATATAGTGACGTCAGTAATTCTGCTCTCACTCTTCAAAAACTCATCATGGGGGAAACATCCACGGAACTGCGCGAGTACTCTCGCAATATCGCTGCGCACACTTTGAAGCAGCTCATACAATGGCAATCTTCGCTCGAACGCCTGTCAAATGAATGCGAGCGGGAGAGTGTGCAGGACAGCGCCGACAAGCATGGACCTAAAGGTAACCGGTTGATTCCTTCCTGTGAGTGTATGGGAATCAGATTATATTCCAGAGCATGTTCGACTCCCACAAAAGACTGCGTTGAGTGGGTAGAATGATATTTCGGTGTGCACAATCTGCGCTGTCTATATGTATGTGCCATGCAACACCATCGTCGTTCCCAGCTGAACTTAACTGCTCGTAGACCGGATCTTGTATCGAGTGCATGCCAGGCAAAATAACACTACTCTTCGTTTTCTCTTCCCACCCTCAAGCCCAATACTGCGGCGTGTATATCATTTCCCTTTGTCATGTTGTATCATTTAGTTCAAATTGTCACATATTTCAATATGCTACGTAGAATATCCTGACAGAACAAATATAAAAGCGTTATGCTCGTGCCATTCTTAGCAGATGTCAAATATTGGTGGTGGTTCTAACCGATAAGTCTTTCGATCTCATGGGCGTGTGTTCTTGTACATGTATAAAAACCGGAAACTCATGGTTGACATCGATAAGGTATGCCTAGGCCTATGCCCGCACACGATGCGTCCCTTTTCGTTTACTTGTTGCTTCCATTATGGCCACCCCTCGTTCTTCAAAATTTCTCCAATTATGAACTCAAAAAGAGGCGCTTCGTTTGAAATCAAGTGCGCCTTGATGATATCGATCCAGAACGCTTGAACTTCGAAGCTTGAGGCGCGGGCTGATGGCCCGAGGTTGATTCACAAATGGTGGGCACCTAGCAGATTCCTTCGCGGGAGACCGTCGGCTCCTCTGACTTAGTTCCTATGGGTCTTCAAAGCATCGCAGCCTGAGTGGGTTACCAGAGCATTGCCTTAGCTCTGCGCTCAGCCTCAGACATCCCTTCGGGTGTCGCGAAGCTTCAGCTTTAGGTGCTTCAAGAAGTGGCGTTAATAGGAACTGTCATAGAATTGTTTAAACCTAGATTACCCATCCTCCGCGGCCGTTATCTATGTGCATGTAATGCAAATACAGCAGTACGTAGTGCAGCGAAGGAACACAAATAGTTAATACGCATAAGAAAGAAAGAGTTCAGGAGAGAAGTGAGATACATTATTACATAGGCATGACCAGATATTTGAGCCTTCAACAAAGGGCGTCAGGTCGACGTAGGTAAATGGATGGCGGCGGACGCACCTGCTGTAGATTAAGGCATATTAGGATCGCGACTTTGTATTATTGCTTTGTGATGCCCTCGCTGCATGTTCGACCTTTGTCAGTTTTGTCATAGAATTGAGTTTATCACACCCACCGGCTCGCTCCTTCTCCTCTTGTTCCTTGGCCTTGCGTTCTAGCTCAGCGCGCCATTGGATAAGCTGCTCTAGCGTGTACGTAGTCATGTCCTCAGAATATTGGCACAACTCGGCATCAGGATTGATTTCTTGTGACATGATAGTGAGGATGATTTGAGTAGAGAAATTGAGCTCGATGTGTTGCTTTACTCTGCATATTGAAACATGGGGTTTTATACCCCAGCGTGGGCCGTGAGACTGCTACTGCAAACCCCAGGGTTGTCGGGAGTTGCAGCTATAGACCGGTGGTGTGTTCAGACACGTCGAAGGCACCCTCATGACAGTATAAAGTGATGTCGTACGCAGTCCCTTTCTTCATGAACACATCCAGGATCAAAGAGGCTGTTTTAGTGCCTGGTGCCTGGTGCTTTAGGTATAGCGGTAGGCTTATTGGAAGATTAATGAATGCTGGTGAGACAGCAATCACTTCGTGTTTGCGAGAGAATCGTGGGTTTGCACCGATACCGCACCGCTCGCCAGACATGCCGGATGGTAAGCACGTGACTAACTTGAGTACATACAATCTTCAAGCTGGCTCCATCAATGTCTTCCACCTGAAAAAATACCAGTGGCGTCGGAGATTAACTGTCAGTTGAGGTCCTGGTGTGATATATGAGAGCTCGGCTGAGACACTATCCGTTCATTTAAAAGAAATAAGTGACCGAGAAAATCAATCGAATAGTCGGAATGCGTACCTTGGCTATTAATATACGTAATAGCCTCGACGCACCTAAGACTAACTAAGACCGTCATTTCAATGGTACCTGACACAGGAAACACTCGATTTAGAAGAAAAATAGCGCACATGCCTTACAACATGTGCAAAAATTCGGAGGCGGAACAAGACCGGAGGTTCCTTGAAAATACATTGATCAGCGCTGACAGCCACACTTCAGGTGGCACCTCGGTTCCCTTCCTTAGGAACTTGTGCACGAAGTTAGGGACAGGCGGTTTCCTTTGGCAGCGGACATCACGTCGTGTGTTAGTCCCTGGTACCTTCACACTCCTCGCGGTGCACACTGGGAGCAGTTTCACAGAGACGTCTTTTCGGATCTCTTGCACGAATGTTCCGCCTTTCATAGAATGGTCCTCGACAGACTAAGTCATGCATGGCTTGCGAGAAGAGCTCAAGACCCGACCAATAGTACATCTTCTTGCCCATGGGGCAAGAAAACTCATGCTTGAAGGAAGTTGAGTATCGAATAACAAAAGTTTTTGAGAGTGTACGTCACGTTAAGGGAATAACTGCCAAGTACATGCTTATCTGTGAGCTGTGTAACACCATGATGTTCGTGTAACGATTTTGAACCTAGCACGCAGCCACATCGGCTGGAGAGTTTCACACCTTCAAGTTGACCCTGTGGGCGCCTGCTTTCCATTACGCATGCCGAGCATATAGTGAATGTCATGCCAAGTGAATGAAAGGTTCCTGTGCAGGGATTCTTGCCCATTAGAAAAGATAAAACTTGAGCATTAATGCGATAGATGTCACGAACGCAGAACAACGGTAGTAGCTGATTTAGGAAGTGCCGATGTATTGTTGTCTGTTGTTTGTGTAATGACATTGACAGGCCTAGCCACTGCCTAATAAGCGCTAGCGCTTACACAGACATATTATTTATCCCCAGTTTGGTCAAGCAGTATCTGTCGCGGTAGCTGAATAATAAGCGATTTTAATTGGTTGACTAATACCCATAAATATCATGTAATCAAAATTTTAAGTTACCATGTGGAGAACAAAGCTTGAATCGAGCCAACATGTAGGGTTCAGATTAACGTTATCATCCTTGTTCCAAGTAAAGTTGGGTCGATAGTAACATTGATATGGTCCACGCAGGACACCTTCTCACTGACTCGGATAAGAGGTAATTCCGAATCACAAATATTCGGCGTCCTTACCAAATAACCGTGGCATCGTGTTGGACAGATTCGACTCTGCCATGGCCCATATTTCAAGTACTTGCTCCCAGCCTAACATTCTCGCTAGCAAGAGGTGGTCTCGAAGTGCATTCGTCCATATCGAATAACTGTGGCACTGTGTTGGAGAGTAATGCGCCAGTGATTCGGCTCTACCATCTGCATTTGCGGAGTCCCGGGACCCCCTTCCTAGCCAGAGTGACGTTAATCCGTACGGCTTATACTTCCTTCTACGTCGACTAAGATAAGTAGTGCTATTGAATTTTTCACTCATATCTTTTTCTAGCCCACTTAACATCATAATCCTAGAAACCCCATCATGAGTGTCAACATAACATATGCCGCTAGTATCGTCGCAATCTTGGTGGTCCTTTGCCATGTTATACCAGAAGTCTTCATTAGCCTCCGGAAAGAACAGCATTCCCGCTTCCGCCTGGACCTCCCGCCCGTTGGTTCTGGAGCAACGCTTTACCTGCTGTGAAGTAAGTTTTGATGATGTTCACATCCAAGATATTAGAAGCTGACGAAGATCGTCCACTCAGCACTGCCCATGGGCTGACCGACTTGGTCCGGGAGTATGGCCCGATCGTGTCGTTGCGACAAGGTAACCAAGTGATAGTTGTCATTGGCAGCGTTGAGGTAAACCGTTCCACAACATAAGCTTCCTCTGACAATAACCCGACATCGACCACTTTACCAGGCAGCCACGGGCATCATGGAGAAAGAGGGTGCGTCACTGGTTGATCGACCTCGGTCCATTGCTGCGGGTGAGATGCTCTCAAAGGGAATGCGAATTCTCATGGCTCGTTCCGGAGATCGCTTCCGGCGCCTCCGAAAAGCAGTACATACCCATTTACAGCCGAAGGTGGCAGAGGCATACCAAGATATGCAGCGCGAGAATGCAATGATTTTTGTATTGGATGTGCTGAATGATCCAAAGAACCCTCAGAAGCACGCACAGCGGTCCGTCATTACCATGCCTTTTTGCGATCTTTCATAGATATGTACCCCAAGGTTTGCAGCATCAGTCATTCTTCGGGTGACTTATGGGAAGTCTGTGCCCACTGCCAACACCGATCCTGAAGTTGTCCGTATCCACAGAGTCATGGAGCATTTTCAGGTTGTGATGCGCCCAGGAGCTTATCTCGTCGATCGTGTGCCTCTTTTGCGCTACTGGCCTGGTTACGGGAAACAACTTGCTCAGTGGCATCGTGAGGAGCTAAAGCTATACAAGCATCAGCTGCAGCGCGTCGAGAGTGAAATTGCAAGTGACTTTTTGTTTTGATAAACGTATTCATTTATATATTTTTATACTCAGGATCAAAACAAAGCCGGCCCCTCTTTTACCAAGACACTATTGGAGCACGCCAACGAATACAAACTCTCCACAGACGAAATGGCATATCTTGCCGGATCACTCTTTGGGGCAGGATCTGATACGGCAAGCCATGCAATCGATTTATCTCCGCGAAGGTACTTATTTGTAGTCCAGACCGCTGTTGCAATGACCGTTGCTATTATGGCTGCAGCATGTTACCCAGCGGCCCAGGCAAAGGTGCATGAGGAGCTTGATATGGTCATCGGGTCAGACAGAGGTACTGCTAAAGAGTACGAAGTATTTGATTTCTCGACTAATTTCTCGTGGTAGCGCCAACATTTGAAGACTCAAGATCCCTCCCCCAATTGCACGCGTTCTTGTTGGAAAGTTTGAGATGGAGACCTGTCATTCGCATAGGTCAGTTTCAAATTGAGCACGCTCCTGCACGATGGTGACATGTGCCTCAGGATTTCCACACCGTGCAACAAAGGATATTTTTTGGGTTAGTATCTTAGATTCATTGTAACTCACCTTCTCATTTTAGTCTATGTGAGATCAGCAAGGATACTGCATTCCTGAGGGTGCAATAGTCTATGGGTGCCAATGGTAAGGTGTCACTTCTCGATGCACATCGTTTCATTAAGTGCATGTTTTCAGGGCTATTTCTCGCGATCCTATTGCCTTCCCAGATCCTGAAACGTTCGATCCCCAGCGCTGGATTGACTCAGAAGGCCGCCTCAAAGACAGCGTCAAGTTCATCACATACGGCTTTGGTAGACGGTAAGTCGTGCCGACATCGTTTTTTGACATTGTCGTTCACTTGTCATCAAAAGTGTATGTCCCGGTCTGCACCTCGCAAACCACTCATTGTACATCAGCCTCGCACTTCTCTTGTGGTCTTTCCATATCGCTCAACGACCCGATGCCCCGATCAACACGCATGCTTTCTTGGATGCTGTTATTGCCCACGCAATGCCATTTGAAATCGATGTCATTCCCCGGATCGAAGTTGCGAAATTGAAAGAGCTTATGACCGACGGTGTATAGATTAAAGAAGCTTATATCCGCCGGAGAGATATTAGACTGCATAGGAGAGCTGGCACAGCATATGTATGTAGACAGCAAGACGAGCATGTCATTTGTTTGAGTCCAATCAGCAGAGGAAGAAAGGCAGCCAGCAAACTCATTACAACGGACTCATCAACACCTGATAAAGTTGTGAAACAATATATGCAGGCCATAAGGGCTTGAGGTCATCTGTACTTGGCTCACAATCGTATGAAGGTAATGAGTACAGTGGTAGGCAGGTATGGGGAATCCACGAGATTTTGTCCTAGACCGCTTCTGAAAAGCAGGAAGTAAGCAAAATGTGAGAAAATGTCCGAGGTCAGATATAGATCCTAGATTCGTGAAGAAAATGAATTGAAACGAATTGCTAGTCAGTCACAGCCAGAGCCAGGTCCTTCTCGCCTTGCAGAACACTTGAGGGCATAGTTGAATTGCATCGGTCGAACCCAGAATTATACTGGAAGCTTCTCGGCGTCCTGCAGGCTAGTCACAGCATGGGTGAGCGCCACCGGTAGCTGTTAGGCTATAGTTTATCCACAACTTCTATTCTTCACCCACTACTTCGTAGACGCCCTTCCTTGCCGTCTCCACGCAATATGTAGCCTAATCGGTGTTTGATCTCTTCAGGAATGATACTGTTATTGTGTAGGCCGCCGCTTCGCATGCACATGTCGCTCATGGAGATGCTGATTTGTAGAAACGCTCCTATTGTACGACAGCTTCGCGTCGGATGTTATAGATGTCCCGGACACATGCCCTGACTACAAGCAGAAGGCGCTCGACATCTACTGCACGAGACGACAAGCCTGTAGCTAGGGAACATGACGATAAAGTAAAGATCGCAAGCCTGAGGCAATCGAGAGTTTTGTGCCAGTGACGATAGGGTTAAAATGACGTAGGTCGTGAAGTAGCGAACAGGGAAGGCATAGATTCTGCTCTCGTGGACATTAGGGTGTTGCACGCGACTGCAGTCACAATTCTTCTGGTAACTTGATGCCATGAGGTCATTCACGAATTCCGTTACATCAGTTCCATTATCCAAGTTGAAATGGGCGAATCAGAACGCTTCGGCGTAGGCAGTTGGACGATGTCGGAAGTATGTTTCACTTGCTCTGCTACGGTAGTAGCCGAGGAAGGGCCGGGTGCAGGCCGAGTAGAAGAAGCGGCCTTCACCGTGTTCTTCTGCGGCGAATCGATAACTACGTCGTGAGGAGCAGAGGCACCAGACTGAGTCGACGTTGGCCCCGGTGACTTTGGAGCTGTCGACTGGTCCTCGGTGAATGAGAAGTATTTTACAGAGACGTCCGCACGATGTTCTGCGAATGTATATCAAAGTCAACAAGTTGTGGCTCCATTAAACCATGAGAAACATACCTGTGTTCTTAGAAATAGCACCAGCAGGCCACTCGCACTTCTGATGGTCTACAATGCAGCGCATGCAGGAATGTGATAGTTCGTACTCGTCAGTCCGCGAACACAGACGAAGTACGGTGAGGCAGGGCCTCGTCGCCGAGGATTTTTTTATACATCTCTTGCATTCAAGCACCACCTATGGCGGCCGGAAAGGAGCTTAGCATGAAAGAGGTTAAACAGAAACAAGAAACTCACTGCGTGAGGGTCTCGCAGGTTGTTATCTTGCATTAACTCGTTGAAAGAGCGGGGTTTGGATGGAGGCATGCGCCGGAGTGGTTTCTTTACGGAAGGTGGGAGTCTGGGCCGATTGGAAGGACGGTCCACGAATGAAGAAGGCTATAGATGGAGTCTATGTTAGTCACTGCGAGATGCGAACCTAGGGGAGACGTACCGTTTGGACATCAGAAGGTCTTGTGTCGCCCTGTGGCGCTTCCTCTCGAGGGCGTTTAGCCCAAGAAGTACGAGTGCGACGCGCAGGCTTCTCTTCAGTTTTCCAATCGCCCGCGCCAGCGTGATCACCATATTTGACCTTGTTAGAAGGCTCGGGGAGAGCAACGACAGCAAGCGAAGACAACTGGGTGCTAGCGAGAGGGTCCCCGATCACGGGACTCCCCATTAAAGCTTGCATTTTGGCTTCCCAAGCCTCAGCAGTAAGAGGAAGCCACCGGCGACCCCAAGATCGCCAAGGGTGGTGCAGGCGCGCATCCACCTGCTCTTGGAAGGTTGTGTGGAGTTGAGAGACTGCCGTGAGCGTGAATAACACCTTGCGTTCCTCGGTGTCGAGCCAAGTCTAGGAAAGGAACTATAGTCGACGAGGGAAAGGGTTTGAAGAACCATGAAGCTCACCAGAAATCGCACGACTTCGCGTCCCCAGTCCCCTAGCACGTCTAAAGGAGCGTCTGTGCCGGGAGCTTGCAGAGCGAGCGCGCTGGCGATTTCCGTGACTTCCCTCAAGGTAGGCATGTTAGGAAGGGACGTAGTGAAGACAGATGATGGGAGTGGATAGAGGAGATAAGACAAACTATCGAAGGGATTATTGATCGAAGTCCAATTGAATTACATGCGAATTGGTCACTCACGCTCATTTGCGATCACTCGCATCAACTTGCGATGAGCCAGGCAGTCCAGAAACAAGGATCCACACGATGGTAGAGCTGGGACCTACATAGATTTTATTGTAACTCACAAGCCCCCTCGCTTGACGGACAACCTTTTATTGCTCAATCTGAAGTTAACCGCCATCCTCCCTCTCTTCGCCAGCCCCAGCCACTTTAATCACCGTGTCTGTAGCCTAATCGGCCGACCACCCGGGCCGAGTTCGACAAAGCTGCACAGCCCCCTCGATGAACCTGATTGTGCTGATCCCGAAAAAAACTTTCATAGCTCGGGGAGAATATGAATTTGGATGGTATGAATAACATGCAGAAGAAAATCCAGTAAACAACATTCTGGAATTCACGATGCGATAGATTGATTTGACGCGTGTCTTACTCCCTTCAAGGAATTCAACTTCAAGAATATTTAAGTACATCGCGAAGCGCGCTGGACTCGTGGCTCACCTTGAGCTGGTAATGGCACTGAGTCGCTTCCTCTTGTCAGGCACTAATCGCTGGACTCGTGACAACCATGGAACAACTGTTATATTGGTCTGCCTAAAAAAAAGTACATCGCATGCAGCAGGCATCAATTGCGCGCTGAGAATGATATTGGCCCAGGACAGTGGTAGCCATCAGGTCATCATTTGGGCACGGAGTCCTGCAGACGTAGCCGCCAAACACAGCAAAGGGAAAGTCGCCCTGGAACGTCTAGTATTCTCGCATATCGGCCATGTATTTATGCAGTGACCATTCCTCCCTCGCTAAATTTACCTCCGCCAAGAGGAGTTCCATTCGAGACAGTATGGGTCAAAGCCATAGACGCTACAGGTGTGACGAAGAAGATGCCATGAAATTTACATCAACAATTTGGAGAAATTCGTCATACCCGAATCCAGGGACCGAGAATGTCGTAGCGACAGTTCACCGTCGTGGCCTTCCTCACCAACCAACACTTGGCCTGTGACGCCAGTTTAACCACGGGCATGTATTTCTGCGACAAGTTGGATACAGGATATCATGCTAACCCTGTCAGACTATAGTGACACCAGGTGTGGAAACGCACGGGCGGGCGGGCGGGCGAGCGAAAGCTCAGAATGCAGGGTGAGTGTGCATCCTGTAAGGAGAAGAGGGGAGGGGCGGGCGAACCACGGGAAGGCATTCGGGGTTGTGTACTCTGAAGGCAGAAGAAGCGGATGGATCTCAAATTTGGCGGTAGCGGAATGGTATCTTGACGGAATGTCAGTCAAAGGAAACGTGAAGTTGACGTCGAACCGATGGAGTGATCATAATAATGCCTCAGTTTCTTTTTTTGGGATCCTACATAGCGCCTATCAGCATGCCACGAGGCTTGTAGACGTGTCGCGCTCCAGGAGCGCACCTTAAACATAGACAGGGTAAGGTAGGTTACCCACGTTCTCCGAGGACATGGCAGGGATACTGCAGGCCCTCCAAGCGGAGTATGAAAGTTGTGTCCGTCACTGTTTCTCACGCTTGCTCACTGTCTGCGACAGAGCCAAAGGACTTACTTCCATAGACGCTGGGAGCCAGTTTCTCCTATTGCGTCCTTCAGCGTCTTCCTGTTAGGCATACAACGCGAATAACCTAACATAGCATCTTCATTTGTGGAAGAGCCCACTATCATGAAACTCACATCAACAGTCTGACAAGATGCTCGAGGGTTATGACCACGAAATCAGATCTAGAGCTGTGTCTCCAGATGACAAGACAATTCCTGGATCCAAAGATAAGACGTTACGCGCCTGGAGGCTCGAGCTCGAGGACGGCAGGAAAATGATCGAGTGGGTGGTAGAGACGATTGTCAGTGCACTTCTAATATAGCGAAACGAGAAATACACTGCCAGTGCCCGTAGCCGTGCCTATGATAGAATACTATTGAAGGTTCTGGAATACGAAGCGGATACCGACCTGATCAAGACGCTGATCTGCAAAAACGCTCAACTGCATACCCAAACTCAATCAGAGTGTAAATGGCCTCCTTGAAAGTTGACGTACATGGTCGCTATGTTTTTCTTGAAATACACTCTCAGATGGAGGTTCTTGACATATCTGACAGCCATGATGCACCTTCTGGCTACGCGGTAACAATGCAAATCATGAATCTAAAGATCATTAACATTTGTGAAATGTGCAATATCTAAGGCTTCAGAAGCACTTTGAATTGTACCAGAAGATCCATGCCGTCGTCTCACGCGTTCTTGAGCCACTCGTCGTCGAGTAGCTGTAAGGCTGTAGGTCGTACGTGGGGATCGATAGTTAAACACTTCCGAATAAAGGCAGCGGCAGGAGCTATGTCCTTCTCGTCCACAACTTTATATGCTCGAAGACAGCTTTCCATTGCCTGAGGAATCAGATTGTGAACGCGGAGTGATCCTTGAAAAGAAATTTAAATCTGCTTGCTGATAAAGTACAATTCCTTACCTTGTTCGTCAAAGAAATCGCTCCGGCATTGACATCGTTCCAAAAAGCTAGGTGGGAAAGGACCGATATGTTCGAGGATTCGTTGGAGACAAAGATTTTCAACGCTGATGGAAGAGGACTCCGAGAGTTGAAACATAGCTGCACCAGTCAGGTATTCAAAAACCTAGATGGCTTTTCGGTTGATGACAGCAAGCAAAAATAAACTATATCTTACTAAACATCCCACGGACCATACGTCGATGGGTGTAGACCACCCATGTCCCAAAGTAACTTCCGGTGCGCGGAGGAGAAGAGGTTGAGCTGGTTCTATTCGGCGCTCTTTGGCGAGTGTTGCTGTTGACAACAGGACAGATGAGATGCCGTCGTTCAAATGTCAGGTCACTGACCTTGACCGTAATCAAACAAACAAACCTTGAGGTTGCTCGCATCATCCCGAAGACCGAAATTAGGGAGCGGCTGCGACTTTACCGTGATAATAGGTTCAGGAGATAAAGTGGGCTCAAAACGAGGTTCGTATGTGGCGGATGGCGTTTCTTCAAGGAGACGAGTTATAGCTTCGTCTTCGTAGTCCACACAGACAAGAACATTGTCGGGTTTCACATCTTAAAGACCACATTGTCAGTTACTACGAACTTTGGTACAGGATAGAGCCGGAATATATACCTGTATGTACGAAGCCGCACTCGCGGTGAAGATAGTCCAGAGAAAGAAGTGTTTGTTTGACTATACGTTTAGTGACAGCAACAGGGAAAGCATGCCCGTTGGGTTGCAGCCTGCGGAGACTGATCATGTTCGTCCCCAGAATGTTGGTCATGATGCAAATGTGAGGACCATGGCAACTCTTTTCGGTGATTACGTCGTAGAGATGAAGACAGTGTTGTTGGCCAGGGTGGTTAGGATTAGCCGTTTTGATGGTCCTAAGAGAGTCCACTTCACGTAGAAATCCTTTTACCACACCTGCGGTCGCGTTGACTGTAAGAACCTTGACAGCAACATATTTCGCTGGGTACGCGTTTCTAAAATACCATGATCCTCATAAGTCTGAGCAGGCTCGACCAGAACCAAAGGGATGCACTTACCCCAGGGTGCGCGCGAGCCACACGTTGGAATTACCTGCCCATCCAAGTTTTCTCACAATCTGGAGCTTGCCCTCTCCGAAATACTGTCCTAAGGTAATGGGGTAATATCCGAACCCTTGCTCAGGCGAAAGCACAAGTGGCTCTTCGTCGTACACAAATTCTTCCCCATCGTCCTTATCGTTGATCTGCACATGGACGAACGGATCGTGCAAAGGTCTTTTAATATCGCGAGCCACTGGTGAGGATGTGGAAGTAAAGCGAGGAAGTGTGCGACCTAGGGTTTTCCATAGAGGACCACGAAGTGAGTTGGCTACGACAAACATTATTTGAAGTCGAGGCGGTTTTCTTTCATACTTAAGAATATGGGCGTCGATACTCAAGTGCTATAATAAATGATAATCAAGGGTCCACATACTTACGTTACGACTTGTATCCAATCATACCAATCAAACGCGTTCTTGTTCCATCGGACTTATGATCTACCGCAATTTGCAAAACGGGACACCAAAATGAAAGTTGTAGTATCCAAAACCAGCTCCAAAGCACATTCGAGGTCCATGAAGCATGAGGACTTATTTCGTCTTCTTGCGTTCCAACATCGTGAGCGGTTTGTCAGATGAGGGCCCGGGAGAGCTCAAGAGCCTTTGCAGGTGTATGGCAAAACTTGAAGCTTGAAGTACGGTTAATTTTAACAGGAAATGGAGCAAAGAACGAACAACCATCAGAAAGCTAAGCTATGTTGACGGGTACTTGCTCTAAACACATACTATTCTGGTCGGTGCTAAATCTCGTTCCCGCAGTGACTATCGTTGATCTGTACACGGACCGACATATCGCCTAAAGGTAAGCCAGTAAGGTAGTAGGGCATCAGTACTAGCAAGGAATCGTACGATGTGTAGTTTCTTGTGGGGCGCAACGAAGGTTTGCTTTCATAGTACTTACTAAATCGGAAACCTGAAAATTGTTGTTGTTTGGACTCAAAAAGGCTTTGCCAAACAAACTTGGCATCCCTCGCTAAGTCGATTTAAAAGTTACCCTGAGCCTGCAGACTGCCGCGGTACCGGTAAGACCTTCCTGGGTCATATCCAGCGTACCGGTCTCCCGTATGCGTGTTAGGGAAGAAGTGTGAGAATTTGTTTTGCTTTTAGACTCGGGTGAGCGTTATTAACATGCATTTGAGCGTGAGTAGCCGATAATCCTAGTCTCCGTTTCCAGTCGACTTCATTCATTCATTTTCATGGCTCCCTGTATGGCCCGACATGGTCAACTTCGAGTCTCGAATCTTCGGACATGCACAGGAAATACCAGGCGTTGAACTTGAACTGCATTCTTAGTGGAAGTTGTTGTAAAGCCTATGGTCGAGAAAAGATCTAAACTGTGGAGTTACGGTGAAAGATTCTTGTTTCTCGGGATTCAGCGCATGTCGTGCTCGCCTCTCGTTTCTCTCCTTACAGTTCAGCCCATGAAGCCTAGCGGCTGACGAAGGGAATTTCCCACTTGCCTTGGCAGTTCAGTTTATTATTCAGTAGAATCGGTACCACATATCCCCGCGCAATGCCTCGAGTACGTTCGCTCTCATCTGCATATCTTTATGATCCGATCACTTTTTGAATCAGATTTCACCACCGATGATATGGTAATATCAAGACTTCGAACTTGGCTAGCAAGACATTTCAAGACCTTGTGACACGGGTAGTGGACCTTCTATCCATTGCACCTAACCAACCTTAGGCAAGCCAGTCCTTGGCATTGCATTCGCATACGTTTCTTACATATCTCCACTCATCCGAGTTCGTTCTCAGACTAATGCCTAATCCGGCGTCTCTTCGGGTTTTGTCTCGACACATCGAGCAATGCCCGCCTCAGCGTGGCTACAGAACGATGGAACCACTATCCCCGTATAAGGAGAATCCCTGTTTCATTCCTTCCAATCAGGGGCAACCCTTCTCGCCTCCGTTTCAGATAATACGATTGTAGTCATGGGTCTGGCTAATCAGAAGAGCTGAAAGCGCAAACAGACCAACTCGATTCTAAAGTATTTGCACGAATCGGAGATCGGGAAGACGCGGGTAGGAAGATGCTGATTATGCAACAGCGTCGAACTTCTTGATATGATGAAATCCGGTCCGCAACTTTATATGAGGAAGAAACACACAAGAAAGACGCACAGGGTACGTGCTCGATGTTTTTTTATACTTTCCTTTATTTCAATGCTCCAGTATCCGACAATATTTTACTGCATTGGCAGACTATCATTTATCTCCATTCTCTTCCCGCGGAAATGATGTATGTTTACGTGACTAGTAGCAGCTGCCTCGGAGTCATGCTTAGATGGCAATTTTATGATCACGAGATATATGCTAGGTTTAAAGCGATAACAAAACTCATACGTTTAGATGATGAGTCAATCTATCCGAATAACCTTATATCCGGAAGGCTTCGCCTTCCCATCCTGACAAGTGTTGATATGCTATATCGCTCCTATATGTGGTCTGTATCTGTTCGTTATAGGTGGGTACCGTACTGAGGTCTTCGAATAGGCGTTATTCTTGTCCTGTTGGACTCGACTTGAAGCTTGAAAGTTGGGACCAATGCAACAAAGCTGACATAAAGTGTAGCCGGCGATGTTCGAGCATGGCAGAAGGAGTAAATGTGTACATCCTTCGGCATCCAAAACAGATTCGCCAGTAATCCTGTCGGACCAATCTCCGATGGCTTGGCTAGCCAGGCTAGGACTATCATCACGCAATGGTGCGTACACGTACTCGGTACATACCGGTATCGTAATATCTTTCAGAGTGTAGGATCACCTTGTAAGCTCCCCCTTTGACTGTATAAGAAGCAATAGATTATGAGTCAGATAATCAAAATTTTGCTGCTTCGTCTTTTTCAATTTGCGACTCATGGCTATTCTAACTGTTGCAGAAGCGCCTTCTGCCAGGTCAGAACACAAAATGTCATGTCAAAAATCGGACATCAAGGTGTCCACAGACACAAATGATACAATTGACATAGAACATGCTCCGGTCAATGACGACCCCCGTCAGTGGAGTCGTACCAGAAAGGTGCGTGTATGACACTTGCATTATGTGACTCACCTGACGCTGTACCACCTGTAGACGATGACTTTGTGCATCGTGTCACTGGCTACAGTGGTGTCCACATTAGCCTCTAATATTCAAAATCGTTCGTCACATTACTTTCCTCACGAGCAATTTTTTAACACCATCTCACAGCCTCGAACCTTCTGATAGAGGAGGATTTGCATGCCACAAGTAGCCAGATTAGCTGGACATTAGCGGCGTTCCAACTCATACAAGGGAACTTTCCGCTGTTGTGGAGCGCCGCAAGTGAGATCAAAGGCCGTAAGGTGGGTCTAAGTGTACCTTTCTTGATCTGCTTGATGAGCGCGGATCTCGTTTATCACAGCCCGTCTATTTGGTGGCTTCAGCTATATTCGTGATAGGAAATGCTGCCTTGGCGCTCTCAAAGACCATCAATATGATGATCGGTATGCGAGCACTTCAAGCTGTAGGGTGAGCATCCATCCAAAAAGCTTGATCAATGGTTGACTCCCCTCCTAAAGTTCCTGCGCTGTTATTTCTATTTCGGCTGCAACCCTGGCTGATATTTACGAGCCTCACGAGCGCGGTACTATGATGGGCATATTCTATGCTGCACCTCTCGTAGGACCCGCACTCGGCCCCATACTTGGTGGATCGTTGTCACAAGCCTTCGGCTGGCGTGCAAGTTTCTACTTTCTGCTAATCTGTGGAGGGATAATCTTCTTGTCCTTCCTCATCCTTTTCAAGGACACGCACCGGCGTGAACGAAGTCTCACATATCGCTCCGCTTTACGGCGACTTTATACATCCAGAGAACCCATTCAGAGCTCCAGCAAGTCTATTATCACCGCGCACGGGTTCAGCAAGGACCAAACATTGGTCAAGGACACCGAGAAGCAGCTCCAACGGCTGGATGTTCCAGACGATAAATTAGTGGTAGCTTCAACACTTGGGCTGGACGAAGTCAGGTTATCAATAAAGGACATTGACCCCTTCCGGCCATACTTTCGAATTCTGTCACGAAAGAACAATGTTCTAATTCTCACCGCTAATGGTGAGTGAATAGTTGTCCTTTTGTATACGTTGTCAGTGATTTCATTTCGGGATAAGGGCTCGTATTCGGTTTTACCTCTTGCCTTTCATACACGTGTGCCCGCACTCTGGCAAACGCATATGACTATGATGCGTTGAGTGTTGGCGTGGTCTTGCTTTGCTTGGGCATAGGTGAGATCTTCGTCACTTGGATTGTGGCAGAGGACTAACTTACTGTGAAGGAAGCATCACTGGGAGTGTGATTGGTGGGCGTTGGTCTGACCGGGTGCTTGCAAAGATGATGGGGGCGAATGGAGGAAAGTGGTGTGCAGAAGTGAATCTTTTTCATACTCCCACACTGGAGCTCTTGATTGACATCTTCCGAAGATACGCTTGGAGAGCTCGTTATTGGGGATGCCGTGGCTACCTCCGGCTGTTATCGGTTATGCTTGGGTGTGCGAAAAGCATGTCAATGTTGCTGTCATTTGCGTCATGCTCATTCTGATTGGATTTTCCTCCACGTCGGTACACCACTTATTCATTGTCGTCGTTGCTCTGACATCTACTTCTAGATGGATGTCTACTAGTTTGTTGGCATATCTTGTTGATGCCAACCCTGGTCGCTCGTGTACAGCAGTAGCTACAAACAGCTCGTTTCGGGGATCCCTGGCTTTTGTTTCTGTGATCACTGCTGTGCCGCTTCAAGTGAGTTTTCTTGATATCTGCTGTATCTCACAAATCCTGACATTAGCCCACTCTCTCTGTAGAATACTTTAGGAGATGGCGGATTGTATACTGTTTGGGCTGGCATCCTGATTGTGACGCAGTTATTGGTTATATTGGTATTGCGCAAGGGAGAATCGTGGCGCAAGGAAGGTGAGGAGCGTGAGCTAAAATGCTAAGTGAATGAATCTCGTGTTACAACTGATATGATACAAGTGATTGCTGCCGCACGGCTCGTCTTGTAAAAAGGCAATTATGTACGAGTTTGCATCTATATAGAAGATTTCTTTTGTAACATAAACATGACAGGAATTATTTGAACTGGCGGGAAAAGCAAAAAGACCATTGGCGTTTGCACTGCACTGTGCCCGGTGTACGAGACCGTTTGCTCTTCTGCGGGCTTCTTTAGACCTCTCTAGTCTGATTGCTGATGATGTGACATCCTCACAGGCTCCGAGAGAGGTTGAAGGGCCCGGGGTCGAAGAGTCCACGATATACAATCATACGCGTTCATAAGAGAAGTGCGGAGGGCATTGAGATTGCAATAAATCAAGAGAAGCGCAAAGCAAGCGACAATGATCGACTCGTTTAAGGTGCAAGCTGTACTAGTAGATGCATGATTGAGATGTTTGTCGGGTAATGGCAATTTCAAGTTATGGCCTAAGCTTTGCAGAGAAGTTCGAGTGAATTGTTTTCTACTGATTTTGTCTCCAAGCTTTACTTGGACTGATGGACCATGGTTGTGTCCCGGGCCCCTGGGCCTTGCAAGTTGCAAGCTTGAACTTCAAATACCTATGTTCACTATTACTACGTCGTGGCTCATTCTTGTTATTTTGTATTCTCGATCTTCCCACTGTTGCATAGTTCAATGAAATGCACTATAGAACACTAGCGTGTCGGCTCAAGTGGTGGTTCTACTAAGTAAGTACGTGCACACTAGTAGCACACTACTAGGTCATTGGTGGCGCGCACCCGATCACGTGACAAGTTCCTCTCCAATGCGCTGCGCTACCTGCTGAGCCACCTCCTTGGCCATTCCACATCGTTTTGTGAGGATCCCAATGATATCTGTCTTTTTAGGATGTCCAACGACAAATTTCACGAGCTTGCTTATGAACGACGCAAGCCATCCTTGTCCACCGGTCCATCCTCCTGCATTACAATGAGCCTCAACCACTCCACGGAGTATTCCACGCGACTCCTCATACTTGTCTCTAAGCCTCCCGTCCAGAAGATTCGCCGCAGTTAGGCATGCGTGTCCCGCGGACCTGATGTTATACTTCTCCAATTGGCCCGCATTCCGCCTGTACCAGTCTTCCATCCTTGGCTCTCTTTCGAGGTTTGTGACGACTAGCACGAGTGGGACTCTTTCCTCGCAGAAAAATTCGAAGAACAACCTATAGTTACTCTGCATGGTTGCCGTGACTCTACCTCCACGTATACAGAAGAGCAAGAGGTTGACACCCCCATGTTCTTTCAGATTGTTGATGAGGTTATATGCATTTAAGAGTGTGGGGGGGTACGCTCCGGTTCCTAGTCGAGGCTCTTCGAGGCTGGCTGTATCAAATACCCTGTATCGAGTCCCATTTTCGAAGGTTATTTGGTACTCTGTCCAATGCAGAGTACAGCGGGGAGCATCGGGCGATATGTGCGCAATCTGTTGGCCAGCCATCAGGTTGATGACAGAGCTTTTTCCCACTCCTGTTTCTCCAAAGATAACGATGTTCTGAGTCGACCCTGGCGCCATCTTATGTCTATAGACTCATGGTCAGCGGTATTCGACCCTTCAACTTGAAGCTTGAAGTTGGATATAATGCTACTCGTACCTGTTTACTGTGGTGATTCTGCGCTGTGTTGTTCAATAGCAAATGATCCTATTTGTAACTGGTTTATATATATATGATGCACGCCCCCTCGGTGCGTTTTTCATGGTTTTTACATCATCCTTTTTTGTCTCGTAAATGCCCACAGGGCTCGAGGTACCCCGCAGTTTTTGACAGATCTGATAGCCAGCGTCCTTGATCAATCTTTCAACAAGTCACTCAATGTTTGCAATAAAACTGCAGCGAATGCCAGGGTCTAGACGGGCATGCACAAGCTATGCCTGAGCTGATCACGAGAGGGTCACGCACAGGATTATGCAGGCAGCCACCGCCACCACGCCCAAACTGAGGCCCAGGGCACGCCCCAGCCGCGCAAATAAGTGTGCAAATATAGCCATAATTGATTAGAAACGTGCGCGTGCGCTGCATCGTTGGTTCGTCGAAGTCCAACTCCTCAATACATTTGAAAGCCACAGCATATCGACATCCCCCGGAACTTTGTCACGGATACTGAATGAATCAAAGGCGAAAATAAAGTTGTGTGACAATGCGTGCAGGTAACGAGGGAAGGTCGCCTGTACTGAAGAGCAACTTCTGAGGTTCAGATTCAGAGCGAAGACACATCTAACACCACATGGATATACAGGACAAACACCGGAAGCACAATGTGCCCACCTGACGTATCCGAAATTCCCTGTCTCTCGCACCGCACCTATGCCGTCTCGCGTATGCTATGATAGCTCATTCTGACGTCAGCAAGGACTACATTGTGTTCTGGGCGGGAGTAGAGCTTTGAGCGAGCGAGAGATAGTCGGAGTTCGGAGTACATGTGAACAACAACGTTAGCTCTGAAGTAACTATGGATAGACGCTGTATTTACTTACTGGTCGATGCATTGCCTTGAGGTGGATGGAAATATGGTTGGAATTCGATGGTTTGAGATCGTTGTTTGAATCGGTGCGATAAGAACTTTGAACCTGTGAATGAACGATTGGCGCCGCCTCGAGGAAGCCATGCATGCCACCTCCAGGACATAAAAACTCGCCTGTCTTGCCAGATTTCCTCCAGGTAAAATACCAGTATACCAACCAGTGAGTGTCGGTCAACTTGTGCACTCCCGTAATTGATCACCAGATTACAGTAACGGGCTATGGCTGCTAGAGAGTGGACCTGCAAAGAAGCTTCAACCGCAGTGCAATCCAAAATACCAATCCTGAAGCAGGAGTTTGAAGGACACGAGAGGGAGATTTGGAGTTTCGTTTTCTTGCACGACAACATCCACATCGTGAGTGGTTCAGTAGACGGCACTATGCGCAAGTGGAACTGCAATACGGGACTTGTTGTCGGGGAACCATGGAAAGGTGAGGAAGGAAGGATACATGCACTAGTGCTTTCACCGGATGGAATGATAATTGTGTGTGGGAGGATGGACGGAAGCATTCAGCGTTGGACTACCGACGGAAAGAGGATCAAAGGCGCTTGGACGGGTCATAGCAAATGGGTGCGGTCGCTCTCGTGGTCACCCAGCGGAAGTCATTTTGCCAGTGGGTCAGATGATGGAACAATCCTTATTCGAACAGCAGACAACGGAAAAGTCGTGGTGGGCCCAATCGACACGAAGCAGAGTAGTGTGTCAAGTCTTGCATATTCGCCTTCGGGTGAGAGAATTGCATCAGGTGGGCACAACAAAACAATTTGCATCTGGAACACGAAGACCGGCAAGCTTGTTATCGGCCCCATGGAAGGCCTGGAGCACCATGTCACGTCGTTGGCATGGTCATCGGACGGCACTAAAGTCTATTCCGCATCCGACGAATTCGCACGTGTTTTCGACAGCACATCAGGCGCACTACTTCATTCCTTCAAGCACGATAGTTGCTTATATTCGGTCGCACTTTCTCCCAAAGACAATGTCCTGGCGTGCGTGGGCATCAACGGCGTTGCACAGCTATGGGACATAGAGTCTAACCAGCAACTTGGCGAACCAATCCACCAGAATCATCGTGACGACACCCTTTACTGTGTGTCGTTCTCTCGAGACGGGAGATACCTAGCATATGGCGGAGACAACAACAAACTCACTCTATGGATTGTCAAAGACACAGTCCTTCGGCTTCCAGCACCCACACCGCCCGAACAAAGTGATGGACAAAGCACACAACAGGAAACTCCCAACTCACCATCATCATGCCTCGACGTCAGTATTTCATGATTGGCTGCCTGTCTTGCTTTGCTCACAGTGCTGTTGCAGGTTGATGCTACGGGCGGTGCTGGCTTCATTGAGGAGGCGCAGGGCGACTTAGACAACAACTTCTTCCACGTGAAACTCTTGTTTTCATGCAAGAGCACCGGTACTGACAACAAGTATTTGCAGCTTCCGCAGGAATTTCTTCCATCGCCATCGCCTGGCCTCCATTTCCACTCCTTTTTGCTGGCTCGCCGCTTCTTGAATGTAATCTCTCGACGTCGTCCACCGTCAGACGAGTCCGTTCCACAAGAACGGTCCAAACATAGTTTCTTCAGTCGTCGCGCTCGCTCAAACTCGTTCGTGCAGCTTGCAGCCATTAAACCCAACCAACTAGTGCCGGAAGGGAAAGTGACAGAAGGCGAACGAGGTAAAAGTGTTGATGATGTGAGTGCTGTTTCGACTCTTGCACAGTGTCATCTTAGCACAACGGCCCTCAGTGTGATTCTGCGAATGATTCGCTCAGCGCCAGAAAAGATAGAGTCATACGGCGTCCCACCGCTCACCTCGATAGGGAAGATCATCGGAACCGCTGGACACGGCTACTGCAGTCTCGAGGAAAAGATCATACATCTGGTTTCCTCCATTCCAGCACTGCAGGTGCGCCTCAAAAAATGCTGTGCAATCCCTGTCAATTTAATTCAAGCTTATTTCCTGTAGGATCTTCCAGATATCCTGTCGATGTTTTTCCTGCTCGCGAGGATGATGTGAGTAACTTGTCACCACTCCCCTTTCATATAATTGAGATCACTGTGCAGAGATACGGCATCGTCCCTGAGACTGACGCGGAAGCGGCTGCAGCTATGCTACGCACGAATGACGATGTGACCAACAGTTCAACACAGCCAGGTCAATCTACAGTGGTGGCACAAGGGTCTCAAAGACGGCCCACACAAACACAAGCCTCGACAAGTGGACCACAAGAAATCGAAGTAATCTGCTGTGGGTTTTCCTTTAGCTGTCGTCGTTCTAACTAGTCATTAAAGACGCTAGCCGGAGACGCGCTCAGTAAGTCAGGAACAATATTATATTGACAGTATATGTACCTAACTGGAGACGCGCTAGGTACGAGTAACGAATGAGTAAAGGAATATTTACACAAACACAAGCCTCGACAATACGCCGTCGCTTAGGCTTCACCCTGTACATGAGTCCCATGCCATGTTCGCCTTGTCTATGACGACCATGACCTGAACTTTGATTTTTATACATACCTCACAGTACTTTGCGGACATTTGATTTGCCCAAGACAATCCATGAGCTTCAGTGTCGCAAGCTGGTGCCAGAACTTAAATCCACATAAGAATGACCGTCGCAAGTTGAGCATAAGTGATTCTCGCCAAGTTATTACTGACGCTGATGACCAATTACAACTGCTTTCTACTGCCTACGAGTCTGAAAAGCACAAACCAAGGATTGGCTAGCAGTCCCACGATTAAAAACACGACATACCACCCCATAGCTAGAAACATGAAACATTCGAGATCACTGCGTCGCGACAGGCTGCCACCAATGCATGTTACCGACGCACGAGGTAGCTTGTATTGACTTCAAGAGGTCAGGCCAGATGAACGACCTTCTGCCAGGTGGTATTACCTCCTCGTCTTGTATTGAACATTGTACGATTATCTCCACTTGTGTGACCATGTATCTTCTTGGTGGAGGATATAGCATTAAGTCTTGAATTCTGTGAACAACCTGAAGTTAGTATAGATTTCCTGACGCCCGAAATCTAATTGACAATTAACTGGAGTATCTGATGTCCTGTACGATGCACATCTCCCGCACCTTGCTAGCTCCGACCTGGACTCTTGCTTTAGTTTAAACCATGTCTCAAGTTCAGGGCACCACGTCAGGAAAACGTGTGGTAGCATCTCTGCCCTTGAGTAAAATATCTCAAAACTCCACCAGAAATTAATGTACACTACTTATCACTCCAAATCCAACATCAATGTTCTGGGAATGCTCCGCTTGGCAACAAAAAGGATAGCAAAGATAGCGCATACAAAGCTATATAGTGTCCATATTACAATACCAATCGCACATACCTCTTCTGATTTGAATACAAACCAAGGGTTTTGGTCGCGAATGAGTGGGGGAAAATATAGTAAAATCTGGTGCAGCGCAACCAATCATTCATACCGACGGATTCTCAAAGGCACTCCAGTACCATCCTCTCCAACAACCCGTGGACGAGGTAAAATCCCCCTCGCAACTTCGACTGGGGTATCTGGTCCATCCCGCATCTCAAACACGAAGTTCTTCACCAGGACCGATAAAACCGTCTGTATCACAGTGAATAACGTCCAAAGTTACTTATTTGCATCACTCACCTTGAACTCCATGATCGCAAAATCTTTTCCAAGACACGTCCTCGGGCCATCAACAAATGTCAGCAGATGCCTATGACCTTGGACTTCCTTGGCCTTCCCACCGATACCGTCTTCAGTCAGCCAACGGTCAGGCTTGAATTCCTTTGCGTCAGGTCCCCAGATGGTCGAAGAGCGATTGATTGCCGCGATTGGTATCGTGATCCATGTCCCTTTCGCTATAGATATACTATCCGTCATGTTACCAGACATCGTGCGCACAGGTTCGCTCAAGGGAATAACGTCATCTGCTGCTGCCTGTGGACTTGAAGTTGTCGTGTCTATTCACATGTAGACATACACACTCACAAGACGAATAGATTCTGGCGCTGGAGGATGAAGTCGTAGGCTTTCATGCACAACCGCATCCAGGTACGGGAGGTTGGCCTTTAATTGGTCATATGTCGGATCAGGGCCAAAGGCAAGCAGTTCATCTCTGAGCCTGGTTTGAACATCGGGGTGTCGTGATAGCTCGATCAGCGCCCACTGATCATCACATTAATAGCGGGCAGACGTGATCGTGCAGTAAACTCACCGTGAGACTAACTGTCAACGAAGAGTCAGCCAGTATGACCGCAGCGGGCAAGAAACTAACTCACCGGATGTCGTCCCATAACCCGCGAGAAGCAAGACCTTCATCTGCGGGAAGTGAGCTCGTAAATCATGGCTGTGATACATCGTCTTCACGGACCTGAGCCATTACTTCCTCCTCCGACATATGCAACTCGGTATCTTGACCTTCGGATTTAACTGATCGCCGCGTTAATTAAGAGACTACGATGAATCTCTCAGATAGCGTACTCAACAATCCGATGATAGAATTTTCCTGGCCTCTCTCGCCTATGTTGGCATCCTTTTCCCGGCGGCTGCGAATCAACAATTCGTTAGATATTTGTTCCATGGTGACGCTAAGTTTCTTGAACAGTTTCTGCCGCTCAGTGGGGATCTTGAGAATGATAGGAAATACTAATGCGAGCAGGATAAAAACTTCGTTCACTGTTGAAGGTTGGTTGTTTCCAAATGTACTATCAAACATTTCGGTCACGCTGACGCTCTTTCCATCGAGCGAGCCAAAATCATGGGAGAAACCAGCAATGCCAACCGTGTCCAAACTGATGTTCCGTCAGTTCAAGGCGTCAATGACAAAATATCTTCGCGTACGATATATGATTCATCCTTTGAGTCGTTTCGATTAAGAATGGCACTTGCAAGTCAGAAAAGCTACGCACCAGTTCTGGACCTCGATTACAGCGTCACCATCTTTGCTCGATTCAATGACAGTATCCCATTTTCCTTTGGCCTTTAACGTATCAGGTTCAGAGATGCTGCGTTTCCCGCATCGTAAATTCTTACCTTGTATACTGAGTCATAAAATACCGATGTGAGCTTCCGAATGGCTGCATTACTGAATGCTGGCGTGAGGGCCTTCCGCTGCCTAATTCGCAGGTGGCAGGTAAGTTGCTTGCGCAAGGACAAGAGCCGAACAGTACCTTCTGTGGGTTTCGCCCTGAGCCCATAGTATCCCTTTGCCAACCTGACAGGAGATATGAAAACTGACAAGGTAAGATGATGACGTTAACATACTGATGCCTCCAGAAACGCCAACGAAATGGGCGTCTGCACATATGTCCAAGTCTCGCGAGCGTAGAAATGTGCAATAGCTCTTGGGTCACACAACACGACTCTAGTCCGCCCGAGGATGCTCGGAATCATATACACTACCCCATATTCCGTCGCACAACGTTCATAGATTGCAGCACTATCTTGAGATACAGCGAGGTCGCGCGAAACGCCATATACGAGGCTGGTACGAGGCGGACCCAGCAGTTGAGTTGTCTTCACTCGCCAGCGAAGCATCCTTAGGACTTTGACAAAAGCCCATAATGCAGCAAATGAACAAGCAACGTGAAATGCGCTACCCGAACGTAAGGTTGTCCAGAGACTTGATGGAGAGGGGATGGTAAATAAGTTCATCGTTATTTTTGATTCGAAGTGGGATCTATTGGGAGATCATTTATAGGTTTCCATTTCTATGGATGCTAAGAACGGCCTGGGCTACGAAGTTGAACAGCTTGTACAGGCACAGGACTATGCCCAACTACGGCGCAGCCGTTTTTCGTCAGCAGGATTATTCATAGAAGCCGAAACCTGTGTATGACTCAGAATAAGACTGTGAGCACTGCTACTTTGACCTGAGTACTGCGTACCTGAATGGGCGGGAGTGAATGACGGTCAGATAGTAAGTAAGTGCATGGTCAATGCATGGTACTAGATTATACTCAGCATCCGACAAATTCACACGTGTTTCAGGCGAATTACTTCATCGCTTCCAGCACGATGATGCCCTTTGGTCCATCGCACTTTCACCCAAAGACGATGTACTGGTGTGCGTGGGCAACACACACTTGAAAGAAGCCACACAGGCTTGAGATGCTATCTTGGTATCGCCGCGGCAGCACCATTTTAACTCGAGGAAAATCTGGGACTCAGACTTTGTAAGCCGTCACGGTCGCTCAAACTTCACTTTGTACATGAACTCCACACCACGTTTGCCATGTCTATGACGACCGTAACCTGACTTTTGATTTCTATACACATCTTACAGCACTTGATAGACATTTCATTTGTCGGACACAATCTATAAGCTTTATTGTCGCAAGCTGGAGCTACTAGAACTTGATTTCACGTAAGGATGAATGCAAGTTGAGCAAAGTGATCCTCGCAAAGTTACTACTGACGTTCATAACCAAATCCAACTGATTTCTGCTGCTTACGAATCTGAAAAGTGCAAGAGTGCTGAAACCAAGGATTAGCTAGCAGTCCCATGATTAAAAACACAACATACCACCCCATGTCCACACACATGAAACATTCGAGATCAATATTGCGGCGCGACAGGCTGTCACCTGATTGTTACATATTACCGAAGCACGAGGATACCTTGTATCAACTTCAAGAGGTCAGAGATCGCCCCTCTGCCAAGTGGTACCTCGTCCTGTATTGAATGCATGCGAATACTGTACGATTTCTCCACTCGTGCTACGATCATGTGTCTTCTTAGTGGAGGATGTAGCATCAAGTCTGTTGTAAACAACTTGACGTTAGTATGGATTTCCTCACGCCCGAAATCTAATAAGTGATGTATCCGATGTCCTGTAAGATGCACATCTTCCCGCACCTTACTAGCTCCAACCTGGACTCTTGCTTTAGTTTAAACTATGTCCCAAAGTTATGAACGCTTAGCGTCACAGCGGAAGCCGTCCAGCCAGCGTGAAAAGCCTGACACTTGGACGATGCCTAGCAGAACACATATTCAAGATGACATGAGCATTGAGAACATAATAGCGGTTATGCACATAGGATGCGAAGACGACCTTTAATTGGTTACAGCAAAGATACCTTTTGCCAATCCATTTGATGAACTTTCGAGATAAAAATATAGATGAGATTATAACGGTAACAATCACATACCAGGATACCATAAATTTGCTAATTGCAAAACGCGTGACCCTCGTTCGACCGTTCATTTGTGTTGCATTCAGCCCAGATCTCCCGGCTGTATCCGGGTTTGATTTGGCTTGGCGCTCACTGAATTGCGATAATGGCACCAAGCTTATCAACGTAAAGCTAGAAACTGCAGGACGCACACTGTTCCGATCAACACTGGATGGTTCTCGTCTGGGCGCATATGAGACTGGGACAATATATTCTGATTCAGCATCTAACACCGAATGAATCTGCACCAACTTAAGAGCGCCGAAAGCTGAGAGCCCGAGTTCGCTCACTGGCACCTGGTGTGTCAGATTCATCTCCATGTCTCTTGGTCCGGCACATATAACCATGCAACTAAAGGGCCTCACGTATGACATGATAGCCCGTAGGCATCATGACTCATCAGCGAGTATTGCAAGGTGTTGTGCTGTTTTTTTGAGCGGGGACAGAGCTTTTAATGAGCAGGATGTGGCGTTTAAGTAAGGATTCAGAGTACTTATGAGTGCTCTGGAGCAAACTACTTAATGGGCGAGAAGCTGCGTCACTGATATCGAATATCACCATGCTGTATGTGTCGCCATATGAACTTTCTCTCAATCGGGGATTAGAAATGTCATGTAGAATTCATATTATAAAGCACTCGCCATCCTAGCTTGCTTGTCCCCAGGCGAGAGATAGTAGAAAACTGGTAAGAACCGGTGAACTGTCATTGAACCCATGATTGATCATGAGCCACGTTACAGCCAGATCGAGGTACTAGGCACCTTATCAATAACGAGCCATGGCTGCTAGACTCTTTGTGGGGCAACCCCCCAGGGAAGCCTCAACCCCGGTGCAATCAAACAAACCTATACCAAAGAACCAGCTTGAAGTACGCAAGAAGAGAATTCGAGATTTCGTCTTCTTACACGACAATATCCACGTTATGAGCGGTTTGGAGGACGGCACGATACATAAGTGGGACTTCGACACAGGACTCGCTGTCGGGAAGCCATTAATAAGCAAGGGGGGAAGGATGTATGCGATGTCTCTTTCACCGGACGGGAAGATGATTGCATGCGGGAGGGCAGATGGAAGCGTTCAACAGTTGAACACTCATGGACAAATCATGCTTCAAGGTATCTGGAGGTGTCATAGGAACTAGGGTGCGGTCGCTCTCATGGTCTCCCAGCGGAGGTTATATCGCCAGCGGATCCTTCGATGGAGAAATCCTGATTCGAAAAGTAGAAAGTGGGGATGTAGAGGTGGGCCTAATCCAGACGAAGCAAATCGGTGTATCTGCACTTGCATATTCACCTTCGGGAGAGAAGATCGCATCAGGCGGGTACAACGCTACAATCTGCATCTGGAACACGAAGACAGGCCAGCTTACCGTCGGGCCCATTAAAAACCTGTGGAGCTCTGTGATGTCGGTGGTGTGGTCGTCAGACAACACTAAACTTTATTCTGCATCCGACTTCTTTGCACGTGTTTTTGATGGCGAAACAGGTGTACTACTCCATTCCTTGGAGAACGACCATATATTGTTTTCTGTTACGCTTTCACCCAAACACAATCTCCTAGCATGTGTGGGCAGTAAAGGTGTTGCACAACTATGGGACACAGAATCCTACCAGCCACTTGGACAGCCATTTCACGACCACCTGACCCATCGTCATGTGGCATTTTCTCGAGACGGGAACCATCTAGCATATTGCGGAATGGACGGGAAGGTTACTCTCTGGATGGTGGAAGACATAGTTCCTGAGCTTGAAGCATCCACACTACCTCAACAAGATCATGGACAACTTGAAGCTACGCAGCAGCCTGAGGAGACTCTGGCCGAGCTACACCAAAGAACTCAACCCCAGTCCCCATTGTCTTCTTTCCTCGACGTTAGTACTCTTATATTTGATGGCTTGTCTTGCTCGGCTCACAGTCTATCACAGGTTGATGCTACGGGGAGTGATGGTATCACCGAGGAGATGCGCGATGACCCATACAATTTTTTCCAGGTATACATTATGTTTGTCACGCGAAGGGTCTAGTACTGATGATAATTGCATTAGTTTTCTCAAACTTCTCTTCCTACCACAACAGCGAATCCCCCTCAGCCTCCCAACCCGTCCCCAGCTCGACGCTTCTGGAAAATAATATCTCAGTCTGTTCCATCACGAGCATGCACCGAGCGCAAGCTCTTGGCATGGCGGGCTTGCTCAAATACATTCCTTGAGCCTGCAACCACGACACTCGAGCAACCAACACCAGACGAGAAGTTGCGGGCAGAAGAAAATGATAAGGCCAGTATCCAAGATGCCGATGTAAGTAGTGTTTCTGCTATTGAACAAATCATCTCAATGCGATGGGTGATCAGTATTCCCCAAATGCTGGCCTGGGCTCCAACAGACTAGAAGCAGATGAAGGCAAGCTACGAGGAAGGTCTCTTACCAGCACGCAAAGCTCACCTGCAGAGATTTGGAAATGGTCGATGCATACTCGAGGAAAGGATCCTACATCCGTCAGCATGGCTCCGCATCCAGAAGTCGTTGAGGCGTTTGCGGTGCGCGGGTTCCAGGTAAGCCTTGGCTTCATGTTCTAAGCAATTGTATTCTTAGTAGAGACGGGGAATAACAGAGATACATGACTTCGATACTGAAACGCAAGACAAAGCCATCGGCAGCAACGTGCAACACTCCTCTCGCTGTAGATCACACGAGTGGGTCTTCGCAGCCGGCTCCATCCTGCCCATCTCACACACTGTCATCTCAACTCGACTGCGCTCAGCGCGGTTCCGTGCATGGTTCGCTCAGTGCCACGAAGAATATTGGCAAACAGCGAGATGATCTTCCTGCCCACGCGCAGAGCTTACCCTCTTATGATCGCACTGTTCCCGCCCACTTGGATAGCAAAGATGGTCGAGGTTTCTGGGAACAGTTAGTGCAGTCTCAAGGCAAAAGTTTCATATTTGATTCCCTGTATCCCAGTACTCGACTTGCAAATGCACCCCAACACAGAATACCACGGAATTCCCGGCACTGGAATTCCAGCTCAACTCCCATAGGATCTTCCAGATGTCCTGTCGATGTCGCTGCTTGCCGCGATGAAAATGTGAGTTTCTAATCTTCCCTCCCCTTCCATATAATTGAGATCACTCTGCAGAGGTACGGCATCGTCCCTGAATCTGAGACGCGGAAGCGGCTGCAGCCATGCAACGCACGAATGACGATATAGCTAACAGTTCAACGCTACCAGGTCAACCTGCGGTAGTGGCGCAGGTTTCTCAAGAACAGCCCATACAAACACAAGCCTCGACAAGCGGGACAGAAGAAATTATAGTAAGCTGCTGTGGATTCATCATTAGTTGTCGTTGTTCCAATTCGCATCAGCCATGAGTTCATTTGCTGAAGCACTCTATGTCATTCGATAACTTATTTGTCTTTGTTCATATAAATGTGCGGCTTGTAGGACCAGGGGGTGGGGTGGTATTGGATACGATAAATTTCCTATTGCTCGTGGTATTTTTACCACTGCACTTATAGTCGTTTGAATCGCATTTCCGACAGGAAAGGCTCTCAGGTGAAGGTTACATGGTTACAGCCGATGCAACAAGGTCAGCCATCGTAGTTTTCAAGAGACTTGACGACAAAGTGGTCTTTGTCAATCGTATCAACAAACTGCTAGTTAACGTGATAGGGAAGGTCATCTTGTACTAACATGGGATGAATATCCTTACAGCACAATCACTAGAAGCACAATGTACTTCCGTAGCATACGCACACCTGTCTCTCGTCTCCGCACTTGTCGCATGCTATGATAGCTCATCGACGAGTACTGTAATATATTGTGTTATCTTCTCTGCTGTACAGGGGACAGTGCTATTTAGAGATCGGAGTACACGCGAACACGCGGGTTCTGAAGAGACATTATCACGAATATGTGTGAGAAGTCATGTTGACCACGACAGTGGGCATTGCATATATGCACATTATGGTTGCTAGTGTGCTAACATCGGGACCCGGTGGATGACCGTTCGATCATGGTAAGAACTATCCACCTGATACACTCATAAAATTATCATTTACACCCGAAATATTATCGTGGACTTATCGTTTGTAGCCGAAATGCTGTGAGTATTTGAACCTGTCAAATGAATTAGCGTCACCTTAACAGTGTATCCAACACATAAACTGGCACCACTCATCTTGCTATCTTGCGACCAAGTAAGAGACAGCAAACAACCCGGTGAGAATCGATTTGAACTACTCCACCCACAATTGATCACGAACCGTGTCAGAGCGAGACTTGATACCCCGGGAACCTTACCGGTGACAAGCTATGGCTGCTAGATTCTTCCGCAGGAAAGCTTCAACTCCTAGGAAAGAATTTGAGGGCCACGAGAACATTATATGGAGTCTCGTCTTCTTGCACGACAATGTTCACATCGTGAGCGCATCGCGAGATCGCATGATGCGGAAGTGGAACTGCGATACGGGACATCTTGTCGGTGAACCGTGGAAAGGTACGGGACATCTTGTCGATGAACCGTGGAAAGATACGGGAAGAGACATAACCGCACTGGCATTGTCACCGAACGGGAAGATAATTGCATGTGGAAGGGTGAACAGGGGTGTTGAGCGGTGGACTACCAACGGAAAGATGATTAGTAATTGGAAGGGTCATAGACTTGGAAGGGCGGTGCGGTCGGTGTCGTGGTCTCCAAACGGAAAATATGTTGCCAGCGGGTCCAGTGATGGAACGATCCTCATCCGAAAAGCAAGAAGTGGAGAATTACAGGTTGCGATTGACATTCAGATGCTGCACCTATGGGATTGGGATTGGGAGGTGTGGAGTCTTTCATATTCACCTTTGGGTGATAGAATTGCGTCAGGCATGCGCAACGGTACAATTTACATCTGGAACACAGCAAATGGAGAGCGTGTCATTGGACCCATTGGAGGCCTGGGGAACGTCGTGACTTCGTTGGTGTGGTCGGACACTAAACTCTATTCCGCTTCCGACAGATTTGCACGTGTTTTTGACACTACCACGGGCCAACTACTCCATCGCTATGCGCACGACCATGACCTATATTCAGTAGCCCTTTCACCCAAGAAAAATATCCTGGCTTGCGTGGGGTTCTTCGGTACTGTAGAGCTATGGAACACAAAATCCCACAAAATCCGCCGATCAGTCAGCCAGGATCCTAAAACCATTCATTGTGTGTCGTTCTCACAAGACGGGAGATACCTAGCTCATGGCGGATACGACGGGAAACTCACTCTGTGGATCGTCGATGTCAACGCTCCTAAGCTTTCGCAGCATCAAAATCAGCCCAAGTTCATATTTCATGTCAGTACTCACAATTGATTGCCTGCTTCGCCTTTCTCACATGAACATCATGATCATAGGCTGATACTGCAAAGCCATCGGGGTTCCCTCAGCCCCCATCCTTAGCTCGACGCTTCTGTAACATGATATCTCGACACCGCTCGCCGGCACATGAGTCTGTTCCACGAGAGCTGCCCAAGCGCTCTCGCCATGCACGCGCGAAGTTATTTTAGACAATTACATTCTCACCAACGATGGAAATAACAGAAACCGATCGTAATGCCGCATTGGTAGTACCGTCGGCGCCACCCTCACTGCAGCTCATGAACGGCACGCAGCAGCAGCCGAGTTCATCCTCCACAGCCGTATTGTTGCAAGCCTTGTCAGGACAAGGATCATCGCACACTTCCGTGTGCTCACATTTTTGTCACCACTTACCATACCACTCACGACTTGGATTCACGTTGGAGCATTGAACGCTCCTGCAAGAGGTTCCTGGACAATATATGTTTTCCACGTGGTCACTACCGCTGGATTCTTTAGTGCGACCATGTCGGTTAGATTTCTCTATGAGCACGGAATTCTGGCAGCTTTCTTCGTCTTCTCTTGCAAATTCCTCTATTGATAATTACACTTCTATTTTCTCCAAAGTTTCATCAGTGTATATATATTCACATATGTTCAGCATCTGGACATTCTTGACACTAGGGCTCATATCTCGATTCGAAGTCACCATGTAACGAAGTTACGAACATAATTCACCAGTACAGTGAGGTAACAATTGATGATCGCACATGGGCTTTTAGAAGAGACGCGAGTTGACCACTGCACTAGTTGCACTTTTACACAGGCAAGGCTCTGTCGATGTTACGACTGCCGGACTAATGCAACAACGTTATCACGACTTGCGGCCACGTATTTGCAGAAGACTTGAAGCTTGACGACAGTGTTTCCGTCAAACGTTTCAACGACCGACTGTGACGCAACGCACTGATAATGTTTGCACGAGGGTGGTAGTTTTATTGGTCGAGCCTGTGCAGTGTGGTGGATTTCCTATCCAAGAATATGCTGATCGCCCGCCATAAAGCTAAAAGGGAAGTAAGCCGCTCTCTCAACTGAAAACTTGCCATTCACGTGGATTGCCGAACAGATCGAGGACTCGAGCATCATAATTCCAGATTAGCTTCTATATGACGTTTATGTGCTAGAGTTGTCTCTATGAACAACGGTGTCGTTGGCCTGCTGGGATCACAATCAAACATGCAATCAGCTCGTACGAATGGGTTTGGGAGAAATAAACTCGCACCTGGAAACGGTGCTCAGCTTTTTGATCTGCCTGGGAGAATATCGAAGGAGTGTAGGTGGGTTGTCCACCACTTGGGACACGTGTCACGGATCTGCATAAGTACAGAAATACACAGCCTTATAATTTGCGAGGTACCCGAGGCTGCGCTCCCGCAATGAGGAGCTTAAATATTAAGTATATTACCGGGGATCATCTAGTCCAAGAAACCTGTTCAAATGTTGCACTTGAAAAATAGTAGAACCCACCTTTCACTGGCCAGGCTTTATCAAGCGTGTTCGAATCGATGCAAGTAATTAAGAAAGTCGTCGCTTGCCAGGTACCGTTCCTTGTCGCTTGAAAATAAGCTGTTTGTGATTTAGAACGCATTTAGCAACTTAAATTGACTCACCAGCGGCAGAACGCTCAGCTTAGCCCGGAAGGTGGCACCGCCGATAGATTCATACTATTATGTGTCGGTACGTGTTCTCGGTCCCCGAGCTCTGATCTAAAGAATTTGAGAACGTCGGCGGTTACGTCGCCAATGGTCATTGTAGGCCGACGCATTGTATGCGTGCGAGAGTGTTATTCATGGATTGATGGGGTAACGTGACTGAGAAGTTAACGACGCGTTATTTACTAATGTTTGGGTAGTGTTCGAGTGTGATATGTATATGTGAGACTGTGATTCGAATAAAGCTGTTCCACCAATTTTCTTGTTACTGACCTCGTTGGCTCTGCCTCTGCTCATCACAGCAGACGACCACGAGCAGTGTTTCGTTCTAACTTCCTCTGATTCTCATTCACGTCTGCCAGTGTACTTGTATACCATTGCCAATCCCAAGTCTCATTAAATACCACAAGCATCTAACTACCAACTACTTAGCATCCAGCAAGAATGACCATGAATACCTCAGCACCAGAGGCCAACGACGTCTTCTCCCTCTCAGACCATCTTCTTGCAG